GTGATTTCTGTGTACGCACATGAACTCCACAACAATATCATGATTATTATGACTATTGTAATGATTTTTTTTGAATGATTATTACTTTATTATCAATCATCATAACAATAGTTGTAGCTCTTCTGAAATGACTCACCTTTCTGCTTCAGGGTGACCGTGGCAACACTGGTCCTGCTGGTGCTCCCGGTGCTTCAGGTGCTCCCGGTGTTTCCGGCCCTGTCGGTCCCACCGGCAAACAGGGAGACAGAGGAGAGAGTGTGAGTAGTGACTCCAAAACTAACATTTCTTTCCAAGTGTCAGTTTATTTATCATTGTTAAGTGAAGAACAGCATCATTCACGAAGGGGGTGTATTTTACTGCTAGAAATCTGAAAGTGGTACCGGAGACGGCCGGTGGTTAAATAAAATAAAAAAACCTCTACCTATTTTACTTTTATTTACAGCATTTAGTGTTTCCAGGTTTTAAATGAAAGTACTCCTAAATAGTTGTTGGTTTAAAATAAATCTTAACCCAGAGGAAATATTAACCTTTCTGTGATTGTAACGTGAATCCTTATGGGAAGATTCACACTGTACTGTAACTTAAGTTACATGTGTACGTATTAACAGATGGATTTGATGACCTCATTTAAATACAATACATGTCAATGAAGACAACAGTTACAGTATTTTCGGCAGGTTAAAAAAAATTACGTGATAGTTAGCATACACAAAAATGTACAATGTAATCTAACACTTTTAGGTGGAATCTGTCTCTTTAAAGCAGTTCTCTTGTACTTCATGCTTGAGCTGTAACGTCACATTATTTTGTTTTTCTTTCACAGGGTGCACAAGGACCTTCTGGGGCTCCAGGACCTGCTGGAGCCAGAGGAATGCCTGTATGTGTCTTTGCGAAGATGAACCAGAATATCCGCATCCACAATTTTTGCAATTTACAATAAAAGGGAGAAAAAAAATCCATCTACTGAAAAAGGGAAATTTAGCCTTGAATTTCTATTTTTCAACCTATCAAACATTTTCCCTGATTATCTTGTTGTCCAATTGTTCTCAGGGACCTCAAGGACCCCGCGGTGACAAGGGTGAGGGTGGAGAGTCTGGTGAGAGAGGACAGAAGGGACACAGAGGCTTCACTGGTCTGCAGGGTCTGCCCGGACCTCCGGTGAGCATCAATTATAATCACTAGAAATCGTTACAATATAAAGAATTTTAGTGGTAAAGTGTGGGAGAAGTATTATACAAATCAAGCGTGCTAAATGCTACAGAAAACCTTATGTATGAATGTGATTATTATCTGATAAGGGTCAAGCTGGAGACCAGGGGGCTACCGGACCCGCCGGACCTTCTGGACAAAGAGTGAGTAACAAAGCCGCTAAAATACTGGGAAGATCCCTTTGAATTCTATTTCTTCACCTGCAGTATCTTCAGTGCTCAAAATCAACATCTCCACATGTGTTTCTAGGGACCACCTGGACCTGTTGGTCCCAGTGGAAAGGACGGTGGAAACGGACAACCGGGACCCATTGGACCACCCGGACCTCGCGGTCGTAGTGGAGAGACCGGTCCCTCTGTGAGTACCCAAAGAGCTGTTTCAAGACAGTCACACATGTTACGTGGGAGGCACCATTTATTTACAAATTTAGTTATGTAGAGACTACGTGAAAGAACAAAATAATTAAAATCCTGGACTACAAATCAAGTTTACAAGCAGCGTTTTCTGAATCCACTGTGGGCAATAAAGGGATAAACTGAGGACGTTTGTTGTCTGAATGAAGATGAAGAATTATGCAACATTTATAAGCAAGAAATGAGAAGACACAAGCTGCACAAACATACATATGGTGGTGTAGTGCCAAATGTAATGCTTTCGCCTTTTTCCTTGTTCCTCTAAGGGGCCCTCTGGAAACCCTGGACCCCCCGGTCTTCCTGGCCCCCCCGGCCCCGGCATTGACATGTCCGCCTTCGCTGGTCTGGGTCAAACCGAAAAGTCCGTCGATCCTCTCAGGTACATGAGGGCCGACCAAGCTTCAGGAAACCTCCGCCAGCACGACGCCGAGGTCGACGCCACGCTAAAATCTCTCAACAACCAGATTGAGAACATCCGCAGCCCGGAGGGATCCAGGAAGAACCCGGCTCGCACCTGCAGAGACCTGAAGCTCTGCCATCCGGACTGGAAGAGCGGTGAGTGACACGCTGCGAAATCGGTCACAATGTGGGGGAGATAATGAAGCAAGCATAGGCCAGGTGGAGGCTTGCGTTTCGTGGAGTCAAAACGTAGGTAAAATACAGGTAGTTTAGTCTGCAGCTGCAGCTGCAATGGCCAGGCTGGCAGAAGTCATAACTAAGGAAGCATTAACTACTGGCACAACGGACGGTGGGGAGACTTTTCTGTTTTTTTTAATCTCACAATATTTAATAACTTTAAGCAAAGAAATTTCAATTATCAGCTTTTCATGCCGCAAAAGACGTTATATGGTAATGTAGTAGTAGTAGTAAAATAGTTTTTGTTATGTTTTTTCCCGTAGGAGACTACTGGATTGATCCCAATCAGGGCTGCACCATCGATGCAATCAAGGTCTTCTGCAACATGGAGTCAGGAGAGTCCTGCGTCAAATCCAAGCCTGCTAGTATCCCTCGCAAGAACTGGTGGTCCAGCAAGAGCAAGGACCGCAAACATGTCTGGTTCGGAGAGACAATGAACGGAGGATTCCACGTAAGTGGCACCATATTTTCTTACCTCGCTTTCCTAAAAACGTATCATTCAATTGTTCCTATTATGTGTGTTGGAATCAGCCTTAGCCTAGCGTAGAAAAAAGAAAAACATATCAATTGTCTTGATGAGTAGTTCAATTAATCAGTAACAGTCATAATAACAGAGACATTGTCTGTTTTTTAACACTTCCTCTTCCTTACCTGTGGCCCAATGCAGTTCAGCTATGGTGATGACAGCCTGGCAGTTAACACTGCTGCCATTCAGATGACCTTCCTGAGGCTGCTGTCCACCGAGGCTTCTCAAAACCTCACCTACCACTGTAAGAACAGCGTGGCCTACATGGACGCCTCCACGGGCAACCTGAAGAAGGCTCTTCTGCTGCAGGGCTCCAACGACGTGGAGATCAGAGCCGAGGGCAACAGCCGCTTCACGTACAGCGCGTTGGAGGACGGCTGCACGGTAAGACCGGACAGATTGAACACAAATGGACAGTACACACAATATGCCGTGTACGTATACGCGCATGAATCAGAATCTTTAAACCCAAAAGACTGATTAGAATGAGTCGAGATTGACTTTCCCTTTATGACAGATACCAGCCTCTTATCTTTCTCACTCTCTGGTGTTCACTCACCATCCAATTTTACTGTGGAATTTTGGAAAAGGTCATAGGGTAATCTGACAGCCAATGTGTTTTTTCCCTCTGCACAGAAACACACAGGACAGTGGGGCAAGACGGTGGTGGAATACAGATCGCAGAAGACCTCTCGCCTGCCAATCGTAGACATTGCCCCCATGGATATTGGAGGATCAGACCAGGAGTTCGGAGTCGAAGTCGGGGCCGTCTGCTTCTTGTAAAGAACGAGCGGTCGGAAAGAAGAGTGAGAAGAATTGGAAAATTGAAAGAAATTAAACGAAAGAGGAGCACACTTCAGATACGAAGGAGAAAAAAAGAAAAATCAAGACACTTTTTTTAAATGGGACTTTTTTTCTAAGTAAAAAGTGCGTTTTCCAAGTTGAACTCCGTAGGATATCTGCACTGAATGGCACCAGCAACTGTCATCTGTGATTCATCCAGCATTACCAACCCCCCTCTTCTGCCCCCCCATGGACACTCAGCCCTCTCCAAAAGCCCCCGCTTCACCCTGCATGGACAGCAACCCCCGACCACCACCTGCCCCACCTCATGAACAAGATGGAGGAGGTATGCGGAGAGTACGGGGACATACCATGGAACTAAAGAGAGAGAAATGTGTTGGTGTTATTTATTTATTGTTTAGGTCTGGGTCCCAGGTGTGGTAGGCTTACGTTTGTTGCTAAGTAATAAAAAACCCACTTACAAATATTTAAAAAATAACCATATCCACCAACTTCCTCTCCTGCTTCTTCCTCTTTTCTAATCCGCCCATCACTCCTGTACCATGTCCACTAAAGCACTCATATCTCTTTGAAACCAAAAAACCTAGCTAGATAGAAAGTGCAATTGTTCCTATTTCTACCACCACAGTGTGTATCAAAAAGTTACTGTGTATTATAATAAAAGTCAATGGTGCTATTGTTGTAAATCAGTCTGTATTTTTTAAAAGAGCAGATACTCTTGTGTAGTAACTCGTATATATGTATGTATATGTATGTATACATATATACAGTTTCTAAGAGAGAGCAGCACCTGCTGCGATTTTATGATTTCATGGTGATAAATAAATGTTCCTGCCTCGCCCCACCCGCCTAAACAAACATGCCCATGCTAACGCTTAAACATCAATGCATGTCCCACCTGGAGTCAATACTGAATTTAATTTTCTTTTTAGCTTAGTATAGATATTTTAAAGCTACCTCACACAAGACAAAAAGACATCCCAAACTGAGGCTTTCTCCCGCTGAAGCGTTCTATGCTAAACTAAAATGTAATACCAACACGCCCAAAAGAAGTTTATTCATAAAGGCACGGTCTGCTGCCCCCCAATTAGTTACGACCATGACCCCCGCACCCACCTCTCTACTTCCTCCAATTGGTTTCCTCACACAGGGAGTGCCCTCTGCCTCGGCATACACACACAGAGACACACAGACACACACACGGTTCAAGAGATTCCAGGTGCATTTGACTTTGTTGCTCCAGTTCTATCGCCAGAGCAGAGGGCTCGCTTGTGTGGGGTTGTGTATATTTTTTATTATTAATGATAGTATTATTATTAATAATAATAGCATTATGATATTATTATGATCATGACTTGTTTTTGTTCCGTTTTAATTAATGTAAATTGGAAATAAAAGACAAAACCAAGAAACAGGCTGAAAGCACTTTTTATTTGTATCCTGTTTTGTTCTCCACATCTAAATCTAGGGTAGTTTTGACTCTTTCCCGAGGAAAACTAAGTCCAACATAAACATTTCATGTCCTGCTTCCACTGTATGTTGATATATTTCCAGGAGGAAAAATGACTTCCGAGAAAAGGCAGTGGAGGGATAAATAAATGCAGGGGGCATTTTGCTTTTGTTGGTGGAAATGTGTGGAAACCAAAGAGACAAAGAGTTCTCAAACCATGTCAGAGTTGAACGTGGTGGGAGAGAAAGATCAGGTACTTTTGGATATGTCAAATAGTTTTTCTGTTATTTCCTTCAGTTTAAACTAATTGTAGACACAGGAAACACTGTCAATAGTTGTCTTCCTGTTCTTCTATTAAACCTTGAAAATTGAAATCTTAATTATTTTCTTAAATTCAGTTAGATATATTGCTTATTATTCAATTTCATTTCCAATATGTGACTTTATTGTTTGAATAATTATTATCAAACAAACAGGAGTAAAAATCTATCACTGTGCCAGAAATACATCACCAATAAGAAGAAAATAAACTTCACAGAGGGCATGCTTGGTTGGGTTTATCTGTATCAATTCACCTTATTAAATCCAGGTTGGCTCAAGAGGGATGAGAGAGAGATGCATTTGGGGGAACTTCAAATACATCAGCAGGAGATTTGGGATTGCCGGGTAATATTCAGAGTATGTAAAGATACACTACAGTGTTTCACAGTCAGACAGTTTATGCACAGACAGAACAAACGCCAAACTTCTTATTCTAATCTTTCCACCTGTGGTGAACCCAAATCTGGGTTTTAAGATCAGCTGGTCATCATAACAACATACGTATCATATTGTTCTACTCACAGGTTAATGATTCTAATTCACAGTATTTCTTCATGACAACACAAATTTTCACATTTAGCACATTAAAGTACACAGACGGCTGTCTAATTCTTCATTTTGCCTCAGCTCCTACCGTTTTCCAATCCAATTTTTAGATTAAATGTGGCACAATAACGTTTTATTACATCTATGAACACTTAAGTCGTAATCGCACAATTTAATTTGGACCAGATTAAAGACGCACGAATAAGAACCACGGAGGCACTGCAGTGTTTTGAGCTAAACGCTAACGGCAGCATGCTAACACGCTCACAATGATGTTTAGTAGGTACAATGTTCACCGAACCGTTAACCTCACTGCCGTTTACCTCCTAAGTTTACAAGTAAGCATGCTAACATTTGCACGCACACAACACAAAGTAACCTAGAGTTGAAGCGATGGGACAAACCAAAGTATGGGACAAATGTCTTTTTTAAACTAATGACGGTGCTTAAAAATTAGGGGGAACGCTAAAGTTAATGTCTGCACCAAATTCAGTTGATAACGGACAGACCGATATTGTCATTTCTAGAGTCACGCTACTAACGTGGCTAAATAACATCCTCTTACACCAGCGGCTCGAGACCTATTTGGCTTGTGACCCGTTAAACAGAGAGGGGGCTGCTTCAGACCCGCAATGTTTCTTCTGCTTTAATATCCGGTCAATAATCTCGTGAACCCTCCGATTGAATAACTGAATTCTTGCCGACCTAAACACCCATTATGTGTTGCAGGCTTTCAAGAGGCCTTTCAGTATCTACCATGTACCAGGGAATACATCAACCACCCGATCCACCGGCCCTGCAGAGAATAACGCGACACACTGTGCCACAGTAAATTGCAATATAAGTTGAACTAATGCAAAATGGCTATGAATCCATTAAGGTTTTTTTTAGTATACATGAGAGGCATGGCATTAATCTTCCAATTGCAGCCATTAAATGTACTAGCTGAGAAAATGATTCAACGTATTATCAAAGTGTTTTGCCCATTCTGACAGTGGATTGAAAAAAAATCAATTATGATGAAGCCTAAACTATAAATGGGACACAGAACAATTTGCACATAGCGATCAGTGAAGAGAGGACGGCAAAAACTCAAGAGATGAATTAAAAATAAACAGCTTCTCTCAGAATAAATGGCAACGCTAATCTAATTTATAACAATGATCCATTTCTAAATCTGGCGGAGACTTTTTTATATTAATCAGTGGACGAGCTGAGTGTACACTTGGCCGTCCAGATATTTCATCGCTGATTGCTGCAGCTAGTCGACGAAAGAGTTCAACTCCACCTCTGATGACACTAAATTTAGATCAGTTCTGGACCGGCACAGAAGCCACTGGCTATGTGGTCTAGGTTGATGTGATGTGAGGGAAAATGGCCCCGTGCAAAGCACAAACACTTCAATGCACAAACGAAACAGGCAGTCAGATGAGGCCACATATTTAAAATTTGCATTCTTTTTTGTCCCGGTACCCACTTCAGCTGATCAGTGACTTTCAAGTCTTCATTAGGGGTCAGTTCGTCTCTTAATTTGAGTTTAATGAAACATGAAAGACCACACTGTGGCAAGGTGGGTGATGAAAAGAGAAGGAAAGAGGGGCTGTAGTGAGATAGAGGGTCCTAAACTTCAAAGAATTTTCTTTCTTCTTTCATTTCAGCTGCAATTTTTTGTTTTTCAATTCCCACTCTTTTCTCTCAATGCACATGGTAGAAAAAATATACAAATATATTTCATGAAATGAAGAACAATGCACATAAAGTACATACATATTAGAGGAGATCAGTTGTAACAGTTCAGTTGATGCAAATACCATCAATCGCAGCTGTAAAAGGTTTGCGTTCTCAGCATCTCCCAGTTATTCCACACAGCATTTCCATTTTTCCGTTTAAATAACAGCCGAGCAGGCGTTCAGAAACCAGTGCTCAGAGTGTCTGTCTCCGTGGGGGTCTTGCGTGGGCTGGGCAAACTCTTCAGGTACTCCAAATGCCTGCGGGCCTCGGCCTGGTTCTGCCTCACATAGTACACTACGTACACGATCACCATGAAGAACCACACGAACATTGTCACCAGCATTGCTACGTCCGTGGTTTTCCTCTGCAGGCTGCAGAAATTCACCCCGGAATCCAACAGTTTGACCAGCTGCTGGCCGGCGTTCTCGCCCTGTGACCCCGGGTCCTCCCACCGGCTCCCCTCGCCCAACCCCCTCACGGAGCTCTCGCACACGATGCCGTTCACCGTCTCCGGCTCCAGGTTCAGGGTCTCCATCAGCTCCTGGAGGGCGCAGTCGCAGTGCCACGGGTTGTGGTAGAGGCGCGTCTTCGCGCGGGTGGAGCCGAACTCCTCCCTGCTGGCCTGCCTCAGCTGGTTGTGCGAGAGGTCCAGCAGGCGCAGCTCAGGCCCCAGGTGCCGCAGGGCCCCCGAGGCGAGCGAGTCGATGCGGTTGTGGGACAGGTGGAGGTCCCGCAGGTGGACCAGATCGCTGAAGGCCCCCTCCGGGATGTTCCGGATGTAGTTGCGCTCCAGGTGGAGGGAGACGGTCTCCGGCGGGATCCCCTCCGGGATCTCCCGGAGCCCCGCCTCGGAGCACACCACCGTGGCCGTGTCCCAGGCGCAGTGGCAGCTGTCCGGGCAACGGGGGGACACTTGGCCCCACAGAGCCGAGAGCAGGAGCGACACACGCAGCCACGACTGAAGATCCACTCCCTTGCCTCGCTGTCTTCTTCCACTGAAGCCGGAACGTCTCTCCTCACACCGGCCCGTGCACATGGCCTCACCATAGCCCCGCGACTCGCACCAGGGCCCCGATCTCACGCGCGCACACTCACTCGAACCGGCGGGATCTGACAGATTCAGAGCAGAGAAAAGGGTCAAAGACGACTCGCTCTCTTTGCAAAACTCCGGCGACCGGAAATGAATACTGACAGGAGGGATTACCACGTTGAGGAGGAGGGAAAAGGTCAATGGGGAAAAGCGATGGTCAATGAAATATAAGCTTAAACTGCTTTATCTGGATATGGCCCCTGGTTGGAGAAACATTGTCATCTTAAATACAAAAAGAGGGGAACCATTTCCCGAGCAGCTAAAACATCACTTGACATTCACAGCAGTGATTGAAACAAGGTCTGCATTTCAGTATATTATAAAGACATAATCATATTCCATTAGTCCATGTGATTCCGTGGCCAGAGATAGAGCGGGCCGTGGGGACGGAGGATGGAAAGCGGGTGGGATCGATAGCCTGAGTAGTGCCTGCTACACTATTAACGGCAACAACATCAATCTGTGTCACACGGTCCCAGAGTGCCAATAAGTGACAAAGAACAAGCCAGCAGTGGTCTGGGTGTTTGCATCTGCTTACTCCTGCAGAGAGGAGGCTGAGGTGCACTCACACACTCTTAGGTAGACTTGCCTCCCAAAACAGCTGCAGAACACACAACAAGTGTTGTGTCCTAGAAGCGCCCGGAATCATCGGCCACAGTTTTTTTTTATTATCGACTGTTTTCAGTCATTTAATCCAATCAAGTTCCAATCAAATTGTTTTTGTTTTTTTACTTGTTTTGTTGAGACGAGAACAGCCGTTGTTCTTGGTCACAACACACTCCTTGAATTTGATTAAAAGACCATGTCTCTTAAATGTCAAGCACTGCGCTCCCCCCCTTGTCTTTATAATAGATTTAAACCCGTCCTGTACCTCTTCTCTTCTCCTGCACAAACAACATTTATCAACAGTGGCCTATAGAACGGATCGATACAGGGATTTGATTGACAGCCATGTCCACCAATGGTGTCCAGAGGTGAGGATTTATTCGGCTACTCATTAGCCGCTCCGTCATCACTGAATGCAAATGCCCAATTAAGAAAAATAATGTTTCGACTGCATGCTTATGGATGAGAAAGGTGGAAAGACAGAACGGAAGGGGTGACAAAGCAAATGCATAGAAGGCATCGGATTATTGCCGTTATTTCAACCTTACTCCCTGTTTGTTCAATGGTCACCATTTACATGTAATACCGCAGAGACTGAGCTCATCTCCGATATTGAATGACATTAACCTGCAATGACGGAAAAACATTTTATTTAAACTATTAGGGGGGTGTTCAGCAGGACTATGAGAATATGAGAAGGGAATAAAACGGCTTTGCTTCGTCCTCCGCTTCGCCGGGCTGATTTTAAAAAGTTGATGCAAATGAATAAAAGAGAAAAAATCCACGATAAGAACCGCGTGCACGACATGATCACTACATGATTGTAGTAACAGTAACCTAGTTGTACTGTAGAACGTGTACCGTCTGTATATACGCGTCGAGGTGGATTTATCAAAACTTACCTGCGGTTTCTTGGGAAGTTTGAGATCCAGATTTATTTATTTTTTAGTCTCCCTTTGCTCTTTTTTCGTTGGATTCCTCACGACGCTCGATTGGAAAATCCTCTCCTCCCGCTGATCGAGGGTTTCTTTTTTGCGGGGGGGTGGGGGGGTATTAGGGGGGGGGGTGAAGAGCATCAGTTGTGCATCCGAGGTTTGTCGCCTACAGACGCAGCTTCATCACTGCCTGTTGTAACAGAAGGTAGTTATAGCAACAACGATATGGGACAACCCCCCCCCCCCACTCCTCCGTCTCTCTCTCTCTCTCTCTCTCCCTCCCTCCTCAGTGGCGTGTGCGTGCGTACAAATGTGAGGTGTCTTCCTCACTAAGCATCAGTCTGCTGGAAGACATTAGTTATACTTCCATATTAAAACACTTAACTTAATAAACTATACACACCACCATTAAAAGGAGGCTCAGCGTTGGAGGTCACGTAAAGTCCTTACAAACACGTCCAACATGTATGAACGCAGGAGACATTGGACCTGAAGTTACCTTAGGACCACCTCACTTTTACCAGGGTCACAGATTTCCATATGAATAACAAACACACACACACACAGACACACTGATGCAAATTATATTGCATATGGAAAAAGGTGGTTGCCTCGCAGGACCGAGTGCCCTGGTTTCTCTCTCTCGTACATTATAAGCAGCAGGAAATATCGGCCCGTCTACAGAAGAGCCCTCGGGGGGGGAGGAAAGGACCTGTCTGACAGCCACGATGGCATCCCTCCTCTGACTCCTCCTGCCCTCCTGTCCTCCTCCTATGGAACCTGCTCAAAACCATTTCCACTCCAGACAAACACCGTGCAGTAGTTCATAAGTGTTTTGCTGCAAATGGTTTGCTGAAAAAAAGAAAGACAAGAGGACAGTCTATCTCTTTGAACACTGGCAGGAGAGGAAAAAAAGGGTCAGCGATGTGATTTACGGCTGCATTTCTGACAACGTTTTGCCCTTGACGGGTGATCGTCTCCCTGGTTGCCGGCGACGGGGCTGCAGACAAACAAGGGACAAAGCAATGAGAAGGCACATGATGACGGACAGAAATCAGGCAGTTCACTCACTGTTTCTGGGTCCCTGAGCAGAGAGAGTACTGTGATGGGATGAAAAAAAAAAAAAAGCATCTTGTAACGTCATTTTCTTGGGATTGAATCCCCTAACAACAGGTCAGGCAGGAGGGGGGGGGGGTCTGCTGAAGCTCTCAGTAGTCATTTTTCCATGGCGTAGACTGCTTAAGACCGTGAAAAAGCCCTGCTGACAAAACAAGGTATTAACAAAATATTGCTTTGTATGCTATTTGGGTGACGGGAAACAACGCCAGGCTGTTCTCGAGGGGACAAAGCCGAGCAAAGGCTAAAACTAGAAAGGATGTAGGCTTTGGCTCATGAACTCTAGAGAATATCTGGAGTCAACAATCAGGCACGTACACTACATGATGAATACGCCTGCAATTTCAGATTCAAGGGTAATGTGCTGGCTGGAAACTTAAATCAATACATATTAAAATAGTTATCTTAGAAAGTTATTTTTTCTCCACCTTTTATATTGCATGTTTGCAATTAAAACACTGCTGTAAATATATTTGCGCAGTCATTAGGTGAAGGGCCGGCTTTGGAAAATTTTATATTTTATTTTCTATTTTATGTCCCTACCATAACTACAGAGATAACAGCATTAACCACGGTTCACTAATGCGTGTAGATTGGATTGAGCCCTTGGCTCAGATCCAGCAGAACAGAGAATAGAGCAATAACACAGACTTGTGTTTGTGTCTCTGGGCAGCGTCCTCTCAGAACATAAAGGACTGCTTTGTTTCAATCGAGAGGGACATAGAAAGATGCTAAAAGGGCCTCGATACTGAAGAATTAACATCCTGCCCCGTTGCACAAAATACTGGATGGCAGCACAGCGAAATTAACACCTGTAAGCAAACTATTTAACCGCAGTGACATTTTGCACGACAATGACTGGAAATAAAAATGCACAGCAATGAAATTGCAATAAGCTCCGTGAGGCAAGAGCAGCAGAAGGGCTTGTGCAGAATGCAATAAGCTATGAGTAACAGGAAGAGATAAGAGGGGGGAGAAAATCTGGAGTATTAATGAGAAAATTCAGAGAACATCCCCAGACTTGCCGCGGCTCTTCCCACCGCCGGTAACCTTGTCCCGACACCGGCCGCCATGAGAAACACCTCTTTTGTGGCGTTTTTCAGAATGAAATCGGGGCATATTATTAACGCGTTGATGGGGGCAGCCAGCGGAAGCAGCCTCTGTAACTCCAGCGCTACAAAGAGATAATGTCAGGATGCCGGGAATGAAAGGGTGAGCTACCGTCCAGGCGGCTATTTAAAGATAAGGCCGCGGGATTCACCGGCTTTGAAGATGTTCAGCAGGTTGCTCGGCCAGACAAAGGTCCTCGGCGGTGACGGAAGACAGACGGAGGACGACAGGATAAAAACAATTTAATTCTGGATTTCGTCCAGTGAAAGTATTACAAAATACAAGGTTTTTAATCCAAACAGGCTTTAATTGACACAAGAACAAGAACAATGGAAAACGAGAAAACATGAGCCAATATTATGATTCAGAGCTCGCCTGTGTTGGAAATTACGGCAAATATTTTGGGAAGAAGTCCAAGGTTATTTGGCTCCCATTTACACAGCATCCCCGCCCCGGCACGGCAGAACAAAACAACATTAGCCCCGAAAAGCCGGGACAAACAAGTTGCAAAATAGCAAATAAACATTTGAATCCTGGCCATTCTCTCCAAAGACGGATCCCGAGAACAAAATGTGTCCTCTCTGAACCTTCAGCTGCCTCCGTTTGCAGGGGACCGGGCGGCGGCCTGCAGGGTCCTCCGGGTCATCTCCAGGGCTCCTTCCTGGGTCTTGTTCCCGCCAATAAAGCCTCCGGCGTGAACGAAGATGCAGCCCTTAATCCCGCTGAGCTCCGACAGCGCTTCGTCCCGGACACCGCGCCACTCCTCGGGCAGGGACAACCTGGGGCCGGCGGGGAGACAGAAGGGGCGAGTTGGCTTACAGATGGACACTGTTTGGACAGCTGCTCACTTTGGTAAACACACACTGTGCTGTACACCAGTAAACCACGTCGCGGCAAATCGACCAATGAAAATCCGCATTATTCTTCCCCCGTAACGCGGAAAATCCCGGATCGGAAAGCGCGAGCCGCACCATGGCGGCGGAGACAGACGATTTCACAGCAAAGACATGTCCCTGCCATGGTTTTCAGGCTGGCCTCAATAAAATGTCTCTGGATGCAACTTGCACAGGCAGAACATTCATAGAAATGTAGAACAGCTCATTTACGCCCTCCTTGCCATTTAAAACACATTACCAGCTGACTTTGGGGAGTGCATCAGTCTTGCCTTGATGGGCTTATTATCTCTAATACTAGTGCATAAATGTTATTCTGGGATTTTATTCTGCATCATAACTTCATTGCGAATCTCTCGACCAGCTGTTGCTTCTAACATGAGACTTTAAAAGCCTTAAAAAAAACAACCAAAATCTGCCAATAGCATCAGATTTCAACAACATGAACAACGCTCTTCTAAAGTTAAAGCCACATGCTTGTCCAACACGATTGAACTTTGAAAATAGTTTTTCCCATATTTATTTGCGCTGTGTAGAACATCCTAAAAACAAACAGTGAGACAGCGAGGAGCTTCACACGTGAACCATAATGCTTCACATGCACATGTGTGCTGTAACTAATGCTATTAACCCAACTGTGCGCCATCTTGTGCCTACTAAGAGCGTCGTAGCACAACCTGGGGTGGGGGAAAAGGTGCGGCGAAGCCCTAATCCCTGCAAAATGAAGGAGCCAATCGATCGCTCCACAGCACGGCTGCAAAGCGAGCTCCGGAGGAAAGGTCAACGGGGCCGGTAATGAGAGCAGGAGTCGGAGGGGGAGGACTGTTGTTACGACACGCTCCCGGAAGCTCCGATTCTCAAGATGACCGGTCTAAAAATAAGACCACAATTAGCAAATTAACATCTCAGGACCTTCCCGAGACCTTTTCCATACCATAACAAGATACTAGGAATTACTGCTTAGAAAGAAGAAATATATCATATATCGGATACACAGCAGGGCCAAAGAGGGATACATGTATTTCAATTTGCTTCTTTCGAAGGGAAATTATTTCAACTTCATCAACTCCTCACTAGAATTTACATCCCCCCCCCCCTTTTCTATCAATTCACCTTTAATAAGTAAAAAAAAGTTATTCATTTTAAAACTATTTTGATGATCAATCATTTGTCATGTGAATTGCGTTGATTGGAATATGTTTAGCTTTTTCTTAGACATTTGAAGACGTCACTCGGGGGCTTTAGCAAATAGGGATGGTCAATTTTCACTTTTACTTCACATTTTATCGGTCTAACAATTGACAAAAAAGGACAATCGGTAAAATAAACAGTAAAATAACCGTTAACTGAATCCCGATCAGATAAATGACTGCAGAAATGGAGTAATATGTTCCGGCTCAGCTCATATTGCCATCCACTTATAGAATTATCCCGCCCAGTGCATCTAACAGGGAAGGACTGCTTACACTCCCAGCCCACATTTCCTTAGCAATGTGATGTGGATAAAAATAGACCCCCCCTCCAGGTGCAATAGCGGGGACTCAGGTGATAACAACGCCCCTTTCGCAGAGTCGACACAGTCCCGCTGGGGGAAAGCAGGACACCCAGAGAAAGAGCCATCTGGAGCCGTGTTGTTTTATCCATCGCTGTCATGTAGCTCTGCACCCGTCGCCGTGTTTGTGTTGAATTAAATGTGTAAGGGCCGCCCCCCCCCATAAACAAGGGCCGCGTCTTTTCAGTTTGAAAGAGCTGCCGACTAACGACATTCTGCATCGGAGTGGGAGGGGGGGGGGCAGAGGGTGTGAAAGGTAGCGAGATACGAGATGAAGAGGGCTGTGAAATAGGAATAATAGGGAGAGAGCAAGACAGAGAGGGAAATGGAAGGTAAATATAGGGCAGTAACATAAATACTGTATAAAAGGGAGAGAGGGAGAAAAGAGAGGGGGACAGTCAAGGGAAAGGGGACCTTCCATCTGGGCAAGATGAAAAAAGCGCCAAAAGCCGCTAAAAACTTCTCAATGCCGTACTTTGCACGGAGGCACTTTTTTTTCTTTCATGCTGGGTTTAGTTCTCTACCAAAACCCAGTGTGAAGAAAAAACAGAGGTGTTTTCTGTACCAAATAAAACCAAGTGTTTATTCAGTTCCTGGGAAAAAATGATTAAACTGGAAATGTGTTTTGCGGATTAAAAAGGATGTTAAACGCCGTAAAGCGAGCAGCTAGAAAACACGACGATGCAGCACAGACAGGCAGCCGCTTTCCTCGGCCGCATCAGTCATGTGTGGGAGCGGTGGGATGCAATCAAACACAACGGCAACTACAAGACTCCCCACGGGGACGCTGGTGACGGTTTTAGAGCAGCGTTGTGGGTCGGAGGCTCCTCGGGTAAACAATTTCCCTCGAGTGGTAACAAACAAGTGACTTCAGGAGGTGCAAATCGTCTGACAAATTAACACGGACGGTGACCGTCTTGTCAACACCGTGGTTACGTACTGCAAAGCAAGAATAGAATTTAATGAGCACAGGTGAGGCATCTTTCGCTTAAGTGTCGAGCATGAGGGTCGGAGGGACCTCATTATTGTTAAAAGATGCAGGACTGCTACACGGCAAAAGAAGCATTGGCTGGTGCACACACACAACGCAGCGGGATTTACGCTCTCTTAAGGCTTAAATTAACAAATGATTTTAAAAAAAACAATGCATATCATAAAATGATGGAAAATACATTAAATAAAGGTTTTGGACATAAATAGCTTAAAATGTTAATAAAAGTAGTAGTATTTGTCGAAAAAGTAGATATTTAGGATGATTGTTCCAGTTCACTAATGCATATGAACTAAATGCTGTCTCAACAAAAACTGTCACTGGGTATCGCAGCAGAAGTTATTAAAAAAAAACCTTACTGAGAGACCTAGTGTCACTGCATCTCTCCTGTTTGCTTAACGTCTGTCAAGTTAACTCGCGCAAGGTATGAGATCACAAGCTGTATAAGCACCCGTAGCTCTGACATCTAGAAGAGAAAAATGATCACCTGTTCTGGAAGGTGTTGAGCCCAGCGGGGACACACTGGACCCGCCACTGTCCATTCTGGTCGGGATAAAGGACAAACTTGATGGGCGTCTCCACCTTGAGCTCCTTCTCCAGGGAAAACAGATGCTCCTTCCAGGGACAGCCGCCCTGGGAGAACAACAGCACCTCTCCACTGGGATCCACCTTGAAACGAGGAAGGAACCATCAACTGGGTGCAGCATAAAGCACAGAGGCCACAGAAGCTTTCTGTGTGGTTTAGGATGTTGTAGAAAACAACAAGACAAACGCATCTAACCAAACAACAGCTTGATCTTTACAAACTTTAAAAATCAAGTTTCTAAATAATGTGTTCTGTCTGGACGCATTTGGAATCAAAGACACAATTGTCCATTGTCACAGAGTGAGAGGTTTGTAACAGTCTGTTATCTATGATCTATAGACAATGGCCCAATAATTATGAGGTGATTGGTACAAATGGTATTATTTGTTACTGTCAATATATTATAACTGTACATAACAATAGAAAACATGATTTCCATTGCTGCCAATTCATTACGCACTATTAATCGTTTAAAAAGTGACGTAGGATAAATGCAGATTCAGAAGTCATCCACGTCCAAGTCACCACATTCGCAAAGAGAAAGAAATATAAAACCCAAACTGTTCAGCATCAGATCGGACCGTCGTGTACCTGATGCCTGCCCTTCACGGCCTCCTCCACCACCGCACGAGCCGGCAGCCAGGCAGAGCGGTAGAACTCCAGGCGGTCCAGGAACTCCTCCCCGACCATCTTCAGAGCCTTCCTGAAACCTTCCTGGTGGAAACATGTACAAATGCAGATCATGATAAAGCAAGGCAGACATTAAATACGTGCTGCCACCAACACGTCTAATTTGCATGCATCTGGTTGCAAGAGTGGAGCGTGGCATATAATCCATTAGGTTTTTAATAGTATTTTACTGCAGAGGAGAAGTATGACAATTTCTATTTCCACGTTGTGTAACTAAAGACACTTGATGTTCAATAATCTCATACATCTTTACATCCACTCTCATCTAAACCAAACCTCCTACTTGAGAAAAAGGAAATATTTGTAGGGGGTTCTTCCTGTTACATTCTTTGCGAAACCCTTTAAAGTGAAACTACCGCGGACAGACCCACACACATTAAACGCCTGTGACCTTCGGTTCAAAAGATGCATAATAAAAAGCGTCTGCTGAGCGCGTCCACCCACCTCGGTGTCCTGACTCTTGCTGTTCCAGCGCGGGTTCAGGTGGCCGACTCGCGCGCTCAGCGTGGAGGAGACCGAGTAGCGGGCCTCTCCGTCGTACTGGGAGATGCCGTTGTCTACGGCGTCCACCTCCTCCACAAAGTTCTCGTACAGCTGCGAGGGAATGAAAGGAGAGGTTAGGACACTGCGATGACATGGGAATTGGCTGGTCATTTTTTAAAAGTCTTGGCAGTAAATCACTTTTTCTTCCGAGGACATTTAGAAAAAGGCATGGCTTTGAGCCGAGAGCGATGTACTAGGATTGCATTATTCTGATACGAAAACCCATTCGGTCAGAGAGTGTGGGCCTTTAGTGAGGGCTTAAGTGCACGGCTTTCGTTTAAAAAAAAAAAAAAATAGAAAAGGGTAAAAGGAGGCAAATTGCTGCAATTTTACAGTTCAATGGCAACGTTGCAGAGAGAGGTGGAAGAGGAGCAGAGAAGTGGAGACATATTTGAGGCTGAAAAGTCAACTCCTCTGTGCATCAACCAAACGGATGAAGTGGAACAAAATTTTGGGGGAGAAATAAAGAGACTCGTTTTGTCTGAACTGGCGGAGGACAAAACACTAAGCTTAAAATAAATAAAATTCCAGCCGTGAGTAAAAGGATTATTTGGGGCTTAAAACAAATTGACACATCAAAAGGGCAATAATAATAATACAAGTTGAGAATGGTGAATATCATGGTTGAAGTAAGGTTTGGCTGGATTAATGAGCCTGGGCGTCAAAATGTTATTTGTGCCGAGGCCTCCTGCTGGCGGTGGAAAATAGATTACACACAACTGCAGTGTCCAGTGAAGACGACCCTTCGAATTGCTTTCATTCGTAACCCAGATGTACCAAATGTTTATGTTAAGAATCCATCATTAATTTATTTGCCTGAACGGGCTACATGCTATTTTAAAAAAGGCAATAAATATTTCACAAAATTGCTAAAAAGAATTTATTTAGTACTTATTTTTCTTGAAAATAAATGATTAGTTGTATTAAAATGAACCCACAATGCTTTTATTCGTAATACACATGTACCAACTGTCTGATGAAGGCGAAATGTCCAAAACTAATAAGTAAGGGAGACTGTACAGTGTTTTAGTGACTAAAAAAAAATAAGGATTGTTTCTGCTAAAAACAATTGTCCTATTAACGTAGGATCTACAAAGTAGAAAAATGGTAATGAACCATCTGCGTAGTATTAAAAAAAGTAATAATCTTTCTCTGTCCTTTCATTCCCCTGTGATTCATTTTTCCAAAATAACTGACGAGGCATCTTTCCTCTTCATCATTATTTTTCTCTGAATGGAAACAAAACGGTTGCTGCTCCGCCTTCTGCTACAAAGCCGCTATCTCCCCCCCTCACCCCCGCCTCACCTTGTCATAGAGCACCTCCAGCTGCCTGTCGCCCTCCTGCAGCTGCGTCAGCTGCACCAGCAGCTGACGGCCAAAGTGCAGGTAGACGAGGCCCGCGGAGCTGAGCTTGGTCACCCACGGCTTCTCTGCACACAGGCTGTGGAAGCTCTCTGCAAAGGTCCTGATGGGAAGGCAGACGCCGCGTTAGTGGACAGCAGCTCCGACAGAACACGACTTCTAGCTCGGTTCTGCACGCGGAGAAGGTCTTTAGGTAAAATGGGTCTAAAGCCAACGTTTGGGAGAAAGTGCTGCTGACAGACAAACTATTCACATGTTCCCTATAACAGGCCTTTTCAAGGAAAGTACGGATTTAGGCTGTAAATTACATAAGGCAGCTGCACTCTAAAAGATTCTGCACAGCTTCAGAGAGCCAGTGTGCGTTGAATAGACGCCACCCGAGGTTATTTAATTCAGGATTAATTAGGACGATTGGGCTGCAGCACAGTGGAGAACAGGCCGTCAAGGGAAGTGGGGGCTTTCGTGAGATTTAAAAGTTAACTTAACTCAATGAAATGTCACAAAAATGTTTCAGCTTTAATTCACTGCTCCTGTCAAAAATATATCGTAGTTGGGTCAATTAATTCAATGAGCACATTTTTTATCTATATGCTCCTCTCACTACTGGAGTTTATGTATATATATATATATATATAATTAGCAGGATTAGGAAAATAATGTCTCAGGCTCATTTGAGAACAATTTAATATTTGTAACAGTGCTGCGAGATAACGGATGTTTTTGAACATTTGTGTCAACAAAACTCTAGAAAATCACTCTGGTGATTTTGAATGTTCATAAGGTTTGGAGGTGCTGGGCGGCAGATTAAGTTGGTCCCGTTTTCTAGCCCTCATGCTAAGCTACGGTGCCGAGTGTGGGAATTGCATCAATCTTAATTAACTCTCCTTCATTGGTTTCGTTTTAGGCCCTTGCCATTCTTACAGAAACGTATCGATATTATCGTCGACCTCGTCCGTCCAACGTCGCCGCTTTAACTTGAGACGGGGACTCTAATTGTTCTCGTCATCTCCCTCGGCAACCTCCTCCGGCGCCCGAAGCCACTTACACCCATATCTGCTGTCACGACCGCTTCGCCCCCACAGGTTAACGTGAGTGACAGCCGCATTCTCCTGCAGCCCCCCAGCAGCGTCGTGGCAGCCTCCGTGCCTCGTGAAGCCACACAGCAGCGGGAGAGGGGGGAGCGGGGGGGGGGGCGCGTTCATTTGAAAGAGCGTTAATTATCACTAACCCCCTGACAGGAAGAGACCCCTGGCGTATCTTTATCACCGTGGTCATGAAAGCTTTCTCCAATTATCATCAGGACATTAAGCTCGCAAGACAACTGGAATAGATTACCCAACGGGACGAGACGTGGAGCGAATGCAATCACTCGGAAAGAACTTTGGCTGGGAATTTAGCAGAGAACCTACGAGTGGGAATAAGATTGTTTTTTTATTTTTAAACTTTGACCACGATATGACATGTTAATCTTAGTGAATAAACCTTTCATGCATGTTGATTATATGGTTGCCACTAGATAGAATTTATTTTTATTATATATAGATGTATTTGCGCCAATTCAATCTCTAATAAATAACAGCAATTTATTGATCAAAGCAGGAAAGGCCCAGGTGTACTTAATTAAATGATATATAAATTATATCTATGGTATCCAGCTCAATGACACGGCTTACTGCCGCAACAAAGTGAAAAAAGTCATTAATAACAATATTAGTTTGAGTTATTTGAGAATGATGTTTTGGTAGGTTTCTGCATCCCTGAAGTATTTCTTCAGAAAATAAAACATTAATTTAATAAGCACATTACTCCTACAATGATTAATATGTTATATATTATTATATATATTAAAATATCGGTTTATGTAAAGAATCCAGTCAACTTCTTTGCCCGAAGGACTACAGGCTATTTAAAAAAAGGCAATAAACACTCCACAAATTGCTAGAAACTCATTTCTAAAAAGTATTCATTTAGTACTTTTCTTCACCAAATTAAAATGAACCCACAATGTGATCACCAGGACAGCCGATGTACAATAAATCTTCATATATTCCCAATCTTTCCAAGATGCCTGTATTAAAATCATGAAGGTATTGAACATAAACCCCGTAGCAGCAGCAGCTGCTTGCTACCAGCGTTGTACCTCTGGTGATGGTCATAGCGATGCCTCTTTGGGTCAAACTCTCCTCCAACGTCTACAACGATGTCACACTCGGAGAGCTTCGTCGGGTCCCTGGTGCGAACGATCTCGGCATCCTGTGCAAAGAACAGGATGGGTTTTTTTAGGACTGCTTCCACCAAGACCATTATGCACACAAGAGAGTGACACTAATGGGACCAAGTGGAGGCAGATGTAGTGTAGGAGGGTTTTAAGCTGCAAGGGGCCAGGCTTGTAAACTTAAAAGTTTAAACCTATTCATTCGCACACATTCACGTGTCGACTGAAATGCAAAGGGCTGCGCTCCTCATCAGGAGCAAGTTTAAAGCCCAATTGCACCTTTTCCGTTCGATGTTTGAGGGTCAACGAAATTGGCCCCGACTTAAAGAATAACTTGAAATGGAACAGTAAGAGGAGGGGAAAAATGGCTGCAGCTGTATTATTATTCATATAACACTGTGTGGACATTGACCAAACGACTTCATCATGTAACTCTACTTCTTTTGGGGCCCCAAACTATTTCAAATGTAAATATTACATTTGGTGTCTGATCTTATGCGGTTTTATCTCATTTTAAAATAGCCATTATTTAATAAAATAAGAAATAAATCCATTATAACAGGTGATTTAAAACTTTGCAATGGCCGTGTACATGAAAAATCAAATATAATAATAATAGAGTATGCACTATGTCTGCTTCTCAGCCAATCACGAAGACTTTGAGATCAGTCAGAGATATGTTCATGTTTACATTGTATTTTTATGAGTGAATGTGTTTACAATGAGCCAGACAACAGAGTGCGAAAAGTGGTCGGTGGAAGGCTGCTGCAGCTTTATGACAACATTGCATTTTCATCATTGGATCTTTACTCCAATAAGACGAAGCACCTTCATTTGTTATATATACAGACTTTCAATGTTATTAGATATAATGATGTAACGTATACGGTGACATAGAATTGCATTTGTATTTACTCTAATCATTCCAAAGGTTTGTGGTGGTGCGGTAACTTGCTTTTGGGACAGGTATAATTATAGTTCATAGTGTTTTTCTTTTAAATATAAACTGAATTAACTTGTATTATGTCGTCATTCTGTAAGCTCCATAAAAGCGTTCAGCAGCTCCCCCACGTGGAAAGATGTAAGAATTAAACGTTAAGACAATGTGGGAGACAAAAACATTCAGCAACCCCCCAGAAAAAAAGATCAGCCAATGCAGCTTGAAGAATATGGACTAGAGGAGCATCTAACGCTCCACGCTTCACCCGGAAGTAGTACAGAAACAGCCCGTAACGCCACTTAAACGCTTATAAGATCAACACATTCACCCATCACCTCTGCGCGGCCTCCTCCTGCAGCTTACCGAACGTACCTTGTACTCGGGAAGCTGCCGCAGGAAGAAGCAGGCGAGAACTTCGTCGCAGTGGAAGGTGCCGTTGTGAGTTCCGATCTTAACGACGCTCATGTTTTCCGCGCGGACTCTCTTCGGCAAACTCGACATGTGACGCGGCGCCGCGCGAGTAACGTCCGCGAAGCGTCCGCGGCAGCAGCTGGACCGAAAACCGAACAGCCGCGAAACACCCGCCGGGAAGTTCGAGTTCACTTTGGGTACGATTTTGGTCAAGTTCAGCGCGATCATGCGGACACGCAACATCCAAAACGAGACGACAGGCGACACGCGTTGGCGACGGAGGGATTTGATAGACGGACCGGAAGTGGTGCGCCTGTTTTGGGAACCGGGGAAAACCGACGATGTGATTTGTTGTTATTGTTTTTATTTGTTTTGTTGTTATCTACATAAGTATGCCTGGCCGTGGTAATTGTTAGCTAATTTAAGTGAGTTGAAGCACAACGTGTTATATTTTAAAGATTAATAAATTGCAAAGTGGAACTCTATCTATCAGTCTTTTTTTCCGCCGGCAGATGGCGCCTTACGCAGTGAAACGAGCTTCTTAAATCTTTTATACATGGAGAGTTATGTCTGTTTCACATTTCCTGAATACAATATTTATTCTTGTAATTGTAATTGTGTGTGTGTGTGTGTGTGTGTGTGTGTGTGTGTGTGTGTTTGTGTTTATACAGGGTATGTGTATTAATTAGGCTAAACACAATTAAAAATAAATCAATAGTTACAGCAACTGGGCCACTGACCCTCAGGGATCCAAAAAGGCACAGGTTACGTGTGGCGACTATATTTAATTTGTTGGATATACACATTTCTATGACAATGAAATCACTTCAAAAACAGAATGGACCCTATAAAGATCTACAGTAAGGTCAGTCATTGTTTAGCCAAAACCTGTATTATTTTACTAATACTGTTATTATTGATATGCTTTCCACAAAAGTGCATTTAATTGCATTGGCACATGGGATTATAGTTAATACAAATACGGGCATGTATGAGCTGCAATAGGCTTATAGGCTCATTGAGGAGGGTCAGACTCCGCTCTCTCCCCCGCCTCCCGTTCTCGCGGTATTACCTTCCAAGGTTTATTGACAAGGTAATTAACCAGATGGGACCACTGTTGTATTCACCCCGAAGAGGCACTACGCTTCTCACGGTTTTTCTCGCGTGGACATCCGAACGACCAGTGAAAACCAGTTGTGTGCGTGGCTGTATTCCACAACACCGATCCTGTTAAAGGTAGCTATTTTCTATCGCATTTATCTTTTGCACAATCTTTTTCCTGCAGCGGTTAAATCCTACCTGTGACCCTGGCAATACTGTTCAGTCTAAGTGCACTAATCCGTGTGCACACACACATTGCACCAGCGGTACTGCTCATGCTCTTTTAAAGTTATAGAGATGCAATTGATGTCTTTCGGAACCACGGGAAGTCCGCCAAGGCCACGCATGTTGAAACTAGTGAAGCGCTCCAGTGAGACGTTCGATGCGACGTAGGTTGCATCCACAAACGCGAGGTGGCGCTGTGGGGTCGATGGCTCTGCTGAGAATGATCGGCCCTGCATGGCTGCATGCCACCAGCTCTACTGGCACATTGAGACCCTTTATTTCAGCTTAATTAAATCGATGAGCATCGATTTGAAGCAGGCGCACGTGTACCGTAGAGGGGGAGGTTGTAGGTTTTCTCTTGAAAAGACGCTCAGATGTGATGAAGAAACACGACTTTTATTAAATGAATGTTTCAGTTATGCAAAAACTCAGTCGATATGCAATTACTCTTCTGCGGATTGTGCTCTTAAACTGCACATTTAGGTGAACAAATATATCGTTTAATAGTTTCACAATGGCTATATTAAACAATTAAACATTCACTTAAAAACGGGACTATTCATTCCAAACTGCCACAAGCTAAAATAATAAATATGTCAGTTTTTGTGTTGGCCATTAGGGCTTTTCAGCCCTCATCAGCACCATGGACAGCGCACTTCCTGAAACAAGAGGCTTAACTAGCCTGGTTATGTTGCACTATGGATGTTTCTTTGAAGTTGGCTACTTGTTTTTTAGACGACACTATTCATTTTAAAAAATTTCTATAACGTATTGCTAAAAGCCTCATCATTTCCATCACAGAATTGTAACAATAGATAATTGCCCTCTTTACTACCGATGAATTAATTACTCTTAATACAGGTAATATGTGGTCCGGTCAAGTGGTTTAATTAGCATAACTGTGTATAATTGATGACTTGTATTCCTCCAGAATAGAAATTTAGGAGACAGTGCCTCAACCTCTTATTATTCTGAATATATCAATCAAATTGTAAAAATATCAACTCGTATTAAACAGAAGATCTGTGTTGACAGAACATTACTGGACATCTACAGCTGCATACTGGAACAGACACCTTCAAAGACAGATGAGAATAAAGCCAGAAACAGACAAATCAATAAAACATTAAGGGGTTTCAAGAAAAAAAAAGACTCAAGGTCATTCTTGCTTATTGTGGAGTACAAACAATATACATATATAATTTAAAATTGCTCAGATTTGTTAAACAAATGTAGAACATCTATTTTCACAAAACGTTTACAAAGTTCAGTTAAATTTAGATGGACTTTTAAGTCTTCAGGTGTGTAAAAAATCCTTTGAATAAAACATCTGAGATGGAATGATGAGATTTTGGATGAACTGCTCATAGGAACATCTGGTCTCTTTTGTGTGTTTCCTCAAGCGATACGGTATCTGACCCCTTTTTCCCAAAAATGGAATGAGTCATAGTCACAGGCCAACTGAAATAAACAAGACTGAAGATAATGTTGATGCTCACCAGCCAGCGCTGTATCAGACAGTCAGCCGGCCCCCCAGCCCACCCCATTGGCTCGCCCTAAACCATGAGATGCAGCTGTGGGCGGGAACCAAGAAAACGTCACACTGCCTGTGTAATCTTCCCTGCTGCTTCCAGCTCTACACGCGGTGATGATGGGAAATGATCCTTCCCTGGCTGTCCTTAAAAGGAAGAGCAAAGCTGTGTTCATTCAAAAAGTATAGATCATTTGCTACGGGGCAAGTGTGTGAGTGTCACATTCCCCGAAGTTAATACCCTGCAGAGGCTGTTTTCCTATGTTGACTCTGTTGTCGATGTAAAATAGCAAACTGGATAACAACAAATGAACATTGTGGTTTTTGTAAGGGAAAATAGTAAAAAAATTGTATATATATTCAAATAATGTCCAAAGTGTATACGATAGTGCTCTTTAATTATGTGTGATACAAGTAGAGACGTCTTTTCTGTGTTCCAAAATGTTTACTAAGTTGACATAATCAAACCTCCCTTTAAGTAAAGTACATGGACATGGGATGATGTAAAGTTATATTCTCATATATATATATATATATATATATATATATATATTACATTATATTTTTACACTGGGACATTAATGATTTATGACCATAAAACGAACAAAATGAGTCAAGCCCCAGTTCACTATTTTAAAGTATTACATGATGTATATAGCCCAGGAATTAAAAAAATATTTGATTTTAATTTGACAAATTTGGGGCGTCTCATTTTCACCGCCATGAGCGCCGGCTGTTTTAATCAATCGCTTTTGTAAAACCCGAGGCATCACAAAAAGTCTTGTCCCACACCCAGAGAGAAAAAGGTTCATTAGCACAGCACACTTCTTCCTAACTGATCTAATGAGGAACAAACTGTCTCCCAGCCGCCAAAAAAACAGCCTCTAGAAAACAGCCTAAAAGAATTGTCCGCGTAATTATTAACACTTCCCCAGAAACAGCTGGTGATCCTCTACACTCAAGGGCATTTGGGAAGTGTAGTTAATCCAATGATAATCTTGAGCATGGTTTAAACATATTAACGCTTTAATTGCCACGTGTGCTGTGCAATTATACCGTCACCAATTACACGGCTATAGTTTACCGGCCTGTCTCAGCATTTGGTTCCCTCTAATAGATGCCCTTTATCAACGCATGCAAGTGAAGCCATCAAGCCGAGCGCTAATGGATCTATCATTGAAATAATGAATTAATTACAAGTTGATGTAGAGTGGTGCAGGACAACGCCAGGCTGCGTTGCACGGGAGTCGATGTATAGTGTGGAAAAATGGGAGATTCTAACATAAGGGAGAGTTGGTTGGCCACATCGCCGATGAAGGTGTGTGAAGATGTGTGAATCTGTGGCCGTGCGTATACGTTTTTGTGTGTGTGTGTGTGTGTCCATCCATTAGAATGCAGAGTGCGTCCTCCGGTGTGAGTCATCCGTCCCCCCCCCCACACCCATACACCCACCCTCACCAGCAGCATCTAACTGCAGTCACCGCCTAATATTACGCCTCTGACTTCACGTGGCCAACCGAGGATTCTGTTTCTACGGCAACACGCTCCAGACCCCTCCTCCGGCTCCACCTCCCTTGCGCTCCTCCCGCCCACGCCTTCCCGGCACAAACCATGTGACTTTCAGGAAGGTTTCTCAAACCTCCTCTTTATTGTTATTAACCCTCTCGTGACCGGGCCGCTGCCAGAGGCTCTCCTCGGCGAGCCGCCCGGCTGCATGGCTGCTTCGCCTCGCAGAGGTTTCAAAGGGAAACCAGGCGAGTCGCTAATCTCCCCCGGTAGATCAAAGCAGTGCTTGATCTAAATGCTGGATTTGCATATTTTAGTGAGTGGCCAAATGAGTCAATATGGTTCTCCAGTTGTCTTGGACACATCTTGAAATCATGAAAAAGCTGCAGTGGTCAATATGTTCGTGTTAGCAATATATCACATGTACTCATGTACTTGTAAGCAAAAGGGGTTTTGCTGGTAGTGTTGCATCAACAACTGTGGCAATCAAACTTCAGCTTGTGCTTTTTATGTACTTTTTTATGTACTAATTTACTGGTTTGGTTGACTTTCTCTCCTCAATGTCATTTTAGCCGCAGCAGGCAGCTGCTTTACATGGAAATGCTCTAAAAACCCTTGTAGCCACTTTATCTTATTAGCAAACAGCAGGACGGACATAGTTTGGGACTAATTGGAGAACACATTCAGCAGATTAAGAGACAGACATTCCCTCAGGAGTTATTGGAATCTAACTTTACCCAGTCGATTATTTGTTACTCTATAACTGATTAATCTAGGCCAACCGCCATTGTTGCTTTGAATAAACAGTCGCTTCACCTTGTTGTCTCGCACCCACCTTAACCATTAGCTCCTCATCGAACAATGATGGTCTGCGCCGTGGCCTGCTGGGTGCAAGTACATTACTCGAAGCCTAACGTGGATTTTTGTGGGATTTTTTGTGACATCGCGAGAATATAGATATATATATATATATATATATATATAGCCAGGCTGATAGGCCAAAACAGAACTAACATGGGTGTGATTTTTATCTTCCACTAATCCGCTTAAAATTGCCCGTTCAAATAAATGCTAATATTATTCCATTATTACCGCCAACAGCCATTGTTCACATTGTTTGTAATTGAAAATTCTAAATGTAACTTTTGATCCAGTCGTTTTTCGGCAGCTTTCTACCATGACATCTGCTTCCCGCTCTTGAGTACGTAATGCTGTGATGGCGGCAACCATTAACGTCATCAAACATCGTTGATAGAGTTTCGAAACCGGAAGAGGAATCATGGCGCCCAACAGTGAACTCAGCTGAATATTACTTCATTGGCTCAACTTTTTCATGTGCATCCCATTGGGAGATGGTGTAGGCTGTGCATGGGTATGTGCTCATGAACACATGCACGTGTGTGTGTGTGTGGGAGCGGATGAACTTTGTGAATGAAAACTCTTTCTCGTGAGCTGCCGACGGGAGGTGAGATCATCTTGTTGAAATAGAGAACCCCCCTCCCCCCTCCGACAAACCCCTTGCATCCGCCCACCTATACTGGTTGGCGCCATCCTTAATGAATCCTGTCAGGGGGCGAAACACAAACCTGATGACAACATCGTCCAATACCAGCTGCCCCCAAAAGAAGAGGAAGGGATCACACCCGTGTGTACGTTCACGCAGACATACATAAGCACACGTTCACATAGAAACACATTTCTGCTGTTTTGCTCTCACCGGGAATCTGAAAGGACGTCTGCGGTATTCCGCCGTTGGCTTTCAGTCAAAATGTTGTCGGAGCAGAGAGCCAATTATCTTTGCTTCTTTTGTTCACGTTCCCTCTAGGACCAAAGTTGAGTGGATTAGATGATTGGCCACCTATTCAGCAGTGTGTGAGTGAAAGTGACAAAGACTAACACAAGGGGCTCTCGATGAGGATCCATAAATAGGCCCTCCACAGAGCCAGAAACAGCCCCCCCCCCCCCTCGTCATTACTACACCCAACCACACACACACACACACACCTCTACCTTCCCCCTTATCTGATAATCTGTGACCATTTGGCAGCGGGCCTGTCACAGCACACGTTACACTCCCAGCCAAACGCACGGCATTCCCCCTTGACGTCCTTCAATGCAGGCGTCTCTATAATTCCTTCCTACAGATTATGAGCATGTTGCCAAACAATGCAGTGTTTTACATCAGCCAGTTGGTTGGATACCACATAAGGTCGTGCAGTCATTAATTCAGTATTCTGACTGAAGCGCTGTCGGGTGCGCGTTCTCTCTCAGATGGTCACGTATGCAGCGGGAATTGTATGTGGCAGGAGAACGCACGCAGCTCTTTCTGAATCCCCAGTACAGTCTTTGAAGATCAACGAGTGTCCCGTTGAATTAATATATGTACTGTATACAGCTTTTTCTACCGTCACTTTTCAGATATGAGTTGGGGGTTCTTTTTGATAAGGAGTGATACCCTGCAGCATTCAGTCTGGGCTTGTTGTTACCACAGCAGAAGCAGAAGCGGTACAGGGCCTCAGAGGACTGAACTTCTCCGACAACGAGCCGTCCTCCAACTACCAGCACTGATGAATAAATCATGGAGAAAGTTTTAAGAAGAAAGAAATAGAATAGAGGAGTGTTGCTCCATTCAGATCGCCTTAAGACAGAATTCTAGAAATGGATGGCATGAAATAGCAAGAATGATTAAAAGCTGATTTTCGCCCTATTTCATGTTATATTAAAACTAGCATTAAACATTCATAAACCACAGTATACTCGGCAAGGCATTCTTGAATATCCATTTGGGGACTTGAAGATAATGTTTTATCAGATTGTGAAAATCATTTAAAAGTCATTTAAATTTAACGTTTTCTCTGAGAGCGTCCCGCTGAGATGGGTGTAACAACATGTTGTAAAGAAAATAAGCATTAAACATTTAGTCGCTTTCGTAATACAGGTCCATTGCGATTTTGTCTTCCTCTTTGTTTATTTGGCCAGGCTGCATGTGGAGGAAGAGGCCCAGAGTGACTCAAATATGTACAAATGAAAACAAAAGCACACTATTTGTAAAGTGTAATTAAAGTGGAGACGTCAAACACAGTGCGGTGATCTGTTTTTTCCATCTGTACTTGTGTATTGTGGTCGGCCAGGTCTCAGCATAAGCCAGGGTTTCCCCCACTGTCTGCAACTATAACACGATGAGGTCATCGTTGGGGTTTAAGCCCAACACGAGCTTAATCTGGGAGATAAGGGCCGGATTTGGATTTAGCATTCAAAAAGGGTCATGTAGCTACAACTGTTCAGACTGCCACAGTAAGCACACGGCTCAGACATGAGATCTCCAGCTGTTCCACCATCACATCTTGCGTCTGCCAAACGGTTTGACTCTCGGTAGATTCTTCTGTGTTTACGGTGATTTCATGATCTCCCAGTCGGCCTGTAGAGTTACACCGACATTCACTCATGCAGGAATTCTATGATTTATAGTATGTTGGATTTGAGGAAAGGGACTAGCCGGTTTGTACTTTACAAATGGCGGTATGACGTGTTAAAGGGTGCAGTTTGTGGCTTAACATCTGACCGCAATTATTTATGTACACTAAGTGTCGGGACATTTTGCAGCACAAACAACATTCTAAATCGGGTTCATTTGACTTTATTGTGCCTTGCAAGCCTGCGTGTAAATAGTCCTACAAATGACACAGTCAAAGATTTGTATCCACTCGTGCACGATGGCAGGAACGCACGCTTTGGAAATAACATCTGAGGAACCCTGGACAATGAGGATCTTGTGGTATTTGTGAGCACAAAATGCAATTTGTGATGAAAGATGACAGTGATGTATTTTATTTCATTCGGGTTATTTGAAGTCGCTGAGGGAAACAAATCACGCCTGGGGAAGGCCTCACTTAGGTCCCTTGCTGTCCCACTCTCCCTATTGCAGAGAAATGGGTCAGTAGAGAGAGTAGAGAAGATGATAATACATAACAACGACCTGCCTTCATGGACCTTCTATGTTTGTGCTCACAGATTACGCACCAGTTCCACTCTTCCGTTAATAGGGTTTGAAGGGATTTACGCGGCGCCGTCCAGTCAAATGCTGCATGCTTTAGGGATGACATCATTTCGATCACCTCACTCGCCGTCCGACCCCTTACATCCCTGCCTCGGAGTAGCCCCACGCACGCTCACAAACCGGTTTACCTGCCGCGGTGTCCGTGTCCTTGTCTCACCGCACGGAGCTCGTCACCGCGCGCTCGTCCCCTGATAGGAGGACACCGACGCCGCATCCCTCCCTCGTCCTCCTCTCCCCCTCCCCACGCTGGTGTTTACGAGTGTATATAGGTGAGATAAACCTTATCAATTCCTGGTGTATGCGCAGATCGCACCCTCTAAGGAGAATGGAAAAGGAGGAGGAGGAGGAGGAGGTGTAAGAGCAGGAAAAACAAGCGGACCGAGGGAGCGTTCACGTTTCCAGCTGTAGCGGCGTTTACTGCTCGCTGGGGGGAGACGACGCAGACCTCCAGTCATCCAGGGCGGAGAAGCGTCGTTGGATACAGAGGAGGAGGAGGAGGAAGAGGAGGAGGGGGAGTGAGCGTGGATGCTGGGTTGTTTTTTTTTCACCGACAAGACCAGAAAGGGAGAATTATCAGGCGGTTGTTGTTCGAATCCTAAACTGCGAAGTGGAAATACGCGTTTGTGGTCACCGGCGATGGACTCCAGCTGTCGGCACTAAGGTAGGACACGACTGCCGTCGTTTCGGCGTGATAGGTTGGGCTGTTAAACGATCGACCGCGGTGGGTTTTATCCAACAAACCCCCAAAAAGGCGTTTTTGTTATTGAAATATGAACTGCGGCAGTGTGTTTTGACAGTAGCGTCAGTGACGCTCCGCCGCCGACGCAGCGGGAATCTGAACCCGCAGCAGGAGCCGCGATGATGCGCGCAAGAAAAAAAAAAAAAAAAACTCCCGACCTCCATCCACGATGCGCCGGCCCGTAACGGAGCGCAGCTGATCCCTCGGAAATAGATCCAGTCAGAGCCGGAGCGGGACTATTAGCAGGCAGGGTCAGTCGGATGTGAAGAATTATTTCCGACACCAGATGTGTCTGAGGGGTTTTGGGTTCTCTCTGTGCAGAAGGATACAATGACTTTGAGCTGCCCGGTTCTGGTTTGTTTGATGCGTCCTTCAGGCCCTCTCTTGCTTCGGACTATGATTTCTCGCTATTTCATTAATTATTGATGGTTATAGACAGCTTTAGGCCGTGGCACGAGGCCCGATAATGCATCAGATTCAAGGCACATGAGAATACTTTTTTCACAGTAAGGCGATATAAAAGTCTTAATAGAATGTTAATACCTTCAAGTTTAGTAATTTGACTGAAATTAACATGGGGGTGTGTACAGATACTGGAAGTCTCCCCTCGCAATGACTATGATGAACTGCAAACTGATCCAGCTGCATGTTTGCAATTATCTAGAAGAAAACACATGTGTTGCTTCGTATGCAGTAAAACAACACAATGATGTTGATTTTAATCATTATTTTACAACGCAGGTAAAACCTGTCACCTCTAGTCGTGCTTGTCAGACAGCTACTGGATCATTTAAAAAGGCACTGACATGAAACCGTGCATTTTGATTCCCGGCTGAGCGTGAATGTGATGTTCTCCGTGCAATGACAAGCTTTGAAGAGGCTTGCCGAATTCTCTCGCTATTATACAGCGAGTTATTTCTTCCACACGTGTAAGATGGTGCTCCAGTAGGATGTAAATCACTCTGCAGGCATTGCTTATTCATGAACATGAATCATAAACCAAAAGTCAATTCAATACTATATATGTAAAGTTCTGTGAGGACATTATTGAGGCGCTGGGATGCTGTGGCACCTTGCCAGGTTAGCTTTGTTAGAGGTCGTCTGATATTATTTTCTGCAGTACTTCATTAACAGTAATCCTGAGCTGAGGCCTCCTGTGATTTATGATCCAGGCAGGCTTGTCGTTTGTTCTTTGTCCGCTGAATCATGTTCTACATTCTGGCATCGATTTCACATCTTTGGATATTGGACATCATGACCCACAAGTTGGTGTCATTGCTCGCTAAGCACATGCAGTGCAGACCACTGTATGTTTATTTACCCATTCAAATTGAAATTGAAATACATTGTTTTTAGGGCTGCCAGAAATGCCTAACCTTCTTTTTTGTTTCATACTCTTCCATTTGAACAAGATGAACGAGATGAACAATTTGCTGCAGTTGAATATTGTGCACATTCTTGTTTTGAGCTCTCAACATTGTATGCACGGTCCTGAGGGTCCCTCTCTATAAAAAGCTGCAACGCAGTGGGGGATCCAACATAGAAACTATGAATGGGCCTGTCTGGGATGTTGATCATAGTTTTATGGAGGTGTGCTTCCATGTCAGCATGAAATTGAGGGAAGTTCTAGCTCAGGGGCCTACTTATAGGAGCCTTAGTACTCGTCTTCCAGAAGTGACGCTCTCCTAAAAATCTCTTCTGCCAAATAAGCATTCATTGCTCCCAGAGTATGAGAGAATAATTCTAACGTTCCCTCCTCTTTTCCTCTCTCCCTCCCTTTGGTCTCGTCCAGCTCTCTAGTTTTTCTGATGACCAACGGCCCTCATGGCGCTTATTCATGAATCACGTGCCCCCTCGCCTTCTCTCTCCGGCTTCAACAGCCCGCTCTCTGACCCGCCGTCCTTCCGTCGCCTCGATGCCGAGACGCCCTGCACCCCAGAAATGGACCTTACCCCGACCCAGTGCGTCCTTCGCAACGTCCTCTCCATGGACACCGGAGGCGTCGTGGAGCCGGGGGGCGGCGGAGGTGGAGAGGGGCAGACTTGTGCACACAACCAGACACCGAACGAGGATCAACAGGAGCACTTTGCCAACAGTGTCCTGAAGCTACACGAGCACGACGGGGGTCCGGGGCGGACGGAGGGAGAGGGGCAGGAGATGGAAGGCAGTGCCGTCAGGAGCCAAGCGGGTGTCGCCAGGCTACAGTGCCAGTCCACCGGAGGGGGAGGAGGGTTTCTGGAGGGGTTGTTTGGGTGTCTGCGGCCTGTCTGGACTATGATTGGCAAAGCTTACTCCACGGAGCACAAACACGGCCTGGACGGTAAGTCGAGCAGTCGAAAAAACGCTTCACTGGAAACACACAAACACGTCTGCACACACATTGGTTTCCAATGAAGCAAAGCTCCAGCTCCCATTTAATTCCATAGAGAAGCTTTGATATGCTAATGGGATGATTTTATCCTCCAGTTTAATTACATTAAACAGTTGGTAGAAAAATGACTCCCACAAAGGCCATGTTGTAAACAAACACTTTCCTCGACGTGAAAGAGCTGCAGCCAGAGAGAGACTCTATCAAAGCTGCAAAGGGCTCTTATTCCCATGATATTTCCCCCCAACCATGCCTGATTGGGCCCACCGCACCTTCTCCCTCGTTCCCCCCCCCCCCCCCTACCCCCACCTGCACCAATGAAGACTAGCTCCCTGTGACGCTGTGTTGTTTATGTCTGCAGCCACTACAATAGCGCACAACTCCCCCGGGGACTCCTCCGCCAAATCTGCCCCATGAATTATGCATGGCCACGCTCCGAACCTGCGTCTCTCATCTCTATTAACGCGAACCTGCCACTCGCATATGGGAACCCAGATATGGCTGAACACACACACATAAACAGGTCCACAAATTTAAAAAAAAAACATTTAATATCTAGCATCGACGCAAGCACAAAAAATAAGATGCCAAAAACAAACTTGATGGAATAAATACGGCATCGCACACCGGGCCTGAAGATGGCAGATTTATGTGCACATATATTTTCTCACCCGTTTGACTTCTACATCTCCCCTCCGCACCCCCTTCCCACCTCACCTCCTCCTCCATCCACGTCTCATTGTCTCCTTTTTCTCTCCTTTTCATCCTGTGCTGTTATCACCCCCAGCCCATCTGCACCTCGCTGCTCCCCTCCTCTCTGTGCGGCAGTCGCACTCACTCACATGAGCAAAGCGGATATTATAAGAGTGACATAAATAGGCATTCAGTGGCGCTGCCCCTATCTACCTTATCACAATGCTCTATTCTTAAGCTCTGATTGGAAGGCACAATGGAGCACAAACATGCAGAGAAATGATCTGTTCTTTATGGATTGTGAAGGACTAAGGGGAGCTTGGTGGTGCTTTAGATTTCATCAACTCTTCAGATCAACAAAGCGGACCCGGCAACATTGGGGTGTGTCAGATGTGGCCTTATGTCTTTATTGTGGGACATTTGAGGGGCTCATTAGAGACAGTGTTCTCAATCTATCAGGGCATCATTAATCATTCATAACATCCTTATTAATATGATAAATGTGTCTAAATCCTCTTCCAGCAAGTTCAGGAACAGCAGCAGAGCAGGCTGTATATTTTCTCCGTGTTAATGATGTGTTCTCGGCCACATGGACCCTTGCCGACCCGAGGGGGACCCCCCCCCCCCCCATCCCACACACACACACACACCTTCTTTTCTCTTTACACACACACACACACACACACACACACACAAACATATCTACCACCATCATCCCCCTCCACCTCCATATGCAACGTACATGCCCATTAGTCTCTCAAATCCGGCACCACCCCATCCCCACACCCCACCCCACCTCCCGAGCGTTGGACCCCTGTTTTGCATCGGCCCCACAATGGCACTAAGCAGGATTTAGGAGGCTGAGGGAGAATTACCCGCAGGAGATTAGCTGCACACCCTGAGTCTTAGGTTGAGGTGAGGTTCAACAACAGAAAAATATTTCAAATTAGGCTCTTTGTTGACTGTGAGAGCCGGAACCTGTTACAGCTTTTACTATTAAAGCTGCAAGATATATTTGTACAATAGTTAATTGTTTTGCATTGCTGTATGCTTGCTGCTACTAGTTCAACATTCAGGGTTATTGGTATGAAAAGTCTTAGTAAATTTTGCCCCCGGCAATGCCCATGGCCCAGTCCATTCGCCCCCAGATTTATTCAAGAAAGCTTAATTTAAGCTTTAACTTTTTTGAACGGATTTTGAACGTATGCAACAACATAACTAAACTTTTGTTTCATGTGTGTAACCATTACCCGGGGGACATATTAGGGGAATAGTTCAACATATACAGGAATACCCACATTGGTTTTCTGGCTCTGTGGGAGGAGAGCTTCGCTCCCACTTCTTTCTTGGGGCGTCAGACCGGGTAAATAATCCTCAATTCGGCGGGGGGCCCATAGTCCACATGTTCCGCCGCCAATAGGCTCACAAACTGTTGGGCTTCCCTTTTTTTTCCCCCCCCCCCCCCCCCCCCCGACCACAGAGGCGTGGGAGATCCCCTTCGAGGAGATATCGGACCTGCAGTGGGTGGGCAGCGGAGCGCAGGGCGCCGTCTTTCTGGGCAAACTGTACGGACAGGAAGTGGCTGTCAAGAAAGTGCGTAACATCAAAGAGACGGACATCAAGCACCTGCGCAAGCTCAAGCACCCCAACATCATCACTTTCAAGTAAGTAAGAGCTATCGGTGGGGCAGAGCTCCTTCCTTGCACTGTATCAACTCTTAACTTGTTCCGCGTTGTAAATCTCTGCCCTGCACAGAGGTATTTGTACCCAGGCTCCGTGTTACTGCATCATCATGGAGTACTGTGCCCAAGGACAGCTGTTTGAGGTGCTGAGAGCGGGCAGGCAGATCCATCCCTCCCTGCTGATGGACTGGGCCATGGGCATCGCCGGGGGCATGAACTATCTCCACCTCCACAAGATCATCCACCGAGACCTCAAGTCACCAAAGTGAGTTTTGTAGACCTGTTGTTTAGGTTGTTAGGGTTGTTTAGTTAACTCTCACATCACTAAATAGTCACAATTAAAGCTTAGGTCCAAAGGGATCAGATGGATCCTCTCATTGTGATGCTTTTATCCAATAGATACAGATTCAATTATCCAATAAATATTTTTTCTTCCTTCCTCCTTTTAATCATCTCGCAAACCACACGATTTATCTCTTAGCCTTCAGCTTGGGAACAACTGCTCAACACAAAGATACCTTGATTGGACTAATTTAGATGCTGTGATTGGGCTAATCTACAACCCTGCAACAGCTTAACTCCCACACAAAAATGGACTGACCGACTCAATGATCGTTTTAAATACATTTGGTAAACATTTGGATCACAGACAATTTAACTTCAAGCTGTTCTTATTTGTGTACCAAGAAAACACTCAAAAATAAACGTTGCGTCTACCGCTTGATTCCAGCATGCTGATCACGTATGATGACGCGGTGAAGATTTCTGATTTTGGCACATCCAAGGAGCTCAGTGACAAGAGCACCAAGATGTCCTTCGCTGGTACGGTGGCCTGGATGGCTCCCGAAGTCATACGCAACGAACCCGTCTCAGAGAAAGTGGATATTTGGTAGGTGTCACAACCGTTTTACACTGTCCTTTTGCACTGGTGAACCTCTGCAATTTCCCCTTATGATTTGTTTTATGTCATTGAATTAACATGAAATCCCATTAGTTACAGCCTACTACACTACAGAACGCAGGATCCTATTTCCAGAAAATCTATTGAGTATTATGTACAATATCTCATTACATGAAATTCTATAGGGCCCAGGCCAAATCTGATGGGTTGCCCTATGTTAAGTCCTGATCTCCCCCCAATACCATCTCCCCCTCTATCTCTCTCTCTCTCTCCCATCCTACATCCCTCCATCACTCTTCCTCTCCGTCCTGAAAGGAACGCTGGCTAATTTAATAATTGATTTGCCAGATGCTGCAGTGCTCAGGAGAGGCTGGAATAACCTTCCAAGCCTGCGGATGGTTTGGCCCGAGGCCAGCAGTGCATTAGCAGAGAAGTGAAAATAGGATTAAAAAGCTTTTCCTGTGGAATGAAAACATGGCGCGGGTGTGCGTTGTCCAGTTTTGCTTAAATGTATGTAAGTTATGTCATAGATCATACCACGAAAAGAGCCTGTCAGTATTATATGGTGAAGTATTGTGTTGTGCTGACATACTTGCTGGTACAACTCATGTCATGTCTGATCTTTTAGGACTATAAAGGAGGAAACCAGAGCTAGAATTTAATGTAATCACATCTTAAAGTTAATTAAATTGCAACCCTTTTTTAACTTGAACTCAAATCAATTCAACAATAATTGCTCCTGCAGTGGGCTGTCACAAGGTGAACAGATTAACACACAATAAATAGGAGAATAAATAATAAATACCATTAAATACAAAGAAAAGGAAAATTAAGTCAACATGGAGCCAAAAGTGTGAATTGACTGGTTTCTGATACAGCATTGTATTATGTAAAGCAGAAAGAATGTGTTTCCCTTGGTTATTAAGCTTCTGGATAAAGTTCTCAAAAGAAATGATGAGTACAATTTGGTTTAAAAACAACAACAACAAAGTGGTGATTATCATTTCTTTATCTTTAAGTAAAGATTGCAGTATCACTGCAATCACGAATGGAACATTCATTTGAATACCAAAGTATACTATGCTGTATAGAAATAAACAAATGACCCATCTAATTAACAGAAAATATTAACTTTTAAATTTAGAAATTAAGTTTCTCTTGGATGGAGAAGAAACCATAAATCCACCTTTAAACACAACATCCTCAATGCTGTGTGTGATGCTATTGACACCTTGGATACTGTAAATGGTCACCATGGCAACCTCTCGGCATCTCCAACAACAGACTTGCCTTAGTTACCTTCCCCATAGGGCCGCTCGCCTGGTTTCTTCTACCACACAAAGACGGAGCTCATCAATGGAACACTGAACTGCGGCGAAGAAAAGCTTTGCGTTGTGGCAAAAACCATTGTTGTTACTAATTACTTAGTAACAACAAAGGTGATGTATTTATCAGTGTGTACATATGATTCATATTTATACATAAAAGGGAATCCAAAATATCCAGTACATTATTGCGGAACTACTAACGTTAGAAAAATGTTATCATTGATAAAGGTTTCCATACAAACTGATTAAACTTATTATAATAAGGTACCAAACACTGCCTGCAAGGCAGTGACGCCCCAGGCTTTTTTTACAGGGGCAATGTATGCCTTCAGATTTGTAATCTAGATCTCGACATCCATTTCTGCCAAGTTGAAGGTGTGACATTTCAGTCAGGCCGCTTGTATCGGGGTCACATCGCATCGTTTTATCAATGTGTCGGAAAGTCAATGCTCCACGTCCCTCCGCAGGTCATTCGGCGTCGTGCTGTGGGAGATGCTGACAGGAGAGGTGCCCTATAAGGATGTGGACTCCTCTGCCATCATCTGGGGTGTGGGCAACAACAGTCTCCATCTGCCTGTACCTGATAGCTGCCCAGACAGCTTCAAACTACTCCTGAGGCAATGCTGGTGAGTAGGGGGGGTGAGGGGGGGGCAGACAGAGATGGAATGAAGGAGAATGATGTTGATGCATCAGCACCGAGAGAATAATCTATGCAGAGAGCACTGTAACAGAGGGATCTAAATAATATGAGACATTCATGGCAATGTTTATTACACTACTGACCAAATATTTGTTTAAATTGGGTGCAGGAACTGCAAGCCGAGAAACAGGCCTTCCTTCCGGCAGATTCTCCTGCATCTGGACATCGCATCAGCAGATATACTATCGACTCCACAAGAAACCTATTTTCAGACTCAGGTAAGTTTCCCTTATCCCAGCCAAGGACCATGAAATCTAAATGATGAGTCAAATTTTAGTATTTCGAAGTATTTAGAGATAAAAGACACTTCATATGCGTAAGTCTCAGTCTCCCAGGTCAAATGAATATAAATAAATCAGACAGATCAGACGAAGTAAGCATGAGCTATATATTTCTCTTAATAGCAAACCTCCCGTCAACAGCAGCCGGTATTTCTAATAGTCATTTTGCTGTCAACTTACTCCCATTAGTTTCCAGTCTGCTGCAGTAACTACAAGCGGTGCAGCTGCAATACCCCCCCAACTAATAATACCTGTCCTCTCAATCAAAACATATTACTGTTGATTCCTTGGTCTTTGTTCCTTGTCAAAGATTGCAGCCTCCCTCCGTATCCAAGGGGGACGGTGAAGGTCTATGTGATGGTGAGGGTGTGTCTATGAGAGGGCGGGGGAAGGGGAGGCCAACGACAGATATGTTGAACCACTGTGAACCCAAACAAATGAAGGACAGGAGAACAGAAAAGCATAATTGTGCGGAAGATATGCGTTTACTCGGCCATGCAGAGCCAGAAATCCATTTATAACGCAAGCACGTATAATTGTAAGACACACTCATGCACACAAACACACAAAATTGATACAATTTAATTTCCTTTTTTTTTTCCGCAGCAACCCAGTGCGTCCTCCACGTCTCATGATGCAAAATACAAACCTCTTTCACTCGCTCCTACTTATCCTTGATCCTTTATTTCTCCCTGTCTCCCTGTCCCCTTCCCCTGCTGCAACCCCATAATGGATTTTTCTTGTGACGTTAGAAAGAAGTATTTGCTGCTGGAGTGTATTGATCGCTTTAATGGCAGGGCGCAGAGAGTAGAGAGAGAGAGAGAGAGAGGGGACTGGAGATGTGGAAGAGTGCGCACCAGAGTCCATTAGCTTAATAAGAAGAGCATCACTCACGCACAGGAAGAAATACACACACACATGGAACACGCGCGTGCTCGTATATCAGGCTTCCTTTGTCCTTTGATATGACAGGTATCAGATAACTGCTGTTTCGCTCCACCGTGTGCAAGAAAATGCTCATGTTGCATCTTTTCTGGTGTTCAGTTCATGTTCATTTTTGCTCTGTGTGTATTGATTATCATCTGACAGTTTAATGCAGTTTATTCTCAATATTGAGATTGCCTGTTAATGTTATTACTTAAATGTAAAGTTAAGTTACTAGTTACTTGGCAGAAAAAACACAGGAATGGTGCAGCGTTTTCCAAGTGTACAAATCATAATAAAAAAGAGAAATCAAAACGGGAAGAAAGTGTTTGTAGATGGAAAGAACAAGCTTAATATAAAACGGAGCAGGTACCTGCTCTCTAGCTAAAGAGAGTAATTAAACCAGTGAAATGACTGAAACAGTCAGTTACTGTAAATCATTAATACGCGCTCTGCTTGATGTGTTTCGCGTGTGTTTTCAGGTGGAGTGGAGGGATGAGGTGAGGCACCACTTTGAGAAGATCAAGTCCGAAGGGACGTGTCTTCACAGGCTGGACGAGGAGCTGATCAAAAGACGCAGAGAAGAACTCAGGTGAGCAAAGAGAGTGTAACCTGGACACAAAAAAGACGTTTAACTACATGCAGATACAGATCGGAAGAGATACTAACAAAGACAAAGAAAAGCCAACCATTGGAAATCCTGTACATTTAGATTCTCATGTGTCTCCCCACACAGACATGCACTGGACATCCGGGAGCACTACGAGAGGAAGCTGGAGAGAGCCAACAATCTCTACATGGAGCTCAACGCCATCATGCTGCAGCTGGAGCTCAAAGAGAAAGAACTGCACAAGTAAGAAAACTGCCATTGATTAACAGAAACCTTTGCTTTTTTTAATTGATTCCCTTTGGACGTTTTGTATATTTAATCAAAAGGAATATAACGTGGCTTTTGCTGTTAACAGAAAAAGAGCTTTTAATGTCAAACTAAAAGTCTCTACAAAGTGGTCTGAATTAATTGAAATGAAATACTGAATTACTTGACAATGTTTATTAGACTTCTGTCAGGTTGCACTGAGAATATGAGTAAAAAGCATTTATCAATCCTGCCAAATCAATTGTTAGAAATCAAGTAGACTAGAGTATGGTTTAAAGCTGTTCAAGTGCTTTAAACAATAGTTGTATCCATCAACATCGTTTTAAAATGAAAAAGCATGCAAAAGTGAATCGGTAATGCAAAGTGAAGGGCCATCATACCCAGTCACACCGGGCCACCGCATGCAACAAACTGCTCTCTTAATCCATGCTGGGTACCCGTTGACATCCATTTAACAAGTATCGGCTTTGTGTGTAAACATCAGGAGGGAGAATTCACTGGACAAGAAGTATCCGGGCTGCTTCAAGCACCAAAGCTCCCGACAGTCGGCCTCCTCCAACTCCATGGAGAAGCTGATGAAAAAACGCAACGTACCTCAGAAACTTCCTTCATACAACAAGAGGTCTGCAGCATTTATTTGTGGCTATTCAAGTTTCTCCTTATTATCATGTGCACTCCAAGGCCATCTTAAAAGAAAAGTCTTCTAAATTTGTGTTAATATCAAGAAATGAGACCACAATCAACAACTGATTAAATTGAACCCGGCTAATATTTACTGCCTGTGTGTACCGTAGATTAAGTGATTTGTGCTGATTCCTTTGTGCCGTGCCAACTATTGTTACCCGCAAACTATTACGTAATGATTTGAGTAACGTTTGCCATTGACGGGAGAATACTTCCTTCAATGTATGCAGAGGAGAATGCACGAGATAACCTTGCACCGATCAAGCAATGAATGCTTTTAAAAGCAAATTCTCTCCCGCTTTTCTTTCCAGGCCAGACTTACTAAAGTCAGAGGTCATCCTCCCCAAACTGGACTCTTCAATGACACAGGTCACAATCCCCAACAAGGGATCTACCTCCCCTGGCCGCTCACGTCGAGGAAAACCCCGCTACAGGAAGGCTGGGAAAGGTAGCAGTGGGGACTTGGCTCAGCTGAAAGCCACTCTCTCCTCCTCTTTAGCCATGGTGAACGCCACCTCGTCGGTCCCCAGCAGCAAGCAGCATTTAGACCCCAGTGCCGCCCTGCGAGGCCTGCAGCACGACCTGCTGCTCAAGAAGATGTACTCCTCCAGCCCGGATCTCATTTCGACCACCTTGGAGGCGGAAGGCCGGAGGAAGGGGCAGGTCATGCCGGGGCTGGACAGGGCGGGCAGCCAGAGCGCCTCGGCCGGGCTGGGGGAGAGCAGAGGGACCGGAGGAGGCGAGGAGGGCGCGGACGTGAGCGCGCGGACGGACGACCTGGCTGAGACACCCCCACGCAGTGACACGCCCAGCGAGGACGCCGCCTCCATCCCGTTCTCCAGCAGCCCCGACTCGCCGTGCGGCAGGGGAGCCGCCGCGGGGCGGGCGCCCGCGCTCGGAAGCCCCCGCGTCCCCCACGAGGGCGAGGAGAAGGAGGACGGGGTGGTCATCACCCGCTCGCCCAGGAGCCAGCGCCTCACTCCTGCTGCGCTGCTCTACAGGGCAGCAGTCACACGCAGCCAGGTGAGGATCCCCAACAGCACCGTGGTGTCTAGTCAGACAAAGGCGTGTCTAATTGTGGCCTAGTTTCACCAAAATCCTTTTTCACTTCTGCCTTCTAAGGTCATAAGATTAATTAGCAGTGAGAAATACAACATTTGGATTTGATTGGTTCCCAGTTAAGCAACACATTCTCTGCTGTTTCTGTCTTGACTCAAAGCAAGTTCAATTTACTTTACTTAACAGTCTAGAGTCATAGTATTTCTTATTGTAATCTGTTGAATATAACAATATTACCGTATATATAGATGCCATGCTCTAAATAATAATTACACATGCAAACCACAAAGTGGGGTTAAAATACCTTTATGTTGTTAATTACTGCATTTATAATTAGTGGTAGTTGCAACTTCCTAACAGGACTCAGCTGAGGCTATTTCTATGTTCAACTTTTCACAAATGAAATGATGAATTTGTAAAGTAGCGAGAAGCATTGATGATTCAATCAATGGAATTCTCCGTCCCTTTGGCTCTCCGAAAGTGACCCTTTTCACACACGGGGCCCCTCGGGGTGACGTCTCAGGGGTTTTATCGAGGCTGAGGGTGATTCATGTGAAATGAGGCAGGGAATAAATCTCATTTTCTCTGCAGAGACGTGGAGTGTCGTCAGAAGAAGAGGAGGGGGAGGTGGACAGTGAAGTGGAGTTGCCAAGGAGACGGTACGAGCTGTTGAAAAATGTACATATAGTTATTGAAGGTGTGCTCTATTTATATTACCGTCGACAAAAAAAGTCACGCAAGTGCGATCCTTGTGTTCAGCCACAATTTAATAGCAAGAGACACAAATGTTTGTTTCAGCTTTCACTTTTGTCCTGAAAATTGTCCACTCTGCCTATTAAAACCCCTTTTTTTCATCCATAACTTTTCTCTGCAGTAAAATACCAGTTTTTTTATTTTTTTAAAAACTTTTTTCTGCTGTATTCCTGCTCAGGCGTCCCGTGAGCATGACCAAGTGCCAGTCCCTGTCCAACTTCAGCTCAGAGAACCTGTCGGTGTCGGACGGCGAGGAGGGAAACACCACCGACCACTCCCACAGCGGCACGCCGGACGTGGTCAGCACCAACACCGACGAGCGCCTCGACGACAAGAGCGACGACCTGCTGTCTCAGGGCTCGGAGATTCCCGCCGACCCGTCCGACTCAACCCACGGCTTGTCTGAGAAGGAAGCTGTTCTCCGACAGGTCAAGACCCAGCTCGCCACTAACGATCATAATTATGAGGTAGGGAGACGAAGGGACAGCGCATCATATACTGATATGTATGTATTGGATATAGAGATGTGCAGATCCACATTGGAGTGTGTTGCTGCTCTAAATCCGATCATTCATGCCTTCGTCCCTCACAGCAGGGCCTGTACGATGACTCGGACTGTGACAGCGCAGAGCTGGACCACTCGGGCAGCGCGGAGCCCAGCCGGCCCGCAGCCAACTGGTGAAAAGTCACCTCAACCCACTCCGACGCCCGCCGATGTGGCGCCCCGAAGCCTCGTTGACTCTAACCTGACCAGAGGCATCGCGGGAGGAGGGGGGGGGAGGGTCCGGAAATCAGGCGTTTCTCTGTCATCACTAGCAGGAAGTGAAGACATTCACTTGATGTGGTGAGTGTTTTCGGAGCACTGATGTCCTGTGGGGTGGGATTGGGGGGTGGTTGAACAGATAAAAACATTTCCTCTGAGATAAACCGGTCCGAAGGACGTGAAACTGAATTGGAGCACCGGGCGAGCTGACGGCGCGGCGGCCGTCAAAGCAACGACCGTCGATTAAAACGCCTCCGTTTGTATTCTTTATCTCCGTTATGAGTAAGTGCGTCATATCATTTCACATCACGTCGTACGGGAATGTGACTCTAACGTCTTATCAGGGTGTCATTATATTCTAAGGTTGCTATTGTCGACATCACTGGGACACCCGCTGATGTTTCTGCTTGCACTTAGTCCATGAAATGTACAAATTTTATTGTGATTATCGTGTCATAATGCATTTTCTCCCATAACGTTATGCACTAATTTATTGTTATTTTACAGTGAATTCATTGACATTCTTAAGAAAAACCACGTTTACATTTTTCATTTATATCTTCATTTTTTAATTTATATTCGAGTCACGGATTACGTTCTCCCATTTTCTACTCCTGTGTTTTAAATATCTATGTAAATATGTGATGTTGTAAAATGAACAAATTTTTAAAACGTGAGATTGTATAATTTAAAGGTGCTGATGTTTGTAACTAGGTGCCACTACTCTATTTGAACCTCAAGAAGCTTATGTTAGTAGAATGTACTGTAGCCTCTGGTCATGTCCGAGCATCAAAACACAGATAAAAGAGTAACGTGTGAACAAAGAAAAAGCAATATGTCCGCTCCTGTCACGTCACAGGTCAAAAGAACCACAGCTGACTTCGCTGAGAGCAGATGGGCTTTTTTTTTTTAATTAGTATTGCAGTGTTTACCGTATTAAAACGCAATACCAGTTTGAAAACCCCATTTTGAACATCTAGGGATGTATATAGAAAAGCATGCTTGTGATGAAGTATGCGTGGCTTGTTTGTCACTAGAATATTAGCTCCATCCATTGAGAAAGAAACCCACGAGACTGCAGACTAAATGTCTGAAGGCATCTGGATGACAGGGACACAAAACACTCAAACATCAGATCTTAAGCAGTAATGGGATGAACAGTTTTTCCTCTCCTCCCACAAAATAAAAGGAGTGTTTACCTACAAATGAGCCATGAAATCATGATTTGGCCACTTGCATCTAGTGCTGACCCGCAACATGGCAGATGCAACTATTTAAATATCGTGGCATTAAAACATAAAACTCTGATCTCGATGTACTTGTGTCCCTTGACAAAGCCTTCTTGTGCACATGTGGTTTAATCTGACTGCAAATCAGCCAGCTGCATTCTGCTCCTTATGAGTGATCAGGTTCCAATCAATAAGCTAGAAGAAAAAGGCAGCTTTGTTTTGTCAGTTTTTTCCACTTACAATTTGTAGAACATTTTAAACTGACTGTACCCAAGATTTAAAAATCGGAATCCTTCTACAGGACAAAATGTTGCCAAAAAACGATACTGCCCTCTAGTGTCTCCATAGTGAAGGTACTTGCGTTTCCGAAGATGCTGATTGAAAACCCCCTGTATGAACCGCAACGTTTCCCTTTTCTATTATTGTAACTGTACCATAAATATATTTAAGAAACAATTTAAAATAAAAACCAAACCTAGAAAATCTCTGTGTTCAGTATACTTCATCCAGTGACACATTCCTCAAGACAAAATTGTGGTTTGAGCATTTCACGTCTTTATTTCAGTTTTTTAAAGTTTTTTTAACAATGTTGTGGCACCCAGGTCTAGTCTCAAAACGTGCACAAAAGTTTCTTTCCTGCAAATAAAAAATAAAATCATTTTTCTGAGCAAAGTAAAGAGCAGGAAACTAGTGTTGACTCGCAACCCTTCATCTAGTTCCAGAGGTTCAATCAGCTCAGTTCTCAGCCTCATCACATCCGACAGACAGATCACTCAGTTTCCACGAGTTAATCCCCCTTTGGTAGTTTAAAAAAAAATATCTCCTCCATTTAAAACAAATATTCCAACATTTTGTTTGTATACAGTCTTTACAAAAAAGGTGAGGAGAAGCCTCCAATTCTGAATCATAGAGCCAAGCCCAAATCTCCCCCCCCAAAAAAACTCCCCAAATCCCTGCAAAATATCAAAACATGATCTCAGGACTAGTGGGGGGGGAAAGGGGGGGGCAGGAATGACATGTAGAGATGGGGAAAAGTCACATGCGTAGTGACACAGTACATCTGGATAAATTCAATAATGAGTGTAAAACATTTGTCGTGATAACCAAATAGTGACAGCACTGTTCAGCTACGTATTCCCAGTGACCAGTCTAACTTCAAACAGAGGTGACAAAGGGGGAGAATGAGGTGTATGGACATAAAATGGACCGGCCGACTGTGGAACTGGGTGAGAAAAGAGGGGCGGCGGGGGGGGGTGTATATATAAACACAATAAAAGTCACTATTCTTATTTTTGATATTTTTTTTATTTTGTCTTTTCCTTTTTAAAGAAAAAAAAATGACTGTACAGAACTAAATCTATGCCTATTCAGAGTTTTCAAACTCTACTCCTCTGTGGTGGTAAAGAAAGAAAAAAGGGAACCCATTGGGGGGAAAAAAGAAAAGAATCATTAAAACCCCCAACTTGACTTGAAAAGGGAATTAAAAACCTAATTGCTTCTTTTGACTAAAACCAAAACAAATGAAATAAATAATGAACTCAGCAGATCAAATCAGTGGCAGTTGATGCGATTTCAAATGAGGAAGAGGCAGCATAATATATAAACTCTTAAGTTGGATAGTTGCATTGACTGCTTTATGGAGGCCGATGATATAAAAGTGAGATTTAGTGCAGATGCAGTGTATCAGTTGGCTGCCAGTCCTGTGGCCTCAGAGGAAAGCCTGGAGAGACACCCAGAGAGAGAGAGAGAATAAGGCATGCATTCAGACAGGTAAGATAAAGGTCATTTACAATACATTACATCAGAATAAAATGCTAGATAGGGTTCATAAATACATTGATATGAGGAAACTTAAGCTTTGTTAAAGGATAATACTGTGCTCCTCTTTTCAACGGCTGTTAAGGCTCTCAAACCGATACTTTGTGGTTTTGTGATGTAATAAAGCAGTTTTGTGGTTCAGCATCTCAAGAAACATGCTTACTTGCATTCTAGGGGAATTAATACTGATAGCAACTAGTTAGCTTAGCATAAACAAATTAAAAGTTGCTTTGTCCTGTTATTCAGGTTCCTCTAAAGAACAGCAACAAGCATAATGAATCTGGTTTGTTTGCAAAAAAAAAAAGAAGCCCAAATTGTAATTATGTAGCTTCCTAAAGTCAAAATCTTTATTGTTAAGTTACCAGCCGACACTTCAGGAAGTCACTGCTTCTGACCATGAAATAGTCATAAATCAGTTAACCTAAATGTGCTGTTTTGAGGGGCTTGTCCTTTGGACAAGTTCTGTGAAGCTGGCCATTGATACGCATTTAAATTACAGACATGAAAGGGATATTCATCTTATCATCTACCTCTAGATACAAGATGAAAATAAGTATTTTAGTCAAACTATTCCTTTCAAACTAAGCTCAATCGATTGGAGGTTTTACAAAACAGAATCATCTCAAAAAAGGGTGATTTGGTGCTGTTGATACCTGAGGGCAGATTTACTTGGAGTTTGAAATTTCAATCACCTCTTACATTGGCAGAAGTATGGCTAAAATAAAAGCATCATGATACATATACTCCGACCTTATAACAGCCAGCAATATTCATTTAAAATTCACTACAAGAAAACTATCCCCATAAATACAATGTGACATCTTAAGGAGAGCCGCTACCTGAGCAGAGCTTACAAAGAGAGAAATGCTTCAGTAAAATTAGTGAATTAATTCACTGTCCATGCTAGGTTAAAAGCAATTAAAAAATATAATGCACGCAACGTATCCTTAAGAGACAGGCCAAACCAAGCTACAGATACCCATTTTATAAATCTGTCCGGCTGTTTAACACTGTGCGTTTGTTTTCTGAAGTAAGCGTGGCACGGCCAGATACAAAAGCAAGTGAGAGTACAGACAACAGAGAGCATTGTCAGTACTTTAGTAGTGATGACTTGCGTTTCCTTTGTTAGTAAGGGGAAAGCCTTCGCCTTTTAGACTTGGAGCTCAGCTCCGGGGTAATTTTGGGCTCAGCGGGTATCGAGTGCGCGGCGTTACTGCCCCCACTGACAACATGGAGGGCCAGGAGAGGGAGGGGCTTGAGACTGAGGAGGCTGGACACACAGGCAGGAGAGCTGGGGAGCAGGGAATCAGTGGAGGAGGAAGAGGAGGAGGAAGAGGAGGGAGGAGGCGGCCCTGGAGCCAACAAGGACAGAGGGATGGAGGCTGAGGGGGGCACCACACAGGAGGAAGAGGAGGAGGAAGAGATAGCAGCAGAGGAGGTGGTGGTAGTAGTAGTAGTAGTGGTGGTAGCAGTAGTAGAGGTGGAGGGGGAGCACAGGCTGGTCTGTTCAGGGTTCAAGGAGGAGGGAGGAGGTTTAGAGGACTCTACACTGTAGAAAGAGAGACAAGGAGAGAGGGACAACACAGTCGGGATGGGTCACAGGGCAGGCTGGTGAGCAATGGGGGTAGTGATAGGAAGGTGGGGTGAGGGGATCACTCGGGGATGTGATCAAAACAAGACAAAAAGCTTCATTAGAAACAAAGAATTCAAAAAAAAAATTTTTTTTAAAGAATTAACATCTCCAGTGATTGATTGACGTGAAGCCAAGTGAAGGGTAGAATAAAGGAAAAAGACGACCAAGAGAGAGCTAGCCGCACTAAAGTAGTAAACAGTAGCCAAAAAATAAATCTTGTGAACACAAAACATAAAGAATAAAGAATTCTGCTGCTGATATATTGGCGTAACATATTGGGTATATGAAACGTTTCATACTTTAACAGGTTACTTTAGCATTGTGACATGGGAAATCTGGTCAGCTAGGCAAAAGACATTAAAAAGTACAGACTACATTTCAACCAAACTGACCGTGACACAACCCTTTTAAAGCCTCTGACTGAATGAATCAGCTGTCCAGAGCCGACAGTATAAAGCAGATTATCTCACCTGGCGTTGATGAGGTACTCTGCCAGACTGATGCTGGCAGGCGCGCCGGTGATGGTGACCTGGCGGTCGGTCGATCCATCCACTGGATTCGCAATCTTGATCTGGGCGCCCGACATTTGCCTGATCTCGTTGATCTTGGCTCCCTGGCGGCCGATGATGCACCCGATGAGCTGGAGAAGAGCAGCGAGGTTAAGTAATGCGTGGCTAATAGACCCACAGTCTCTGGAAAAGTTAGCAACTAGGTGAAAACAAGCTTGAATAAAGCGCTACGTTATGGCATTTTTTACTTTGTTATTTATCACATTCAAACCTGCATGGTTACCATAGATACAGCAGAAGGATCGGTGAGAAAACATCCAGTAACTTACTGTAGCAGTGATACAAATGTAAAGTACTTACATCATTTGGAATGGTCATTTCATGGGAACTGTTCTGAGCAGAAGCATCCATCCCTGTAGAAGAAACAGTTGACTGGTGACGTTACAGGAAAAGAAGGCTAACGCCTCTACGGCCAATAAATAGCAGCAAACGCGAGAGGAAAGAAATCATTTTTCCCCAAATGTGATTGAGGAACCAAAAGAACAGATGATAATCTTCCTTGGGGATGCAATTATTCCGACTTTTGAGGATGAAAAGTTGACAGGACGTCGCAATGAAAGCATGAGCATGTGCTGCATACCAGTGAATCCCTGGTTGCTTGGTGCGATGGGGAAGGGGCTCTGCTGCATGGCCAGCTGGTGAAGCTTTGTGAGCTGTGGAGAGATAGCAGCAGAGGAAGACTGTGAGAGTGACAGAGAGGGCAGGGAGAGAAATGGAGGAAATGGAAAACACAGGAAGAGGGAAAAACAGATCACAGTCAGTACGGACAGCAAGACAAAGAACCTCCGCAGAAAAATAACATGGCAGAAATGTTTCTTATCCTTCAAGAAAAACGTGACTGTCTGAAAACCGTTGTAGTCTATGACTCGGTCAGGGCAAAATCGCATGTATAAATATATATAAATTATATAATTTTACATTAATCTGACAGGTATCACTGATGTTGCAATGTATGACTAATAGTAAACAGTCTATTACATCCAATGCTCCTGATAGAACATCTAAAAGCTCATTAAAAAGACAAACAGATCAAATTTAGTACAACTGGTAATGAGGAAGGGTTTGTAAACAGTTATCTGGGACAGACTGAATGAGAAGCGTTAAAAAAAGACGGAACAAACAAAGGACAAAACAGAAAAGAGTGAGCAGCAGGAAGAGATTAATATTCATGGGACAGCAGAGAGTCTGGATGAACACAAACAACAAATGTCGGTTTAATAAATACAGACTGCCAGTCAAATGAGAAAGTACCAAGAGTGCTGCTGCTCACTAAATCACAAAATGTTGTTACAAAAAAGGCTCAGAGTGGGTAAAAAATATAATTGGGGCAAGTTTAGCTACAGTTGTAGGCTGTAAAATGGGGCATGTGTAGGTGGGGGGCACGCTTCTAAAAAGGACAGTTGTAATTACGGGTGGGAGTGATGGGCATCATAGAAGAAAAAAAAAAAAGGTCTACTGCACTTACATCTGGCTGTGGAATCGCATGCTGTCCTTGTACAGCGTATGCCTGAAACAAAAGAAAACAAAAGCATTCATAAGCCTCAATCTGATGAAGTTCATCATCTCCAGCTCTCAAATAGATCTCTTGAGGACATGTCAGAAATCAAAAGGCTATTCTGAAACTAATAAAATTTAAGAACATCAAAACGTAAGTCTCTATTTCAGGGAGAAAGAAATATTTTACTAACCAAAACATGTTGTTTTTCAAAAGAATATTTAGTAAGATTGAACCACTTTTAAATTTAGACTCACATGGTTCAGAAAAAACTTCAATGAAAAATGCTTCATCAGACTACCAAAACAATTACTAAAAGCAGCTTTGGTTGAGTGAAATATACTTTGAGCCTTTCATATCCAAATCTATAAGAATAACATTCTGCATCACACACACACACACACACACACACACACAAAAAACTAAGAACATCACAAATAAAAAAGGGTGCTGTGTGTACCTGTCCGCCTGCGAAGATGACGGGGGAACCTGAAGGCTTGGGTCGGTAGGGGATAGTGACCCCCTTAGGGGGAGACTGCAGAGGAGAGACAGAAAGTGAGTGTGTTATTAGATTGCTACCCATTGAATCATAGAATTGTAAAAAAAAAGTCTACGGTAGAAGTTCTTTGAATTACAAATGCAGTACTAACAACAATAATACTTTAAGTAGTTCGCTGGTGGGCAAAACTGCAATGTCCAAGAGGACAATTGTAAACGTGAAGAAAAACACTTGGAAAATATGTTAAGAGGGACGAGCGCACATAATTAGCAGAGAATCCAGTCAATTTTCAAAATAAAAAACATTTTTCAGAAAAAATAAGTTTTTTTTAAATATATATATATATCTATATCTCTCATTACTCAAAGCGTAACAGCGAAAAAACACATGAATCACAGCATTCATTTTTTTTTAAATTAACAGCTGCCACTAAATTTGCTCACAGCTTTCATGAGTTCACTTACCTCAAGCATGACCACACAGATCTGCTTCACACACTCAATTATCGACTGGGGGGTACCAGCAATGGTGATGGCTCGCTCTGTGGAGTTGGGGAGCATGTCACCTGCCACTTGTACCTGAGCACCAGTTGACTAGAAGACACGAACGGAGTAAAATTCAATGAGAATTCAAGACTTGCTCAGCGTTAGCATTTCAGGTTTTAAATTATACAAGTAGAAAGGTAACAAGGATGCCAATGCTGAACGGATTCGGACGTGTGTGGTTTTGTATTTAATTATTTTCTTTAGGCGTACTTCTCGAATTTCCTTGATCTTGCAGCCACCTTTCCCGATGAGGGAGCCACACTGGCTGGCGGGCACCACAATGCGTAGGGTCACGGGGGGCTTGCTGGTTGCTGTGCTGTTTGTCATTGAGCTGCTTATATCCTGGAAATAAATACATGAAGATGTGTTGATCTAGTTCCTATTAGGGCTAGTTGCAGCTAACCGGTGAATTAATAAGTCAGCATAAACCGTCATCTACCTCCTCCAGCTTTTCAATGATCATGGAGAATCCTTTGAAGATGGCGGTGGTTGGACCTGCCAAAGTAATGATCCTCTCCGGACAATTGCCCTCAGAGATGTTGATGCGAGCACCGCTCTACAGACACAGAAAAGCAAGAAATGAAAAAGAAAAAATGAGGACAAACTTCCAACAGTAAAGAAATCTGTGACGCTGATAGTAATTTTTTTGGGCCTCGTAGGGATTGCAACATTATTGTTTGATCTTTCAATACTAGAATAAATAAGGATAGGAACTCACCTCTTCTCTCATCTTCTTCACAGATTCACCTTTCTATTAGCAGAGAATAAAGGTGGGATTAATCATTGCTTGAAAGACAGATTTTCAAATAACAAAACATCAGGTTCATTTAATAACGGCTTACCTTTCCGATTATACTTCCGACCTCCTAAAACAGGAAAAATAAAAAACGTTCATTAATCAACTTTTCAAACAAATCATTGTTTACTACTTAAGTTGAAGATATCAAAAAGCTCTAGCTAGTTTGGATATACGTTTCCCCAACACTCGACCGAGAACCACAGTTGTCACTGTAAACATTAAACACAGCCTCATCAAGTTCCACAACCTCTAGTACACAGTTTTTGTTTCTGACTAAATCACCACGATGAGATCCAGCATGCAGTCAGAACACAGTATTTGTGGTTTGCTAATGTCTATCAAGTGCTGGGCCCGTATTTTTAATACTACAAGCTAGCAGAGCCTTTAGAGGAGAATATTTTGGGATGCATCACAACAGGGTTTGTCCGGAGTCTAAGATGACGTGGCAGTCAGACACTTTTTGCTTTAAGTGCAGCGTTTGAAAGCACAACAACAGGTGCGAGATGGTGTGAGAGCCAAATGTATATCTAACAATATTTAATCTTTATGACCTTATGATTATACAGAGAGGGATGTGGGGGAGGCTGTTCCGAGAGGGAAAATAATTTTACTCTGCTCACATTGAAACAGGGAAATTATTTCAGGGAAAAAACAAAACAAATTAATAGCAAAAGAGGACCATATTTGAGAAAAGTGACTCCAACCATTATTGCAAATGACGAATTATCAACAAGGTGTGTAAAATCATAAACACGCCAAAACACCACTTTACTTTTCTTTGACATAAAGGATCTCTACACCACATGACTACCCCGACTCATCACATCAATTCCTAACCTTTATACGTTGCAGAGAAGCTTCTTTTTCATGAATATAATGTTGTATGCCATTAAGAGTGCGGACACACGCAGCTCATGGGTGATCTCACCTTGCCATGCATGAGCAGCCTAATGGTAAGGGTGACATTGAGCCCTCCTTCAATCACACCGGAGTCCATTACTGCAACCTGGTCGTCCGTACAGAACTGGGCTCTTTGGTCACCGAGATGGCTCTTAAAAAAGGATATAGCAGACGAGGAATGATACACCAAGAATGATGATGATGTCATTGAATCAGCAGTGCATATAGAAACACATGGCGTGGATGCAGGATATGGATAACAAAAGGAAGGACATGTGATACAATATATACAGTGGCCTGCGAACACTGATTTGCATGTGGTCACCAAAGAGGTAAATACTAAACGTCCCTCTTCAGAATCAAGTTACAGCAAAAACACTCAGTGAGTTAGTAGTACACTATAGCATTTATAAGGAACATTATTCCTTAATACTAAACTCTGGCATAGTGATGTGAGGGAGAGAAGTGTTCTTACTGCATAAAAGGTATTACTGTACTACATATTAGCATACATTAAGTATAGAAAGGCCCGTCTACATTGGTTAGCATTAAGCGTATTATGTCGAACTAAAACTAAACATTCGCACCAGACCATGTAACGTAAAATACATTGGCTAAATGTGTATGTTGTAAATGTTTAAAAAAAAATAAAAAGACGTTTGTACCTGGTTTTCCATTTGAAAAATGTGTCCTTACTGAACCTGTTCAGAGAACATGATAACGTTAGATCCGTGTCAGCTCATGCTAACGTTATTGCTCATGAAAACTGATGCGTGCAACGACGAATAGCGAGAAAACAGGACTCACTTTTAAACTGCTTGCACACAATGCATTCATTTACAAACATAATAGTGCCTCTGCGGTACGAGTTACCTGCCTACAAAACAAGTAGATTAGCATTGAGTCGAGCTCCATGCTAACGGAAAAACACATTGCTTGTATGCTAACGATGCCTTCATTTGCGATGAATCAAGTTGACCAACAAATTTACCGACTCTTACCCCTGCACTATTATGGCCTTAATTCCTAAAAACATTCATACGTAGGCTCAGCACGAGATGTGCATATTCAAAAGCTCACTTTGCGTGTGTTGGTTAGTTCAGCGTAAGTCCAGCAACTATTTACGCTTAGCCATTTAGCATTTTGGTTTCTCGCCGCGCTGGAAAAATGAATGGAGCATGCGTGCGTTACTTAGCTAAGCTAGCTAGCTTAATTCGTCAACGTTATTAATAGTTGATCAAACATCGACAGCTTTCGCAGCATTGTTGTTGTATCCTCGTTTTAATCAATTACGGACGATAAACAGCCGTTTTCAAAGCAACATTGAAATCAAACTTCTACGTGGCTAGCTTAGCTAGCCTTAGCTTAGCTAAGCTAGTGAAATAATTCTGGACGGAGAGACTGCGTGCTCATCGTGCGGCCTGTTAGCATCCTGCACAAGAAGCCGCTAGCTGCTGGGCGCAATTTCTTTCCGCTACTTCAACTCATAATAATTAATGTAAAAAAACAACACAAAATATCAGAATGAAACTTACCTCAATGGTGTTGTGGTACGAGACCGGGGGGAGGGTTGGGGTTTTAAGGGTAGAAGGGGAGAGGTTCGGGAGGGTAGAAACCCGGGGGAGAGTTTAGAAAGGACTCGGGGAAGAGGGAAGAGTGATGTGAGATCGAGCTCCACTCCTTTGCACAAAGACAACACAATTATAACCTCTGAACTTTTGCCTTTCACCCAAACCAAACCCCCACCCTGAGTTTTGGTTTGACCCACAGATTCCCAAAGTTTGCGTCTACAAAAAATAAAAAGTTGAGGTAGCACACATTTCTGGTGAAAAGATGCTACAACATGAAAAGGATATTAAATCCTTTTAATTTCAAACAATTTTTTGCGCAAATTATAAACATGAATTTGTTCTAAATGTCTCAAAGGGGAGCTCTGTTGTTGAACATAACTGATGTCCCAAGTGTTTTTTAAGTATTAGAAAATGACTTAACCATCAGATGAGTGCTTTACGAATATTTCTAATATGTTCATATATACAAACTCCAAGAAGAATAGGCGCACTGGTGGATGTGAAGGGTATTGCAACTCAGTTAACTAATATTTATAATCCAGCAGCATCGTTCATTCAGCATTCGTTTCGTTTAAAAGTATTCATTAGACAGGTTTAATTGAAGACTCTTTATTTATATTAACAATTAATGCTGAAACAAAGCCTTGTAGAATAATGCATTCTGCAGTTATGTGTAGTACTGATGTGAGCAGTGATGAGCTGTGTAGCAGTGAACAAAAATAAAGACACTCAATATCCGTATGAATCTCCATCTCAAGGTCAATCATAAAAAATAAAAAAAACATTTTCTTTGAATAAATCACATTGTTAGATATTCTCATAAATCAATTCTGCAGCCCATGTCAAACTAATGTCAATATGTTTGTGTACTAATGTACTCGTAATGGAACTTGAAAACACCACAAACACCACGGTGGAGTGTAAACACAGCAAATACTGTGAGATCGTTAACAGCTCATGCATGCATTTCTAATGAGAAATGCTAAAACACTTTATTTCTATCTTTATTTTATTTAAATGCTTTAATTGTACACTTCATGTTTAAAGTGACAAGTATGACTTTAGTGTGGTTATTTTTAATATAAAGGTTGCACTCTTGCTTCTGAAAAAGCCTTGTGGCCTCGGTCTTAGTCACTGCTGCTGCTGCTGCTGCTACTGCTGCTGGACGACTGCAAAGAAAAAGAGAAAGATTAGATATTATGCATATTCATATTTCAATAAAGTTAACAAAACAGCTATTGTTTAAGAAACATTTTGATGATGTCACCCTTGTGATGAGAGTTTTGTAGTATTTAAAAATATTTTATAAGCCAAACAATTTAATAATAAGTATTTAGAAATTTGATTTGTCAATAATAAAATTAATTTGTAGTTGAAGCACGCTATATGTTTGCCACAAATGTTGCAGAGAACATATCACCTCTATTCTATGATTATTGAGAGTTTTGTGTGAGCAATAATTTTCATAATAGGATTTAGAACTGGTTATTGTCTGTTCTGATGTGTCGTGACAATCTTAATGATAATATATCTCTACTTCTTTTCAGGTAAAATGTAAACCATGTCTCTCGAGTTATGGGCGCATTTTTGCTTTTCTGATGTTTGCAACACTGCCTGACATGGAGTTGGTGGCCTGGGTTTTGCGGGGGCGAGGCAGGTTAAAGTTTCTTCCGGTTATCCATTATCGGCATGAATACTTAACCTACAAGAAGAGCCATTAAAAACAATGTGCCGTATCTTTCAACTTCCTCTCACCTTGCCGTGTTTCTGCCCCTTATGCGCCTTCTTCATCTTCTTCACCTTTTTCATCTTTTTGTGGCCTTTATGTCCGGCCAACCCCATTCCCATTCCCATTCCAGCCACTCCTCCGGCGCATGCTCCGGCCATGGGATTTAACCCTCCATGATGATGATCTTTGTGGCCTTTATGGCCTTTATGGTGACCTCCTTTTGGAGAGTGCGGGTAAGGACCTGGGTGAGCCCCTGCAGGAGGAACAAGTGGATATCCACCCGGAGCCATAGGATAAGGATTGGGTCCCTGAGCACTATAAGGCATGCCCCCTGGGGGTACTTGTGGTACCATGGCTGGATATTGCCCGGCTGGATATTGCCCGGCTGGATATTGCCCGGCTGGATATTGCCCAGCTGGATATTGCCCAGGTGGTGGGAAGAATCCTGATGTAGGTGCAACAGGATATGCAGGGTTGTGGCCAGGAGGATAGGCAGGGTTTGGTGGGCCCACTGGAGGGGGAGGACCTGATATAGATAAAAACACACAGACACATTATTTTACACGGAACCTATATCAACAGGACTGAGATAATAATGATTATAGAAAGCATATGAAAAAATTATGATGAGCTGGTTATGTACCATATAATATCTTACCTTGATTTGGCCACATGTTATGATTTTTGACCTGACAAGTGAAATACTTCAGGTCTCAATCGCAACTCCTGTCAAAACAGTGAGAAAAGTAAATGCAAGGATTATTTGATTAAGTAAAATTACATCAGGTGCCAAAATAAACCATTGATACTGTGTAATTACACGTTATCTTATCATACAATTTAGAACGTTGGTGTTGATTCAATCCACATTTTTAAAAAAGTTCTCAAACGTTCTTCACCACACAATTCAGTTTCTCATTTGAGATGATATACTTTGCATCTGTCATTACATCTGGTTGTTTGAGCAAAATGGCCTTTTTCAAACATATCTTACATTATCGATGGCCAAGACAAAACCTTCAAATTGCTTGTTATGTCCAACGAGAGTTCACACCCCGAAACTCGCAACGTGACAGAAAGAAGCGAACAAATGATTGAATATTTGTGGTAAATTGAAAGGGTGACTGTCCCTAATATATGGAAGTAAATCTGTGTCATCGGATTTTGAAAGAAAAAGGGTGCCATTATTTTTTGATTTTGTGGAAATGGGTACACAAAAAAATGCATTAATTACAGTCACAAAATGAACGTTAAATTAATGGGAAATGTCGCGTTCTAAACCTTCAAGCACGTATTTACTTTCAGACACATTTATCATGTACCTGCCTCAACTCATGCCGTGGAAAACACCGTCGGTTTGGTCTATAATACCTCGTCAACTACGTTAGACTGCCATTGTTTAAGTACAGGTGCGACATGATAGAGATCTCACAAATCTCAATGATCACTGTAGTTTTTGTCTTTTTCTTTCTGCCCGTGCTATTTACAAAGAAAACTGTCAATGTAATGGCTTTACCTTGGGAACTTTCTTTCGGTCCGGTTTCGGAGTTTATTAGGAATGAGTTGATCCCTGTTTGTCTTCCGCATTGAGCTGCACGGAAGCAGCAATAGAAACGTACCGAGAAGCCACGCCCCTTCTTAAAGATTACGCACTTTATTTACGTCATGGTAAAAGTCCAACAAGCTCTGAAAAAGTTTCAATCATAGAAAATATAATTCTGATCTCATAATTACGATTTCTATCCTTTAAATGTCTTTTTTAGTGGCGTTAATGGGTTTAGATTATGGAGTCCTTTATTGTGAAGGGTATATTTTTGTTAAAAGGAGGAGCCATGTTGGGTTTGGCCATGACACACGCACACACCTGACTTGAATTGATAAATATATCATTGACATCATGGATTAACAGTAACAGAGTAACAGAGTAACAAAGACGGGGATTTCTACAGCTATTATGAGGGTAATGTTAACAAATTTCCCCCTTTGGTGCACCCAAAGCAATTAATGTGCAACATTGTACTCTCAACATCCCGTTTGAGAGCTGATATTTGGACAGATTTGGCAAAATTTTTTGTTAATAAAGATAATGCAGAATCAGAATCAGGATAGGTTTATTGTTACAGCACCAATCCCCTGAACAAATTCCTGTAACACGAGACAACTAGAATAAAAAAAATTAACAATATTCTTTACGGCTATGTTTGATTTAAATACAAGCTTCAGAGTTTGAGGCAAGGGCCTGTTTTTTTTTTACAACAGACAAAAACTTCAATGTAAGCATGTGCTTCTAATAAGACCAACAGTTCTGTTTAATTCAAGTATGCCATTATTGTGCTTGATACTTTGTCATGTCAAAAACATTTTCAGTCCCCCAAACAAGAAGACATATTGATACTAGTGTCTTAATGATCATTTACCTTACCACACCAAGATTTTTCTACTATGAAATGTCAAAAAGTCTAATATGTAAAAACTATTATCTAAATAAAAAAAACACAATCATGTATCATAGTTACATAATAGTAGGGAAAAAAAATCCTATTGCTCAGAGTACACAAATAACTTTTTATTTGTCCTTTTAAAGAAACAATAATTCCCATTATGTCCAAGCCTAGAATATGAATAATGAAAGGAACAAGACACTCTTTAATAAGGGGCTGCTTTAAAATTGATATATACTGAAAAGCGGTGACACAAAGAACACAATGCAACCCCCTCCCCAAAAAAGGAAGAAAAAAGTCACAAAGTCTGAAGAGCTGCTAATCTTTCCATGACACATGCAGCACTCAGTCGAGCATCCGCTTCACAGTCCCAACAATCTGTCAGGAGCTCTTGCAGCACAGGTCCCTGAAAGTTTTCATGTGACAATTGAGTCGATACCCAGACAAACTCAATTCAATATCATAAACATTTCTCATGGGGTATCCACTACGTTTTCTTCATTACTACTGAGCAAATAGAATAAAACTAAAACAGATACATGTAAGAGGCCCCTTTGTAAGAATACCTGTGGCAGCAGTTCCCAATGTCTTGGAACGGCGGGTCTCTCGTCCATGTGACACACAAATTGTATGAGGCTGTCCAGCGTCACGACTCCCAGCTCAGACTCGTAAGGCAACAGATGCTGCGGAGCAACACCGCCTGCAGATGGAGACATTCGCATTGATCTGAAGTGTGTCAGGTGAAGTTTGTCGGAGCGCAGCACAGAGATGGTTGACTCACATATCAACTTCAAACAGGATTGAAGGCAAACACCGGGACCCTACTATTAATAATTGTCATTCAATCTCACTCTTTCAATTGCTGAGACATTTTCTTGTTTATCAATGGAGTTTACCTTCAAATAAATCAGAGCAGCGCATTAAGATTTCCCACAGCAGCAGTGCGAGAGCATAGATGTCCGCCTGTATGAGACACCAGCTGCTGTTTAGGTCTACTGTGCCTTCCAGGATCTCAGGGGGCATGTAGGGCAGCGTGCCCACCTGAGCAGGGCCCTGCGGATGGACGGTAATGTGAGTATTTTATTTGTATGAATTTTCAAGATTTCGTCGCTGTGCACGCTTTTCATTTCCTTGTCTGGGACCACCAAGATTTGATTGTATTTCGAATCAAGCTTAGCTTGATTTGAATCAATATGTATATATATATATATTGGGTTCTCCCCTGGTCTCACCTCCATGATTGTTGTTTGGCTCCGCGAGCTGCGATTTCCCGGACAACAAGGCACGATGGTTGAGCATCCAAAATCACACAGGACACACGTACCATCTGCTGTCACGAGCACGTTGGAGCTGGTGAGATCTCTGTGGGCCACAGGAGGTTTATGCCCATCTGCGAGAAAATAACTATGTGAGTAAAAATAATACAATTCTGATTTGGTTGGATATTTAAGTGTAGTGGAATACCTCACACTTCATCAACCATTTTAACCGTGACACCTGAGTATCATTATAGATCCCTGTGAGCCGTTACTATGCAGTCCTATGTTAAAAATTAAAATAAAGAATCCCCAGAAAAGTTCTCCCCTAACATTATTTGAATTCTGTTAGATAACAACAATTTAATTAAAGCAGGAATTATGAATGAAGTTGGATATTTTAGCTAACATTCCTTCCACATTGCTTACACACACAGATACACACACACAATATTCTGGCCAATACCAGGTTTGTGAAGGTCAGAGTGCAGATAGGCAAGTCCCTGCGATAAAGACTGGCACAACTTCAGTGTCAACATCCAGTTGGGGCTGTGTTTACACAGATAGGAGTGGAGAGAACCCTGAAATCAAAGGGAGACCAGCTTTTAATGTCAAAGATGGTGAATATTTCAAAGTTTAAAGCATTTGGCTGTGAGTGCGATCACATATCAACCGGAACTCCCCTACAAAATAAAGCTACATTATTTATTTATTTGGTGCTGCAATTGAATCCACTTGATGACTGCAAGTTGAATTACCTTTGGACTCTACTGACTTCTGAGCGAAATATTGGCTCTTTAGCTACTCAATGCTCCACTGTTTTTAACAAGCTAGTCACTAACTGGGTCTGTCGGCTGTTGAATGAAGAGAGTGTACAGTGGGTTTCTTAGAGCGTTTCTACTTAAAACATCTGCCTACTGAGGGGAGCTGAAGATTCTGACGGTAATAAGTCTCCAATCATCAATACGACCGACCCCTTTCACATTACAAAAATATGAATTATTAGCATTTTAAGGAGCCAGTAGAGGTTTAATGTTCATTTGCTTCGAATAATTAAATCCCAAAGCTTTCCTGCACTGATTCTTTAATCTGTTTCTTTCCTCAAATATCTTTCGATCTCTGATGAAAAAATGAGTTGTCACTCACGCTTTCAACAAATTGCAGGACAATGAGCCATCCGCCTCCATCCGGTTTACTCCCGGAGCCTAGAAAGGGGACAATCCCAGCGTGATTCATCAGTGGTAGCTCATAGACCTCCTTCTCTGCAGTAAACTTATGTTTCCGGCTTGCAGGGAAAACTTTGACTGCCACAACGGATCCTTTGTATTTCCCCTGCCAAACAGTTGCAAAATACCCATGGCCCAAAATCTGAAAGAGTAAGAACATACAGGTTAAACTTGATGGTGAAAATTCTCCTGACAAACCGTATAATATTTGGGTTTTATTCCAACAATGTCCCTACTATCAGATATTCAAGAGTCCAGTGATATAATTGATGATCTCAAAACATCTTTGGCTGACCACGGAAAACAGTCAATACTGCAGCCACGTGTTCACATCTTCATTGTGTCTTTAGATTTAAAAATTGCCAAGTTATTCCTTTCTGTAAAACAGAAAACCCATGTCGTTTTAAAAACTACAGACGCATTTCTATATTGCCTTGTTTTTTTTTAATTACTAGACAAAATTGTACAAAAAAAGGATTATATTTCACATAGAGTCTAATTTGATTCTTCACAAACCAGTATGGTTTACGTAAAAATCATATGGCTTTTCTTTACCTTGTTGATTAAGTTACCTCTGCACTTGACAATACTGAATTGATTTAACAGAGTAAATAATAATATTCTATTGGGAAAGCTGAATAAACAGGGTTAAACAAGGTTAACAAATGGTTAAAAAGTTATGTCATCAAGAGAAGAGAGTTTGTTTGTTGTTGTTGTTGGTTGTTATTCAAACAAAGCTAGACTAATATGTGGGGTTCCACAGGGGGCCATTCTTGGACCATTATTGTTCCTAATTTCTATTAATGATTTGTTGAAATGCCCTTTTCCAATAATGTTTGCAAATGACACAACGCTAGTACTCTCTCATTCAAATGTCAATTCCCTGATTACGGAAGCCAATTGTTGAATGAACTGCCTTTACTACACGGTTTAAATTAAATAAGCTATGGTTGAATGTATGAAAATATAATTTTATAATTTTCAGGGGTAAAAAACTTAAAAATTAAATTAAAATCTCTTGAGATGCCTCAAGACACCTACAACATTTGTTGTGTCACCTACAACATTTTTAGGAATTATTATTGATGAAAGCTTCAGTTGGAGTAAACATGCTGACTGTGTTGGTTGAAAAATGAACAAATCTATTTGAATCATAAGGAGGTAAACGTTAGGGAGGGTTTCCAGTGCGATAGCCGGGCTTACCTGCTGTAGCTCAATGTCGGCAATGTCAATCTCCGAGGTTTCCGTTGCTTGGCTGGAACAGTCGCGAGGCACTATCATCATCAAAGGAGGGTGGATTATCCTCTAAAATAATTTTTATTTTGACAGGTCTTGTAATTAACACATAGTCATTGACAATAAAGTCACTGTTAATTTAAAACTAGCTGGACTGAATAGCCACAGAAATCTGATCGAAGAGTAACAAACAAAGGACAGAGGTAAAGGGGAGTGTTGTAGTGAGATAAACACCAAGGTCAGACTAGAAGAACGAATGAAGCAGTTACAAGGTCAAACAAAGACATCATGAGAACTGAGAGCCTAGAAAATGTCAAAACATGAAGAATTTTTTTTTTCTAATACTCTGAGAAGCAGAAAACCAACGCTTTTAACCTTAATGCAAATCGGTGAGCCATAAATACTATTTCAGGAGCTGTGATCTTAATCCCATTTTGTAATGTGTCACATCTAAATCTGTAGGATCAAGGCAATAGGCTCCTTGTGTGTGCGCGCTTAGTCGTCAATTATCAGAAGATGATTCACTGTGAAAGCATTTGGGTTACTCTTACCTAGCTCCAACTTTCTGCAGCTCTGTTTACACATTATTAGAACCAACAACATATTTTGGCATTTCCATCATGATGTTGAAAACGCAAATGACCTTACCTCTCTTTTTAAATAGGTGTCTACATTTGACTGCAATGACCAGCAGGAAGCACAGGAAAAGCAACGGCACAATTAATGCGCCGGCTTTCATGATTTGATCTAAAAAGAAAACATTTCAGAGAAAGATGTTGATGTCACCTGTGAATAATGATAACACAACTTTTGAGGCAACAAATTGTCTTTTTATCATTCAGTGAATATATATATATTAATTCCTGAGTCTGGAAAATAAAAAATAGCACAATGAAAAAAATATAACTGGGTTTATTAACTGAAGAAAGGCAAAGAAATCCTCCAAGTGTCAAATTTCAAAGGAAAGGGTAGTAGAGATTTTTTTTAGTGGAGTAAGTGGAGCTGTTTTTAAAAGAAGTTGTCTTTCGATAAACAACAATAACATTTTGAAAACAATACCTCACTGTTATAATGTCAGGGTTTTCACTGTTGGTTGCAAATGATATTCAACGATTAGTTGGACATTGTATCATGGTCATACCTTTAATATTGAAGTAAGGGGGTTGCGGCGCTTCCAACTCTGGTATCAAAGTGATGTTGCTATTGCAGAAGTCTGTTTTGCACGTACACCAAAGGAGACGACCGTCGAAACGCGTTTGTCCCCTGCAGATTGCATCTGGGCAGGACTTTTCAACAAGATCACAAGCTGCAGCGAAAACAACATTAACACAATGGACAAGTAGAACCAATCTAAGACATCGAAATAATATTAATTTCAGCAAATAACTAGTCAACATCAGTCCAATTCTTTCATGATTTCCTTTAGGTTTAAAGCTCAAAGGTTGACTAGATTTTAAATACAGCCTAAATGTGCACAACTGAACAGAATCCAAACATTGCACACCACTCCAGGAGTAGCGGTGCATGCATCTTGAGTTTTTCTACGATTTCTTACCGAGAACGTCAAGCTTTGGTTGGTCATTAATGATCACGTAATAGGCCACGCAGCATTGGGTGTTCTCGCATAGCTGCACCGACCCACTCACATTGCCGGTGGTTTTGTACTGCTGGTTCCGAGGACCCACTTGGAATGTACACTGTCTCTTCTGAAGAAGCGACTGGTCGGAGCTGCATGTAAAGATGCATGCTGGCAGGAGGAAGAAACACAAATAGCTGCTGATCACATCATCGGTTCGTCCATCCACATCATATGATCCACTAGAAAGACACTTTTTCTAGGAGTGTTTTCCTAAAGAGTATTACGCTGTGTAAAAAGACATTATACAATAGTATTTTGTAGGATGATTATTTTACTACTAGGGTTAGGAACTACACCATGCACGTCGAAAATGCACGCGCAAAACAATCCAAAAGATAGAAACACAGCCACAGATGCAAGGTTTTTTTCTTTTTACAGTAGCTGCACTCACCTACAGCCCCAATCAGCCACCACCGTTGTAGGATCATGGTCGTTCTGAGCCAGGACCGGCTAAGCAGGGAGTATGTATCAGTCCTGGGAATGTCAGAGGAGTTTCCCACGTTCCGCTGCCTGACTCCCACTGCCACACACCTGCATGTACTGTGCAGTCTCCATACAGTTGGAAGGACGAGGGGTGTTTTCCTTCAGTTGCCTCAGTTCAGTAGGGCCACTGGTAAACTCACAAAACGTGTTTTATACAAATCCGCAGGGGCCAGATAAAGAGGCACTATGAATCAGGTCCAGTGTGTTGTTATTGGGGGTTTTTTGCCTCATTTTACCATGGCCGCCCACCCCCCCCAGAAAAATGATCGGCAGTTATAAAGGGGAATATAACTTCATAAATTAGCTATTGGAAAGAATAATCGTACAGGTAGTGTGTGTAAAAAATAATTTTATGCCAAAATCTGGATTATTTTCAATCCAACTTGTGAGATTGAAAAACAGGTGGCTTTGAGTCACAATTGTGGTCAGATCAATATTTTTAATACACACTTCACCTGATGCAAAACTGATGACATTGCAGGTCGGATGTCTGACTGATCAGGAAAAACATGTAGAAACTAAATCCTGCATTAATTTGCCAAATGACTATTTTCCTCAGAAAGGTTAATATAACATGCTTTCTGGGTCAATTTGTCTTAAAGGAAGATACCATGTTGTTTGTGGTTGGAGGGCACCACGTTGACATATACTAAGTCATGACGAATATAAATTAATATGAATATATACTAAGATGATGAAAGTGGCAAACACATTTATTAGCTTAAAATAACTTACATGTTATAGCTGACATTAGGCTATTTTTTAAGTAACTGATAACTCTGGAAATTCTTCTGTGTCTTTAAGGGCCGCATGTTTTTGTAAGCCAGTAAACCCCCTGCGGTCGGAGTTAACGCGCAACGTGGTTCGAGGCCTCTTCTGTGAATCCGTGCTGCCCTGAACAACAAAACAAGCACCGCGAATTTCCAATCAGTTTAAGTGCGCAGGTAACGTTGCGCTGCTGTGCCCGACTACAACTCAGCAAGACAGCGGATCCCTGTCATCTGGAATATAATGTTAAAATAACTTCAAGTTTAATCAAGTTAAATGCGCACCGCACATGCTTTTCTAATATATCCAAACTAAACTTGTTGTTAGCTCTCGTTTGGTTCTCGGTTTTAGGGATGAGCACCATCAGAAAAGGGCTATCGTTAGCGGAGGTGTTTGGGGAGGACTCTGAAAATGAGCGAACATTTTATGGCTTTTCTGACGATGAGATCAGCGAGCACAGTGACAAGGTGAGTCGTTTGGTGTCAACTAATGTCTGCACATTGCCAGTTCTATCACGAAGTTTTGACAAAAAACGATATTACGCGACCCTCTGGTGGATTGCAGCGGTATTATATATATATATATATATATATATATATATATATATATATATATATATATTACAGAGGAAATTATGAGCAAATTCAGATAGTTTTCTTTAGATCAAACGTAGATTAATAACTTTCCATATTACAAACGTTATAAAATACACGCACTGCTGTTGCCTCTCTCAAAGCTCAACACTTGAGCATAACATGTGGAGGTCTGCAAACCTGAAGAGATTTTTAGTGCAAAGCAGGATCATTCGTACTATTTTTGTTTTGCACAGGCTGCAAGTTAATGTTGTTTCCAAAAAATATGCAGTGTAGAACTTGTACAATTGTGTTCAGGCAGTGGGTCATTTTCCTTCATCCAAAGTGAGGGTCGTGAGCGAATAAGTTTGAGAACCACTGCTTTTACTATGACTTACCAGGGTGGAAGCATCTCATGCCAAATGAGAAAAAATGCCTTCTTTTGTTTACCAGGATTCAAATTTAGAAGTTGAGGACGAGGCCCAGCCCAACTTCTCTGCCAGGGAACAGAAAGCCACGACTAAACCGTCCTCGGGCGTCACAAGCTTCAGGCTGAGAGTGGTTCTCCGCTCCACTCCCTCCGCCCAGCAGTTCACTGACGAAGATGATGATGATGATGATGAGGAGGAGGAAAAGAGAGCCGGGAGGAGGGCAGGAAAGACCAGTCGGGCAAACAAGAAGAAGCGTGTTAAATTTGAAGAAGTAGAGAGCGCCGTGTTTGGGCCGTCTCCTTCCAAAGAGCGTGGATCCGATTCAGCAGAAGATGAAGCTGCTTCTTTCCTGACCAAGAGGGAACGGAACATCAAGGCCAACAAAGCGATGGTAAGCCAGAGACCCGGAACCATAAACAGGACTCTGGCCATTTGGAAATGAACAGGTTGAAGTAACAAGAGTTAAAGCCGTGGTTCCCAGTACCTAAGAATACGCCGGTGGATCAAACACAAATTAAAGACCACACCCGTGCTCCTTTTCTTTTGTAAATGGTAGAAAATGGCATTTCACAATGAGGCTTGGCTTACGATTTGATTTGACAAAATTATAAAGTACATGTTATTGTGGTGTTGATGTAATGCAGAACTGCTTTCAGAAGTACTACTTTCAGAAAGTTTCAAGAAATGTTTTCCCCTGCTAGTCTGATGAGGAGAATCCTTTTCATCCTCCCCACAGTTGGCTCAGTTAATGTCGGACCTGCAGAAGATGCCGGGAGGTGCAGCGATTCTGCAAAAACAAGCAGCCAAACCGAAGACAAAAGGCCGAAGTTCTGTGAGTTGATAGTGATAAAAGTTCCTGTTGCGCCAGTGAGTTGTTGCAGTTGTTCATATTTAAAATGCTGGCTGGTAGGTAGACAGAAATGGAGATCCTCCATATTTTGCCAACTAAAGACGTAACAAAATAAAAGTTAGGTTTTGACTAATAGTAATTCTGTATTCGCTGATGTACTGAGGAGATTTCATCCTACATCGCCTGCAGCGTCCCCCGCGCTCCGCTGCAGCCGGAGGAGAGTCCAGGAGGAACCCCGAGCGGGCGTCTCGCAGGCAGACCCGCTCGATGGGGGCAACGGACGACCCCTCGGCCCCGAAGGAGGAAGACCTGGAGCTCAGCTTGGAGGAACTGCTGGAGGTCGGCTCGGTCTAGTTTCAGCTAGAACTCTATAGCGCTGTGTAGCATGCAGTGGGATTGTGGGTTTCTGTGCAGCTGCTACCTGGCTGGGACGTCCATGAGGACCATGCATTTGTCTTCGCGTAGGTCCACGATCAACTATCATCATCCGTCTCTTTCTGTGTTCTACCCCCTTGCGCTCCAGGTACGCAGATCGCCACGGCGCCGCGCCGCCCCGCGGCCCAAGATGTGCAAGCCACATTGCATCCGTCCCGTGGAGGACGTCACAGAGGACGAGATTCAGCTGGTTGCAGACAACATGACCGAAAAAGTCTACAACAGAGTCACAGTGAGTTCTCAGCTGGGCTTTTACCTGCAGGTCTCTCTTCACTGAGGTGTGTTTGAAGGATGCCATGTTTTTTTTTTTTTTTTCAGGGCTCCACATGTCATCAGTGCCGTCAGAAAACGGTTGACACAAAGACGTGCTGCCGCGCCGAGGAGTGTCGCGGGATTCAGGGTCAGTTCTGCGGACCGTGTCTGAGGAACCGATACGGAGAGGATGTCAGGAAGGCGCTGCTTGATCCGGTCAGACTGCTCGCACACCGCCACGCGCTCCCCACACGTGTAGAAGTTATAATGTTGCAATCATTGTTTTTTTAGATTCAGATTTGTAACAAAAGGTTTGAAGAGCGATTTAAGTGCAATGCATGCTGCACATGTGGCATTCGATCCAAGGTTGGATCTTAAAAGGTCCCGACTGTGTAAAATTCATTCAGGCCAAGAAATGCATTTCCTGTGTTCACTCGAAATCATGGCTTGCATGTTGCACGTTATCTTTGTTTTGTAAAACTGCTGAAATGGTAGTTTCTTTGTCGTGTTGTATTACCAAACTTCATTCGTTCATTGATTTTGTTTTGTCTATGAAAGTCATCGGCTACTCTGCATCTTACACATGGCAGCCCTCGAAGGAATAAACCTCAATGTTTTCTGGCACACTTTTACCGTTCTGATTAAAGTCATTTTGCCGTTTCTAATCCCCCCCAGGAGTGGAAGTGTCCTCCCTGCCGCGGTATTTGCAACTGCAGCTTCTGCCGGCAGCGAGACGGCCGCTGCCCGACCGGCATCCTGTTCCCTCTCGCCCAGTACCACGGCTTCTCCGACGTCCACTCTTACCTCAGCAGGTGGGAAACCACATCGGCTGGTTTTAGGTCACTAAATTGGTTCTAGTTAAGCTAATCCAACTTTTTTTGAAAGCACTAACCAAAACATTTCTGTCGACAGCCTCCGTAAGAAACTGATGAGCGAGCACAACGATGAAGTGGTGTGATAGTTACGCGCTGCAGCATCTTTAAAGTTTGTGATTTGATAAGAAATAAAGTTTGTTTTAATCATGAGATCGTGACACAAGTTTGCAAAGCAGAGACGAGAGTATTCAGAATTTTAATCCAGCTGTTTGCAATTGCAGCAGTTGTATACACACAATATAAAATCCCTTATTTAAAATGGGGCAAAGAAAGATAAGAGCACTTGTTGTCTGATAAACTTGGTCTATATTATAAAAGGAGAGCATTTAATTGGTGTTACAATTAACTCTGTCAAAGGAAGACTAATTCTGAAGCAAAAACTTAACTGGTGAAAAGTATTGTTCAGAAAGAAGGAAATCATTGACAAATATTTTGCAACTTATTTATTTGGCCAACCAAGAGATGTGTGTCCGGCGCTTGCCTCAAGCTAGATCTTTTCCAGTTAGAACTCTTAACATTTCGCAAGTAAAAATTAATAGAACGTTCACGAACCAAAGAAAGACTTTTTGCTTATAAAATGAGTATTAACCTTTGGTTTTAAGCTTGCATATTTATGAAATCTGGACATTACAAAATACTTCTGACCCGATTTTAAGTTTTTCCACCGAAAGAAAACGGAAACTGACGTAACTGCAAAGAAAAATATACCAACAAGAAAAAAAAAGGTACTGGAAGATCTGGACTGTATAGAATACATTGTCCTATGACAGAAGGTTCTTAAATTTAAACATTTATTCTACATATATATATAAAAGTAATAACAGAAGATTAAGATTGATTGTGCATGAGAGGTTCATACAACTGAAAGGCAGTCTCTTGCAATCATGTCTGATGATCCTGCCTAAGCTAAGAATTGCTGTAGCCTTTACATTACCAAAAATATATATATACATAAAAAAAATCAAAATGTTGCTATGACAAACATCAAAGCATGATGGCTTGAGTGTGTACCTACTTAAGAGGTTAAAGGGTTATTCTCAGGACTTCAGTGCCCTGACATACCTACGTCCTCACACTGCTTAGTGCTTCTGGCTCGGTCTCCACCTTTAGTATTCCAGCCCTCTAAACGCTTCCCCCTAAAAACACCTCAATATTTTCCAATTATACTTTGTTCGATAGAAATACGAGAAACCATACAAAATATTTCCTGCACAACATTGTTACTTGTTTTAGGGGTGAAGTTAGCATTACATGCCAGTTAGCCTGAGGGGGCGAGGCTGATACAGCAGCCCGGGTGGGAGAATACCTGAGGTGATGAGGGACAAGAAGCGCACATCCTGGGAAACGGGGGTGAGGGTCTGACCTCGTCGTGCCATCTCCTCACTAAGGAAGCTCGTAGAAAGGGTTTTGGTAGCTCCCAGTTCAGCGTCAAGGAGGCCGGTCTGTGGGCGTGTCTTTGCGAGCACACCGTAAAAGGGTAAAAACGAGTCTCTGTGTGGGACAGATGTCGCTGTAGCGCCATTTCCATTCAGGCGAATCGGGATTTCACAATGACGTTTTTGTCCAACATTTTCCTTCAACACCACAGATTTCTAAACACGAGATGGAGATCTGCATTCCCGCCTCAGTTCTCAGATGCAATAGGGGCCGCTGTTGCGTCTCAACGTGCCCTTTTTAACCCCAAATGACGCCCAAAAGCCCGCCCCCCCTGCTTCTCCTCCGCCGCTGCCCTTAGTAGCTGTTGGCATTGATTTGGTGAAGGTCCACTTGCATCATGTTGATCCCACTGTTGGCTAACCGGGCTATGCTCTCTGGAGATAAGGTTTCCATGGTGACGATGGTGTGCTGGTCACTGGCTGACATGTTTCCTGTGCTGCCTTTCGTGTCCTCTGAAGGGGAAGCGGCGTCGGTTGAGATCACGCTATTGCTGGCGATGGCTGCTTTCTTGTTCAGGTGGGTTTTGATGTGCTTGGAGAGGTGATCGCTGCGCATGAAGCGTTTAGGACACTCGGTACAAACAAACCTTTTTTCACCTGGGAAGGAAGGAGAAAAAAATAAAGTATGAATCAATAATAGCTGCACAGTTTTAGATGTATGAAGGTTTAATGCACTATAGAATACATTTACAACAAAGGTAAATGCTCACCTGTGTGCGTCCTCTTATGGCGCTGAAGCTCATCCGAACGGGTAAATCGTTTGCCACAAAAGGACCAGCTGCAGACGAAAGGTCGCTCTCCCGTGTGCCAACGCAAGTGGGCCCTCAGGTGAGAGGTCTTTCCGTAGATCTTCCCACAGCCAGAGATGTGACAAATGTGCTGCTTCTTCTTAGTTGGGTCCCTGTTTTATGCAAAAAATTAAAGATTCATGGTTAATGATTTTTACCTGCAGAAGGTCACCAGTAATATAAATTAGTTTCTCTGAGGTAGTGTTAAGAGGAACAATGTTTAATCACAAGTTGTGCGGGACTTACTGTAGGTTTCTAAACTTTTACATAAATCACTAAAGGCCGTTGAAACTTGCACCAACAAGTAACCATCATCATATCAAAACCAGGCAGTAAGATTAACATTTCTAAAAATACAATAAACTCTGAGAAAACTCTGGGTGCAGGAAATGTTTAAAAATAAATCATGTATTACTATAGATCAGTGGTGCCCGAACCCGGTCAGGGCCCCCTTTTAGGTTATCGGAACACAGGCACTCTGCGCATGTGCTCAGGTCGGTTTCGCTTTTGTGTTAGGGTTGGCGATGAATCCCCAACTCCCCTGTTGCGTTCAAAGGAGGGCTGTTGTATTGCTTTAGACTGCACATGTGTCCTTAAAGGGGTCCAAAGACGTACCGTCCCTCTCCGTCCTTGCAGAAGGGGCAGGTACAGGCTTCCCTGCGGTTGCGCCGCCCTTGAGGTTGTGGGCTTATATCCCCCTCATCCATTGCTGTGCTCTCGTCCAAACTGTCTCCGCCTGCCTGCAACCCTTGTTCTCCTGTCGTGATGGAATAGAGAAAAACAGATTGATCATTCAGGGCTAGAATGAGATTTTTTGTCTCTGCTCATTTCCTCAATCAAGTTAAGAAAAAAGAAAAAAACATCCCGGTTCTTCCTTGTAAAAAACCCAACTTGATTCTTGTATCATTTATTCATTTGAATCCATTTAAAAAAAATGAATATGATGGTAGGGAAAACACTGCTGGTATTATGAGTGGTTTCGTTAAACAGTCAACACAATAGATGTAGAACCCTTTACCCTTCAGGCATAACTACTATACTAAAGTAAATATTTGTATATGTCAGCAAAGACAATTTCAGTATGAAGTTGACGGGAATCATTTTACAAAAAAGGTAATAATAGAACGAATCACATCCATTAAAAACAGATCAAGAGTCCTCTCAAACATCACGAATGACTATCAAACCTATGGTAATGTGAGTAATAACCAAATAGACGGGCATGGTTATGATAACGGTTGCTACAAGATGGGAGGGGCCAAGTTACACCCCTACTCTGTCAGAAGTTGTGGCCAAGCAAAGAAAATGCAGAGCAGGAAATGGCTTTGAAACACTGGGCCAGCTGAACCGGTTATACCAGTAGTGCGCACACACACACACACACACACACACTAAAATCTAGAAATACAAGACACTTAGAGTTTCAGTCCTGGGGAAAGTGGGCGGAGGGTTTGGGGGGCAAGTCAATGTAACTTTCAAGATATTTCACACGTTTACTGAGCTCCATTTCCAGTTACTGTAAAGCTGAAACTTTATTATATGTTAACATTGGTGGGTTATCGGTATTGCTGCAAAGAACTTACCAGGTAGTCATAACCAAAAGGAAATATAGATTCAATTCAAAATAAAAGCAAAAATGGCAAATTCGAGAAAAGCATTTAGACCAAATAGATCTAAAAACGTGTACAATCCTGCAAAACAACTGTCCACAATTTACTGCAAAGTGCTTTCTAGTAAACTCTTGTCAATAAGGGACACTTGTTATGAATATAAATGCAAAGGTTAGCAAAATAGAATTTGTAAATTATTTTACACAGAAGAGGATACCGACTGACCTCCTGAGCTGGTGATGGTGATGGGAACGGTCTGCAGCTGATGCATCTGCAGCCCAGAACCTCCGAGTGCGTTGAGATTTATGGTTTGGATACCTGGGATCTGTACCGTGTTAACAGATACTCCTCCAGCTCCAGAGGAACTTTGGCCAAGTTGGGGGAGACTTTGCATCGGGGCCAGCGTGATCTGTGGTCCTGTCGGACTCTGGATCTGAATGGTCTGCCAGCTCACCTGGCCATTGGGGCCTACCGTACGGAGGAAGATGGGGCCTGTATTCGGCATTATTTGAAGATTTTGAAGCCCTTCCTGGCTGAGAGTCGGCGTTGCAAATACCTGAGCGCCAGAGGTGGCAACAGTACCAGCCTGGATGGTCTGGAGGGATGTTCCCCCTTGGATGACCTGCTGAGGCTGAATAAGGATTTGTTGCGGCTGCTGCCCGTCTCTGTTGTCCGGCTGTATCGGGACACCCAGAGTGTTCTGCTGGAATGTCCCAGTCACCACGCCATTGCTGTTCTGCGTTTGAGTCATTCCATATGAAGAGGCGGCTTGTGTGGTGACAGTGGATGCACTTGTCATGTAGCCCGCCCCACTGGACACTGGATGCTGCTGTATAAGATGGTTTCCCCCTGTATCCCCTCCACCGTTTGCCTCTCCCCCTCCGTTTGTTCCAGTGCTGACGGGCAAAAAAGTAATGTTTCCGTTTAGCGACACGGGCATATTTGCCAGGAACTGGGGCTGGTTTTGTAACATCCCGTTGCCTAAGCTTATATTTTGTATGGGGATGGCTCCCTGAAGGAGACTGGGCATCGTTATGATGTTTCCTGCAGCACCAGCTCGGTTGGTCGCAGCGATGATCTGCTGGCCATTGGCAGATGATACTATCTGAAACTGCTGGCCTTGTCCTGCAGCGGAAGATACAGCAGAATCCTGCTGAGTATGTGCCAACTGCAGCGTCTGGCCATCTACTGTCTGAAACTGGGGAATAACTTGGTACTGAATGTTGGGCATCATACCTGATATGGTAGTAAGCATCTGCTGACCCTGCATCGATGGAGCCTGAGCTACTACATATTGCTGTGGCTGATGATGCTGCTGCTGTCCCTGAGTACTCACTATAGCTGCCGAGGGTGACATCACCTGTCTACTCTTGCCTATGTCTGATGTCATCACCCCCGAGGAGTCGGTGGTGATGGTGTTGGTACCGGAGGTTGTGTGAACCCCAAGAGGGATAACCTGCCAGCCGTTGGCACCGGAGGTGAAAACACCGTGGTTTAGGTCCAGCTGTTGCTGCTGGTTTTGATCTGCAGGTGAATCGTTCTCTCCTGGGGTGTCAATTCGACTACACGTGGCAGCCAACAAGGCAAGCGGAGATGGCTGCTGTGAGTCCTGGAAATGGAAATAAATGTGTAGTAAGCGTAAAAGAAGAAAAATATTTTTTACAAAATGCATCTTAATATCTTATATATATATATATATATATATATATATATATCTTATATACATGTTAATGTTGAAGCAGTGAGGAAGAAGTTTAGAAATACCGACACAATTCAAAATACTATGCTAAAAGGAAACATTAATACCAATATTGTGAAACTATATTTTTAGAGCAGTTTTACAGGCAACCTTATACACCGTTTTACAATTAAACAGTAAAATTTTAAATATTTTACGGAGTAAAATAGAAAAAAAAAAAAAAAAGATCAAGCAGAATTACTGCACGGGTAATTTTAAATATTAATAGTAAAATATAGTTGGGCCTGAACACTAATGGCCATTGGACAATTATTAATTCATTAAGTTATGATTTAAAATATGTATTTTTTGTGAATTCCAATAGAATCCCGCTGTGGGGCGGCACATGGCATCAAACGGAGGGGCATAGGGGGCAGTAGGAAGGCGTTCGATGGGGAGGCAGGGTGGGAGAGCATGGGAGGGACCACGTCTCTTTGGCAGAGAAGCGGCGGGCTCGGCTTCCCCTCCCCCCAAACCCACCCATCTCCCTCCCACACTTTATTTTGCCCTATAAACTGACACACCGCCCAGGCCACCCCCCCTCCGAGGCCGGCCAAATGGGCCGAGCGAGACGCACGTCGAGTGCCGCGGTTCGACGGAAACACCCCGTGTGGGCGAAATCTACCTGCCCATTCTCCACCCCAGTGACATGTGCTCCGCAGAGAAAGTCAACAACCGGTACCAGCTCAGACAGAGACAGAGAGAGAGATGAAATCCATGCGAAATAAAGAACACGGGCAGTGGGTGCGAGCGGGGATCGTAGTCGATGTTGCCCGGTTGACGAATCATCCGATTCGGCTAGCAGTGGGAGTGCGGGTAACCTACTTGTGAATTCGTGTTTCGCTTTTGACTGTAGCCTCCGCCGCTTTCCGCAGCGGCCATTTCACCCTGCTGCTGATCTGCGGAAGAAGAGTTACGTGAGATCACTTCTGTTGAAAGTTGCCCACATTTGAAACCGCAGGAACCAAACTGTTAACGACGAGGAGGAAAAAAACGCACGGTGGACTTCACACAAACGACTCAACTTCACACAGTCTCACGTAAAAAAAACAATAAAAACAATTACGGGAGGACAATTTTGGGAAAATCCATGCCACAAGTGATCGCAGGGCCAGCTAGCCTATTAGCTACTACCAGGAACTCAACACAACAAGCGACGTTAATGTTCAGTAAAACTGCTAGCGTTTACGTCACGGTTTCAACTGAACTACCAAATACCACGCAGCTAGCACAAATGTACTGCTGAAGCTAAATTATTGTGTAATCATGCCGTTTCGACTGAGATCAGGAGATGCGTTACTGTTAAAGAGTAAGCTAGCTTCAATAGCCGGCTAAATATTGTTAGCAGAGTGTCGACAATTAACGTTAGCAGGTAAGCAACGCTAGTTGGTCACTTTTTAACAGCTTGAGACGCTAGCTGGAAAACAATGAAATGTCATACTTATAACAGTGAATACGCGTAAAATATGTATTTCAATTCTGCTTATTGTTGGTAACTTAACGCCTCGTTCACAACATGCCACTGAGTTTGGAAAAAGTTCACTTACTGCTCATAATTTGAAGACGGGAGGAGTTTCTCTGCTCTTTTTTTCGGGTTGACAACTTTTCAGAACTTCACACAAACTTGACAGACTCCCCCTATGAAGGAGAGAGGCAGATGCGTTCGATTTATGGACCTACGTATCCCGCAACATTCGAACATTAACCAGCAAACAGCTTTTACTTTTACATTTTAAAAGTTGGTGGTATAGCTTTTCAGAATACTGTATTATTTACTAGATTTTACCAACTCAAACCACATAACACAATCCTCATCGACAAACGAAGTTTCCTTTAGGATTAACTTCAACGCAAATCCATCATCTTACCGTTATTTGGCTTAGAGTAAGCACTTTGTTGAGCATTATTCGTTAATTTCGAACTGGAGTTGAAATAAGTTAAGCATTAAGTACCATTAATCCAAACTATAAACAGGTAGTTAAGGTTAATTGCGTGTTTAAGTAAAGTCCCATTTATAATACACCTACCATTCAAATGTATTTGCTGTATTAAAATGTTAATTTCTAAAGGCAGTTTTTTTTAGCATTAATGGACCTTATTATCATTATTTGGAAGTAACTGTTAATATGAAAATAGTCAACATTGATTGTGATCGTGTTTTGAGACGCGTTTACTGTACTTTTGCACCGTCTCTTTACGCAAAAGAAGCGCACCCCACTGAGAGGGATCGTTGCTTTTCTCCAATGGAGTTGTTCGTTTCTGCCAACGAGGATCAACTAGCCAATGTAATTGGCTCAAAGGCGGAGAATTGGGCGGGACCAAGCACGGTAGGTTGAGTCCCTGAGCATGATTGACGTTGGGTTATCTGTTTTCCGCTTAAATGGCGCCATTAGCAAACGTGATCCCGTAAATACTGACGTTCATCTTCACTCTTTCTGTGATACTGTCCCGTCACACCCCGCGTAGAGACGCGAGGCCCCATCTGTCGCTTTGAACACGGAGGTGGGGAAGGAGGAAGGCTGATTCGGTATTTAAGTCTTGCCTCCGTGGCCACTGGCCACTCCCTGGTGGCGCCTTGTGGGCTGGGAAACAGCGAGGAGGCGGGAGGAGTCCGCCCGGGTGGAGGAGAAGAGACCCTATCACACTCAAACGCTGGCTGTTACCGCGCTGGGTGGAGAAAAAAGGGCGCACTTGTAGGAGGGTTTGTGTGATTGGGATGTGCGAGTGGGCTGTCAGTGAAGCAGCACATGTGCCCATGTAAACAGGAGGGAGGGTGGAGTCCATCCTCAGGGCCAGGCCTGCATCCACCCAACAATACCGATGTTACTACTGTGTATACTAACACAATACATATACATATATATATACTAATAATAATTTGCTGTACTAGCACGCACACATACACACACAGATAAATATGAAAATTAATAAAATTAGAGAATTATTTTTATACAGCAAAAACAGCAACTATAACAGTTTGATAAGATAAGTGACAATATAATACTTTAATAGCAGCGAGTCAGCAAGAAGGCAATGAATGGTTTATTATTACATTACATAACAGGTCACTTAGCTGACGCTTTTATCCAAAGCACTTAAATTGCATTTTTGACCCATGGCTTATTACATTTTGCCAGGGGAGCATTTAGGGGTTCGGTGTCTTGCTCAGGGCCCCTTCGACATGGGACATGGAGCAGCCGGGGCTCGATCGATCGATTATTGATGCGTTACTATCAAACCAGCCTACTATTGTAGTTGATATTGAGCTGATTTTAATTAGAGTTGACATTGTTGGGTAGTTTAATCATAATAATGCTTCATATTTTAAGCCTATCACATTTGTGCATGTACAGCAAGCCTCGGTGAGCACAGGTGTTAATAACATCTCACAGTGCTGCAACATGCAACATGTTAAATATATTTTACTTAGGTACTTTTCTCAGTAAATATTTTTGCGTTATAGCGTTCGTTACAAATACTACAAATGTTTTCTGTTTCCAAAGAAAAAAAAAGTTTTCTTCCCTTCAGAAGCAAGAGAAAACATAAAGAAACGTGTCAAACATCGGATTAAGCACACACAGCTTTCAAGTGAATGAATTATACATCTAACAAAAACCAAATGAATAACAAAAATCTGCAGAAAATTGTGCCGAGAACAAATGAACCTGTTCCTGTCACGTGGGAGCGTCTTGTTTCCCCGCTACTCAACGATGATGTACATATTAAATGTGACGTTGTAGGAAATTCAACCGTTAAGCAACCGCGACTCCATCTCCTCCTTAATGTGCACGCGCGCGAATCCGAGACACGCGGATCGATCGCTGGACGCGCGCGCGCGCGCGTGCGGGCTGGAAGCTGCGAGCCGCTCTGCGACTTTGCAGAAGCGTGCGGATCACTTTGACATCACCGGAGGAAACAGGAAACGAGAGAAAGCGACGCTGCGACAGAAGCGAAACCTGCGCCCATGAAGGTAAAGCTGGTGCTCTTCTTTCCCGCTCACAAGCCGCTCGGTTTTAATAAGTTAAGTAACTTTTAAGAGGACTAAGTAACTTTTAGGAGGACTAAGCTGATAAACTGCTTTTAAACACCTTGTTTTTCTCTCTCGCGGGTTTATTGAGCAAATTATTATTTTGTTGATGAAGTTAGGCCAATACCAAACAATGCTGTGATCATCACAACGGAAGGAAACGTTCAGACTTTCGAGCATATATGCGGATGCAGTATTGATTTGCACATCTTATAGTTTGGATCTATTCATCATGATTGTATATTTTCTAAATGGCTTGTAGGGCTCATGGTTGGACTTGTTACATCAACCCTTTGCAAATTTGGACATAAGTGGATTTGGATTGATTTATCTGTCGATGTTTTTATATGTTTGTCTCTTACAGACAGTTCTAATTTAAGTCTAGTACAAGTATACAGTATATCATCTTTTATGTGCACTCTATTTGAACATGCATTTTTATTATTTTTTTAAATGATGATTTCGGTTTCATGCACCTTCACACTATGCAGGTGTTTAATCGTTGATTCAAACTTCAATCAAACAAACCTGAATCTGAATCTTAATTCATTCATTTTGATGTGTGACTTGTCCTGAGCATTTTGTTCAACTTTGCCGATAAAAGGATTCCACCACGAAACAGCAAATATTGTTTTATTGTAAAAAGATCCGCTTTTTCAACCAAACATCAGCAAAACCACAATCTGGTCTTGCACCTCTTCAGCTTGGACCCCGGCGCGTGACCCCGCCCGGCTGTCTGTGAGCGATGGAGAACCCGTCGTCCACAGTGAGGCGGCGAGCCTGGATCAACAGCAGCCGGCAGGGGCCCACTGTGGAGGAGCCGGGCGTCCCCCCTTCCGCCTCTATAGCCGATGACGATGTCTTTTCCGACGGTAGGTCCAAATTTACGAGGTGACGGATCCGTCCGGGGTCAACGGTTCGTGTAACAACCGTGTAAGTGAAGTGAGCCTGATTAAGCGTATGCCCAGTTTAACAATCAAAATGCTATAAAATGGTACATTTACAAAACGTGGATTACTTCTTTTACACATATTGTTCAATATGATCACAGGCTGAACGTCTTCATAACGGAATATGTTCAAAGCTGGCATTTACATTCCGCTTGTTTTGTACATGTATGACTTCCACAGGATGCTTTACAGGAAAGATTGAGAACTGGCTCCTAAGATGTGGGTGAGTCAGCTTGCTTGACTACTTTTTTTCTTTCTTTTTTGTGAGATGTAACATTTTTGAGCACATGAGGACCAGGTGTTCTACAAACAGTGTAGTAGACAGGTGGAAACTCTCTGAGGTCAGGTGTAGATGGTGTGTTAAGGTCGCAACGGCGTCGTTTTCACCACAACATATGCGTTGAGTTGCTGTTAAAGTTTGGTACCTTATTTTAGATCTCCAAAAAACACAATGTTAATGAAAATCAACCACCCAATGCCTTTCTAGGACACGAGAGGATGCAGACAACGAGTTCTGCAATCCCAAGACTGTTTCACCTAGAAAGCACACAACTTAAGCCCTTTCGTTTTTTTTTAATGTCCCTGTAGTTTAGATTGTTATATAACCAGACGGAAATGACAGTTCCTGTTATAGAACCGACAATTAATTTCTGTCACCGAGAGGGAGGCTGGTCGTCAGCGGCGCGTCAGCATCTGAGGGGTGGCGTGATGGTTTTATGCTTTCTGGGAACTCGAGAGGAAAATAACCAGATCATTTTTGGAGGTGTCAACCATTCGTTCCCTTGCTCGACAAGGGAACATTTACACAAGAGGAAGTTGACGAACAGGAGCAGCCCGTGGAGCGCTGATTAGGGAGTTGACCGCACAAGCCTGCTTTGTAGCTCTGCAATCGGAACGATGAGGCCGATGCAAATGCGATGACTCAGTTATTTATATAAAATGAAGCATGCAAATAGTACTGGGCATATCGATGCATTAAATGTTGTCATATATATTACAGGTCAGAGGAGAGCAGTCAGCGGAGCTTTGGTGAGTATAGACTGCAAGTCATGATGTAACATTTACCAAATCTTTAATGCATTTAATACATTTAGTTTGCATGTTATAAATGCAAATTAACTTAAATGCTTAAATTATTTTTTGAAATCATGTTCATATACACCAACGTTTTATAAACAGTGTACTTAAAGTATCATAAGAAGAAAACCAATATAATTGGTAGGTTGTACATTACATTATTATACTGGTTTGTACTTTAACTCATTGTACATTAAAGTTGAATAAAGTTGTAATGGAAATACCTCAAATTAATTTAAGTGCAGTACTCAAGTCAATAGGTTCTATCCCAAGGACGACGCATACAAGCCAGTTTTGAAGACAGGAACTTTTGCGTTCTTCAGTTGATCATTTTAGAAAATTTAGATAATGTGGAACCATGTGTGAAATTACTTAAATCAATGATAGTGTGCCTTTTCTCCAGAGTCTGTGCTGAAACCCAGCAACTTGGATGATGAGCTCAGTCTTGGAGCCGATGGTAAGTACGCACACACACACACACACACACACACACACACACAAACAAAGAGACATAGAGGAAGGTAACAAAGCAGGAAATGTAATATAGGAAAATGAGGTGTGCATCATAATGTGCATCGTCTGCTCAAGCTCTCATTTGTTTTGTGCAGACAGAGATGGACCCATCTCTTCATATCAGTTGTAATAAGTCAGATACGTGTCCGGTGTTTCGCCGTGTGGCTCTACCTTTGTCAAGGAAGATGCTTTTTGTGTCTGGAGGAAAGTTCCCATCTTTAGAAGTTAAGGAATCGTAAAATATCTCTAAATATATAATGTAACCACGGCTTTACATTAGACAATGAATACGGTTTGCATAACACGGTCAAAACATTGCACAAGCAAATATGTAATCTAATCCACATTCAGATGCAAATGAACTTCTTCTGGAATGATTTCTTTCTTGTTTCAGCTTCTTTGTTAAATGTTGGAGAGAGTACACCTGAAACTGAGTGAGTAGCAGCTGCACCATGAGGAACAAGGAACGCCCTTCTATTATATTATTGTATATTAGTTTATGATCCATGTTGCTTTAATCATTGAGTGTATTTTTAAACTAAATATCACTTTTAACACAGAAAAACAGAAGTTATTTAGAGGACCTGTCTAATGTTTTGCATGTTTTAGTCAGATTCCAATGGACATGAGCTACACTTACGGTACATATGGCAGGACGAATTTAACAGCGTGACTTTACAAAAATTACACTTTACAAAAAAATGTACAAAAATGACTAAAGCTTTCACTTCTCTGTTTGTTCTTCTTCTCGTTAAGCGTCGCACAGCATCCCGCCACCAAACAAGATCCCAGCAGACCCACCAGGTCAGTGGACGACTTCTTAGAAGTAATAAGAAAATGCATTATTATTAAGATACTTAAGAGGGGACTGTTTCGTTCAAAGCACCCCTCGTCGGAGACTATGCCTGCCGTCACTGAACTTGGGCCACAGCATGGCCTCGAGCTGCCTCTCCTCCTCCACCTGCACGTCAAGGTGAACATATTCTTTGTTCGGTAAGATAAATTCCCCGTACAAACATACAGGTTTCCCGTTACTCCTTTTGTCTTTGCACAGCAGTGTATCGGAGATCCTGCAGCTGTGTTCGGAGGACGCCGAGGAGACGCTGTACGAGCTGGGCTTCGGCCGCGATGAGCCGCAGGTCACCGTCCGCATCCCTCCGCGCTTCCTCCACTTCCCTTCTCTGTCCGAGGGCATCAACTTCCGCGTCTTCCTCGACTCTCAGCTACGGCGGATAAGAGAGGAAGACCCCAGCCTCACTCTTGCTAGTAAGGCCATGGAAGTACATTCTACCATTGTGGTTGGTTTGGGGGATGAGAAGAAATAACTCAACTTGATGTTGCCGATGACGCTTTTTATTCTCACCACAGGTCGTTTCAGACAAGTGCAAGTGCTCACGTCAATGGCCAACGCGTTCTACTCCCTCTACTCCCACGTGTCCCGCACTCCCGTGCAGAAACTGGCCACGCCGGAGTTCACCTTCTCCTCGTCTCCCGTGGAGAGGATCGACCGCTTCAGGAGCGCCGTCCGCAGCGAGCCACGTTCTCCCGTGGAGAGGCTCAAGGACACCGTCTCCAAGATGTGCCTCTACACAGGTTCTCCTCGGGGGTCCGACTCCACCTCCCCGCAGGCCTCGCCCAGAAAGAGGTCGAGCCTCGGCGACGTTGTGGATATAGTCCTTCTGAAAGTCAAGACTGGGGCCACCGAGAAATTGGGTTCGGGGTTAAGCGACAGGAATAAATCGGCCGTGGACGGCAGGCTCACGACGCATGGTGAGACGCCACGCGACAGCGAGGTGGAGGAGGAAACGCAGCAGGCCGCAGCGGACACGGACGGTCTTCAGGAGGCCAATCCGATCCGTCATAAGGAGGTGAAGGGCAGTAAACAAACAGATAATGCGGATGCCGTCATACCAGGAGACCTTGACAGCAGGACTCACAGTGAAGGAACGTCCTCGGCGTCATTGACGGAAGAAACTGCGCAAGAAAAAGATCATCGGTTCATTTCCTATCAGTGTGACACAAGGACTGCTGATCCGAAACCAGTTGCAAAGATTACTTACGATCTAATCTGCCCGCAGATAGTGGAAAGTGTTCAGCAGAGGCCTTTTTGCTCTCAGGACACACATGGTACAAAAACAAACGCCTCACCTCCAGTGTCCTCTGAGACTGGGAGCATAGATGGATCACGCGCGGGCTCACATGGGCCCGATGCACAAACCGCTGTCTCTGAGCCTGATGCCGGGTCACTTCCTGTCCTGGTCGCAAGCGTTAGCTACACCCAGTGCTGCATCACCGTGACGGGCTGGGAGGGGGACAACGTCTCGTCCACTGTCCCACCCGTCCAGGCCTGTGAGGAGACATCTAACACGTCGGAAAGGCGGTACCTGAATCCACAGATGCACCAGGGCCTCTGTGACGACTCCAATAACCTGCAACAGACCAACTCCTTTGAGCTAGAGGAGGTAATTGTTGGATATTAGAAATAAACTGACGACCCGGTTCATAAATTAATAAAATGCATTTAGTGTACACCAGAATACAGCCATGATTCTGAAACTGAGTAATCAACAAAGTAATGACAATCTTGTAAAACCACTGTAATAAATACCTGTAGGGAACCATTGTTCTCAAGCTCGCTGGTGGAGGTCCAGGTTCAGTCCAGGTTAAAGTTTTACAAGAAGGAATTAGCCAAAATAACGTTAGATGGTTCTGGTTCTGATGTCATGGGTAATGGTGCAATGACATGTGTTAACAGTTACAAGTACTCTGCAAACAGTGACTGTTCTAGTTCCACAACATTTTGATCAAACCACTTTGTTTGAGACACTTTACTCCTCTTAAGTTAGATGCAGTAATGTCAGATTTATTTGGGTTTAAATTAATTCATTCTTCTTAAAACAATGTCAAAGAAGAACAATCAAACAATTGTGTTTAACCCTTTTAGTATACCGTTATTCTTAATGGTGCACAATATATTCATACCTGTTGTCTGAACAGGTCCAGAGTGCAGGAGAAGAGGATTTGGGACAATTAGAAACTACACAAACAGCAACCTTACAGTTGTCCAAAAACCATCAATCCAAAGGTAAATTATGGTTTTATTTGTGTGAATGATATCTTTGATAAGAACACATAGTTGTTACAACTCCTTCTTTAGAGTAGTCAATTTGTAGAATCAGAATAAATGAAAATCATGTTTGTGTATTATATTTATTTTTGTTGCCCTTAATGTGCGTACACAGAAATGAACATACAGTTAAAACAAGGATGACACACGTCAGATCACGACAATCATTTGTGGGCCTGAATAGTTAAGACAAATGTGTACAGAAGGGCCGTGTGTGTGTGTGTGTGTGTGTGTGTGTGTGTGTGTGTCTGTGTCTGAGCCGGTGTTTACACCACGCAGAGCGTGTGTATTTGTCAGCAGGCACATGTGTGACGTGTGGGAGTTGTTGACCGTGTTTGTGTCCTTGTGTAGGTGACGTGGTCCGGGGGGACAGCATGCAGTCAGACAGCAGCGGCTACGCAGACGAAGAAGTCAGCTCCTCATCACCAAACGCACAAAGCAGATGACTGAAAACTATGTCGACTATGCTTAAAATACTTGTGTTACTCCCGGTGCTCGTACTGAATACAGAACATTGTAAATAAGGAATCATTCATAGTAAAACTGTTCAAGTTTAAACACCTGGATGAAATAAAGTGTGGGGAAAGTTTATTAAAACGGTAATTTAATCACTGGAGCTCATATTTTAGTTCATAAAAACAGTTTCTACTACACGACAAAGATGTCAACTCAAATGTATCAATGTCAGCATAGACGAACAGTGTCAGCAACAAAAAAAACTAAATATTCCAGCAAAGGTTCCTTACTTCGTGATCAGAAAAACAAGATGCAGATCTGACTTTCCAGAGAATGAGGTTAACATCAAACTCCCAAAAGGTGGGAGAGATGTACAGAAACTCGGTCAGCCTGATTTGTGCAAGTAGAGCGAATGATCTTCTATTTTTAATACATATTTCAGCTGAGTGCCGGGGGGGGGGTCAGTAATCAGTCCTTACACCAAGACCCAGCAGGTAGTTGGAGAAAATGATGTGAACATTTACCTCCAACATCATCACAGGAATCATAGTCGGTGACAGAAAAAAGTCACATGGGTTTAGATTATAAATAAACTAATACCAGGCATAAGGTCACAAAAAGCATCGAGACCACGTAATAATGTGCGGCAGGTTGTTTGCTTGGTCATTCAAAGTCAAAGGTAACATGGACAATGCGGAAGATTCACAGTACTTCTTTCTCTCTAATGATCAATTAAAAAATGGTAATTTAGAAATCATTTTTGGTAGTTGGATTTTGAATTGAATTGTAACGTTGTGTAATATTTTTAATTATCCTAACAGTTAAAAAGTGAGAAAAGATTCACAATTTATGAATCAATCATTTTCTGATCCTTCTCACCTTTTATATCTTGTGATGGCGTGTGTCTAGAAAATGAATTACACATTTTAAATCTTTTTGATCACAATTCCCCCAAAAAATACATGGACGAGGGCCAATTAATATACAACAAAAAAAACGGATTTTCTCATACAATCATCTGAAAACAGGGCAGTCTTTAAAAATAATTATCCTCTGAGGTCTATTCAGCGGAGTCCTTTTCTCTCCACGTTTCAGCACATGGCTGGAATTTCTACCATTCATCCATCCATCCTGGATCAGGGAATGAATGAAGCACCAATAATTGTCAATTCCAAGCCCAATTTCTCTAAACTCCTTTGACCGTCTGTTGCATCAGAATTTGTCTGCAGTGATTTTGAAACTCACTGCGAGAGCGCCTGGCCAACAAAAACTGAAAAAAAAACATTTGTGACAAATATGCAAAATGTCAAGGAGGGGTACATGAGTTTTTGGGCAACTAAATCTTCATCTGGAACAATAAGAAATCCATGTGGCTCCGGGAGTCAATTTTGGGCAAAGAAAAAGTCTTGTTTCCACATTTGAGGTAATTTGCGTCGTTTGAATTCATCAAAAAAGTGCCTCCGTCATCCGAAGAGGAAATGTATCCTGGCAGAAGAGAATCTGTGAGGAGGAAGACGACATCACTTCCCTCCGGCCATGATTTTGAGGTACTGTAGTGCATTGTGGGCCGCATTGGCCCGAGCGGCGTCGCTGCTCGGAGCAAATCCATGGCACACTGTGATTGGCTGCGTGGACAGCTCCACTAGACACTGGCACAAGCCACTCAGACTGCGCTCTTCTGAAACACAAAACAAACGGGTCTTTTTGTTTCATTTTGTTCAGCGAGATTGGACAATAAAAACTGTTTTTTTTCCACCATCATTGCTGCTTTGGAACTGTCTCTGGGAGCTACAGGAGCTCATTTTGATGCTCTACAGTTGCACTACAGCCCATTTCACAGACATAGGCTGCCCCCCTCATTAGTTGTCCTTCAAGCTTTTCTCATGCTGAATTACATATTTCCAAGAAACTAATGAGCGTAACTTTTGAAAATGCATGATTCAAATTATGCTTTTTTTAGTCATGGATATTCTTTTGAACAAAAATGAAAAGGGACTTAATAGTTATGATTCTTCTTCCGTATTCTCACTTACCATAAACATGTCAATGACTGCATATATAATATAATCCAAATATAACCCAGACATCAGCTATAATTCAGTTGCGTCTGTTCTTTTAGTTTAAAAATAGGTATTCCGCTGAAATAAAGTATCAAACTGCAACCACCGATTATCTTCATACAAATGAAACCATTACATTCTCTGCAGAAGATGAGATATGGTTTGTCTGCACTTAAGTGTGGCAAGATGCAGCTTTGAGCCACTTCCTCTATATCTCATGACAGTTATGGTAAACCGTACAGCATTTATTTTACGGTATGTTGCCAGTAATGTGCACCTATGATGATACTGAAGTGTGAAGTTTGTGCAGAGAGTGTGAATCATACGCCCATTGATGGTTTATCATATGCTCAGTGTAAGCTCAACCGCCCCGCTATGTTTACACGCTCCTAACTAACATGCATCCCTTCATCCATGCAGACGCCTAACTGGTGATTTAACCTATAACCAATCAGTCACTGTAGTCACAGTGTGATGCTCGGCGGAAGGGAATGCAACAGCAATTCAAACCAAAGCCACTGTTGGCTACTGACCCAGATCCAGGTAACTGACGTCAAAGCGCTGCTCCGTGGACAGGTCACTCAGCAACGAGCAGGAGTTGGAGTCAGTGGCCGTGCCCAGAGGGTGGCTACGGAGCTGGAGGATTTTCTCTCCAGCAGAGTTACGCAGTGAGTCCCAGGTGCAACTGAAGCCTTTGCTTTTGCCCGTCTCCGCTTTGCTCCCCATGTGCTGTGTGTGCAGAGAAGGGGAAGTTCAGCGCAGTTAATAAATGCTATTGAGATGTACGAGTAAGAAAAGGGGGAATTGAGGTGCCAGGAGAGTAGCTTATTGTATTGTGCACGTGTTATTCAGTGCTCCGAGTCCTCGCCTGAGTAAAGTGACAGGCTGGATTTTCATTAGCCTTGCCAACGGGTGCAAAAAGAGTGAGTTTATTTATTTGTCTATCACCATGTTGAACGTGTCTTCTTCCACGTCGGCGTCGTTGCTGGTCCTCAGGTCCACTGGGACATCGTGTATACGCGATAACATCTTCGCTGCTGCATTTCTCTTGGCTAGTTTTTTGGAGGTTCCGCTTCCTGTAGAACAGGTTGAGACATGTTGAGTAACGTCGCTCAATCAATGATCAGTAGTTGTTGATAAGACGGATATTCATTCAGTACGAAAACGGTAAGCTGAGCAACCGCAGAGTCACCGGTGATTTCCTCTCGATTTCAGCTGCTGTAAACAAAAGTCTGAATATTGCACAGAGTAGATATGATTTAGGAAAACATTTTTAAATACACATTTTACCGATTTCCACAAATCTCTCCACTCTGCAGGTCATGGTGAACTCCTTGCGGTGTGCTGGACCAGACTCCTGGGTGACTGTGTACTCTGGCAAACGCCATCCTTTCTGCACCACCAATTCCTGGTGGAGGAGAATGAAAAACGTAGAAGGCATACAACTGTAAACCAGTCCAATCTTATGAATAACAATAACAAGCATTGACGACGGCAGCATTAATCAGTTGACAGTCACACAATCTGGGTTTATATTCACCTGCAGAGCCCCCACGGGGTTACATTCAGACTGCTGAGAACTGCCTGAGGTCTTCATCTCTGGCTGGGAGCTGTACAGAAGATGATCAAGCTCGGAAGTGTAACAGATCTCCATCCCAAAAGTATAAAGCGCTTAAATGTACGTTGAGTACTGAGACGTTATATTGGCTGATGTTTCCACAATGTTAACCCCCAGCATAGCGGTTTGTGAATCGTTATCGCTTTAGAGGAAAAACCTTAATAAAAACTGACCTGTCCCCATCAGTGGACACGTCAACCGCAACCAAGCCCTCGACTCCGACTCCAACTCCGACTCCGACACCAACACCAACACCAACGGGACCTCCAAGACCTCCCTTGTGCATTTTCAGAGCAGCCTCGGCTGCTTTGTGCTTGGCTGCCTTCTTGCTGGGCCCTTGGCCGGTGCAGCTGATCTCTCCGACGGAGACGCGGAAAGTGAAGTTTGGCTGGTGGGCCTGTCCCTCGGCCTTCAGCAAGTCATACACTGGGGTCTTGCCTATCCGCGTTCCATACTCCTGCAGCAGACTGATGGGCGTCTTTCCGGGATTCACTGCCAGCATTTGCTCAATACTAAATGAAGTAAAAAAAAAAAAAAAAAAGAAGACCCAAGATTAGAAGGACTGTTGACTCCGGTTGGTTAAGTTGCAAAGGGCTTAAGACCTTTCAGGAGACATTTTAAAGCATTTTCACCAAAATTACAAAAGGCTTGGAGATATTCACCACCCCAATATAAGACAATCCCTTTTCAAAATGAATTAAGGGTGCAGTCTATCCAGAAACAATGTTCATCTCCTTGAATACAACTAAAAGTGACTATGTATACTAAAAATGTCCTTTACCTCCTTCATATTGTGGCAACGGAAATCTCAGCAGCTCAACTCCAAAATCTTAGGCAAATAAATGAGTACAAATTTTAGGTGAATTCACACTAATTATAATGTTTAAAGCATGATCATTTCATTCATACAAAAAGCTTGAGTATAATGAGACAATATAGGGAAACAATCGATTCAGGAAAAAATGGCAAAAGTTACGGTGTTCAGTTGTAGGAAGGTGTTGATTATACTCTACATTCATTTCCGAGGCTGCAGTTTGTGTTGCTGCTGAATTGTGTTGTGATGCATTGACAGATGCTTCTATAACTTTGATCAATGAGGTTGGGCTAAACAACAGAAGCTGCAGCAATGTGAAACAAATAAACTATAATCAAGAGATCTTACTACCAAGTTTAGGTTCATTCTCCAGGGTACTGTGTAGACTACTGTGTTGTGAAGTGCTACACCAAATCACTTGTACACAGACGGCAATGTCTAGATTGAAGACGAATCAATGACACTTAATAATGTTGTAAACCGGATCTCTTGTAATCACACAGGTGGCACCTTATCCTAAAGCTAGCAGAGTGAGGCTTATATACACGAAATGTCGGTATCCCACGTTAAAAGTAGTACAGCTAATTAGCAACGCTGTGGCTTCATCCCACTGTCCCCTCCGCTAGCCGATGTGCTATACTAGCTTAGCTTCACACCTGGAGCACCCGGAGTTTCTGTTCCAGCTGTCCGATGCTGTCTCGTCGTTCATTCCCTATTTCACGCAGCCAGAGCCGATCGGTATCGGATGATTGATCCGCCCACCGTAACAGACGCTCGCTTTCATTAGACGGTATTTTCCCAAACAGATAATGAGGCAACGACATGCGAAGAGCAGACCACCCCTCCGCTACGGCATAATGCAGCGGGGCGCTGTGCTGGAGCACAGATATGACGTAGGACGGAGTTCCGCGAAACTCGAGTTCTAATTGGTCCGTGGGCGCTGTAGGGTGGTTCGTTTTATACACCGGAAAGCACCGACATTGTCGCTCGCGTTACATCCACGCGAGGTAATAGTAACGACTATTTCCATGAGGCGGTGTGCGAGGTTAAATGGTTATATTTTGTTTCATTGCGACAGGAACAAGTTGTCAAACCAATTAGCGATACTGGAGAATTTAGTTTTCTGCTGTAGAAAAATATCGAAAACTCGAAAGTACAACGAAGCAAAGCGTTAATTCACGTATCTAACCTGTGATGTTGCAGTAAAAATAAATAAGTCAACGTTACTTCAGCTATGGCTCTTTTTTTGCCGCTAAAGTAGCTGAAGATGTCAAACTGCAGCTGTCAAGCAGGCTGCATTCGGTGAAAAAGTACTAGGAAATTGACCAACTCAAGTAAGTGCAAGTACCAAGCTGTACCTTTAGTACATGTTAGATGTGTCCGCGTCGCTCTGCGTGTGAGAAATTCCCATAAACACATGTTTTCTGCGCGAACGGCGCGTTGAACCGGACGCTTCTCTTAATTATGGGCTCCAGCAATGAAGCGGAATGTGTAGCGACCTTCATCGCATTGTGGCATCTCGGCGCATCTCACGCGCCGTGACTGACAGCGACCAGAAGAGGGCAGCAGTGAGTCACTGTACGGCTCACCTGACCGGCCTCTCTGAAGGACGCTCTGCGAGCGCTACGGGGCCTCGGTTAATTGCCTGACACCTGTTATCTCCTGTAAAGGAGCCGTCAAAGAAACATGAAAAGTTACACTAGTTTAATAGAGTGATTTATGCTGAAACCCTGAAAACGACAGATGGGCCCAGACTAAACTGGTTTGTTTGATGCAAATATGATAGGTTGTCATATTTTTGGTAACGGCGGACAGAATATATGACAGCTGTCAAAACCAAGCTAATGTGAAATAATAGAGATAACGATTGTGCTGTTATGCAAATAAATGGAAACGCTCCAGACGTAGTCAACATCCAGCCACAACTCAAAGCGGTGCAACACATTGAAAACCCCCAAAATAAACACAATGAAATAATAAATAAATATGAATAAGTTGAAAAGACAACAGCCCCATACAGCTTGACCAAACTGTACCATTTAATGTGTGTGGATTTGAAAGAATGTTGCATTTGTTTATGGTATTAATAGATAAAAAAGATTTAGGACCGACATCTCTAATTTTGGTGCTGTGTCTTTGCTTAGTTTGGATCCTGGTTGAATAGTCAAACCATTAAAATCCTTTTGGGTTTCAGAACCTCCTTCTCAACTAATACAGCAGCACTTATTCTGTACAATTTCCATCACTTCCTTTATTTCCGTGGCGGGACTATTAATCCCATGATGGTAATGCTTGTAAAGCCTCGATGGCCTCCGTTGAAATAGAGCGAGGATCCTGATGGCTTCATTCACTGGCATCAGCGTGCCAGTGTGGATCAGCACTTTTTGCCAAGTGCAATACTTAGTGAACTGGCCTTGACAATGAGTAAAATAGTCTCCCAACTGAACTCGGATTCACACTTCCAGCGTTAAAAAGTCTTGTTTCGCTCGGGCTTCATTTGTCAGTTTGCAGTCCGGATTTATTGACCTATGACATGATCATGTAAAAGATGTGAGATGACTTTTTATTGCGTTTGTGGTTGAATCACTGACTGAATAAAATCGGAAATTAATACCATCTTAACAGTACATCCAAGATGTATGCACACATTGGCACTCACACACACACACACACACTCTTTCCTTCTCCCTGTCTTGGCCTGGCGCATTAGTATGTGTGGTTCTTTGGTTGCCAAAATCATCAGTAGATATCTTGAAGCACGGAGCTGTATGAATGCTCTTTTTTCCCTCCTTCCATAATATGATGTGTTTCCTTTTTTGTGTGTGTTTTGATCCTTCCCTTGCAGCCAAGCTGTGCTGCGGTGGGGCGCGGGTTCGAGTGGCGCTCCTGTGTTATTTTTGGCAGCAGCGGTGGTTGGTGGCTCTTGAGGAGAGAGGGAGACAGGAGGGGGATGGCATGAAGCCCCCCAAAAACCCCGGAGGCTGCTTAAGGGATTCTTTTTGTCTGGAGGAATTGCTCTGTGATGATCAGGAACTCCTTATGGATTCTATGAATGTACTCACTCGCGTGCACGTTTGTTCATTTAGCACTTCACAAACACCTCATATACTCGTTCTCCTTTACAGACCACACACTCATAATTGCTTCATCGCTTGACGTGTCAAATGTTAGTCTTTCTTCAACAAAATCAACGCCATCCGTGTTTTTTTTTTTTTGATGGAGCCCATTTCTGAATCCACCAGCACGTTTAAATGTTTGGTCCTACGTATTTGCCACAGCTGCCCTGTTCGTGTCAAATGGGAACTATTTATTGTTTGTCAACTACATTGGCAACACACACTCTCTCTCTCTCTCTCTCTCCTCGGCGGGAGTCGGTTGGAGACACGCCGCACGCTCAGGCAACACGCAGTGTCAGACATTCACGCTCCTCCCTCTACGCTTCTGAAAACACCATTTGAAAAAGATTTTCTCCGAGTCTGTTCTTGGCCACGGATCAAGAGAACGTTTTTGCTTGACTTTATTTATTTATATATTGTGGCGGTAACGTGTGTGAATGTGTGCGTGCGTGCGTGTGTGTGTGTGTGTGTGTGTGTGTGTGTGTGCGGGTGAGTGATGTGTAATTGCGTATGTATGTGTTTTAACCCACAAAGATATTTCAATTTCTTTCAGAATATTAAATAAACATGCAGCAGCAGCAGCTTCAGTCAAGCGCTGCCTGCCAGTGGGTTTTGGGTTGGATGGGTGGCGGTGCTGGTGGTGAAGGGGGAGAAGGGGTTTGTGGCCGTGGCTCTGGGGGGGTGAGGCAGCTCATGGTCAGGGCCCCCGCCGGACACACTGGCGCCTCGCGCTGGAGGACTTCTGAACCACCACACTCCTCCACCAAAACCCTGCCAACCCAGGCTCCCTGCTCCCACTTCCAACCCGGATCACTCAGTTCTCCTTCGGCATCTTTGCTCTCTGTCTTGCTGTCTCTCTCTCTCCCTCCCTCCCTCCCTCTCTCTCTTCCCCCTCTTTCCTCTCTATTTTTCCTTCTTCAGTTTCCTCATTCAGTAGATCCAAATCCAGATTCATTTGCTATTTGGCCACGACCCTCTTTTTTCTCACTTACTGCTGTGTTGTTAGAGGCAGGTCTGTGTGATTGTCTTTTCTCAGATCCTCCACCGCCCTTTCTGCATTGTCTCTCTTGAATCCCTTCATTTAAATAGTATTTAGTGGCTTAAAGAACGCAAACGGGGAATGCTTTGGTTTGCATGTCCGTCAGAATACCATCACGATAGAAGGCATTTTCAAAAGGAAAGAACTGTTTACGGGTGCTTTGGTTATTTGTAAGGGTATTTGCAACCACCTCCAAGACATATGCGGCTATTGTTTTTGTCATGGAAAAAAAGAAAAACCTCCCATCGTGCTCAAAGTGAGTCCTTCGAGCCTTACTTGATATCCAAACTGAATGAAAACATAAATAATTTGTCATGATTAGTAAATGTACCCTAATCGTACGTGAGGATAAATACTGCCACTGAAGAGGCTAAGCATGCGCTTTATAAATGCCTTATGGGCAGACTTGATTATTAAAATAGATAAATCCTGAATGCAGCTACTGCTGAGTAATTGATTCATGGATGTCAAACATCCCGAGTAGAGTGAATATGTCTTTACGTGTCACACACGCAGTTTTCTTAACTAAATTTTCCCCTGGAAGCAATTTGTCATCCGGAGGCCATTAAATGGGAAGCATATTATCTTTTTAAAGGGGCACAGAGTCACCCGCAACCCTCCCACAGCTCCTATAAACAAAATGGCCTCGTTTAGTGCCGCATTTGGATCACCGGGCAGCGAGGGAGGACTCCCTTTAAACTTTAAAGGCCGCTCTGTGCTGGAACGGGCTCCGACATTATATGATTAGAGGCGGAAATATAAAGAGCCCTCCGTGTTTAATGCTACGAGCCACACAGACGGCTGCATGTCCTGTCTAAAGTGAGGGGGCGGCTCAACCTCCATCACCTATGCAACGGGGAGCGAGGAGGAAGCAGTGACGAAAGACTGTCGCATCAGCTGGGCCGCAGTATCTTCTGTGACGTGGTGCCGTTTCCTAACAAATGTAAATGATGGCTGATCTGCGTGATCGCCTGACCTTTTTACCTATCACCCTCTCTTATCTGTTGTGTTTTCCTCTGCAGCTCCTTCTCTCCGGGTCCCGTTATGATTCACTCGGGTCAGTTGACCTTTAGCCTTTGCCAAAAAAGCCTTATCTTGTTCCTCCTTCACGGCCTCTGGGCCTGCCGGCATTCTTTTCCCTTTCTTCCCCCGCTCTGCCACAGAGTCCCAGTCACACCTGCAGACACCTGTGCCTTTGTCCTGCCGACCAGTCCCCCCCCCCCCCCCGCCCCACGCGCCTGTGGCCATCTCAGAGCACAGTCCCATTGTTTTACTCGACTATTCAGTTAGGACCAGTTAATAACAGGAAAGAGGAGATTCATTAGCATTTTCGTCAACACATCCCGATAACTTTTTTCCCTCGTTTTAAAAAACAGCTGGAAGTTTGGAGAGTTTAAATGGGAGTAATTCATCAGTAAGTCTCATGGCTAAACTAAACATTGCCTGAGTGAAAGAAATGGCTTCATCGTGTAAGATCGGAAATGGGCTTTAACTTGTGTGTGTGGTGTCCTGTGTGATAACCTTTACAGTCCCAGCAGGTCTGTGTGTTGCGGTGATTTCTGTAAAAAGAGTGCAGGGGCACAAGTGGGCAAATCATATGGAACACATTGTCCAGCTTCTTCCTCTGCCGCTACGTGTCACGGCACGTATATTTTTTTCCTTTTTATGGCCTTATTCGAAGCAACACTTAATGTTTCCTGGCTTTCTAAATAAAAGATGTAAAAATAAAGTCAAGGCTACAGTATACCACCACCACCACCACTGGTAAGGCAGAAAATACCAGTAGCAGGTTTTAAAAGCCACTGACCATCTTCTTAACCCCCCCCTCCCTCCCCTCCCTCTCTCCCCCATCACCCCCAGTCACTGGCCTGACACACCCTACCCATACCCCACTCCCACTGTTAGCCTTTTATGTTGTGGACTCAACCGTGCGCCCACTTCAGACCACCATAAACATGTCGGCCCCTGATGACAGAGTCGGCCCCGGGACGTTTTATATAAATTGACCTCAACTACAGCTCATTAGATGCCCGAAATTGGAACCATGCAGCCTGGGAAGTGTAAATGTTGCATCACGAGGGTCGGTAGCTTCAGGGGGGTTCCGACTGCACAGGTCCACACTGCTGTGATGTAACTGGCAACGTTTTATCTTGTCTTTTTGTTTTTAGAACCGGTAAAATCATGTAGCCAAAAGAAGGTTTGTCTGGGATAAGGACATAGTTTTACCTGCTTATCATTTATTTCAACTGTCAGCTGTCAACCTCTTTGGCTTTAGGCGTTGAAGGCTTCTTCTAGTCTTTCACTGAGGCTACCGCTCTAGTCCACCCAGCTCTGGTATTTTCATTAGTCTGCAACTTGACCCGAATGACCCGACTTGACATAAAGACGCACGTTCCACTTGTCGTGACACTAACTTGTTTGCCTACAGTGGCAGCACGGCATGGAGTTGGAGGTTTTTGACGGACTCGATGGTGAGCGCAGCTTCTCCTCTGCATTCGTATCTCCACATCACGTCCTCGGTCCTGCATCCTGCCTTAATTGGGGTCCTTTGTTTAACCGCCTCCCTCAATAAACAATAAAACCGCAACTCCCATGTCCTAATCCGTCTTCTCCTCTCTTCTGACTCTGCAGGAGCATCGCTCTCAGTAATTACCCCTCTCAAGCCGGAGAGTGGAGTAATTGTCTTGAGTGTAACTACAGTGGCTCTCAGAAAGGGGCTCATTGTGTGGGGTTAAGACTTCACGTCAATGGCTTTGTTTGTGCTCCAAGGGATAATGAAAATATATGAAAGTATTAGTGAGTGTAGAGAGGATGAGGCGTGGAGGAGTGAGCGAAACCCTCTGAGAGCGACGGCTCCTCATTTTATGCATTTTAAAATGCCTTCAATAATACGAATAACACCAGTAGAGAAAATGCGTTTCGAAATGTCTTTACTTTACATTGTCATGATCTCACACCACAACTTTTACAAAATATTAACCTTTATGAGGCGTAATGCTTTACAGTATCTTATACACTCATTTCACAACAAGTCAGCAAACAGTGGTAGTTTCATTTTATGAGCAAAACTATCAACAACAATTCATGATCTTTTATGTTTCTTTTATACTAATGCAACATAGTGATCTTTTTCATTGTGGAAAGTTACATAAAATATAGAAAATAGATTAAAAAGTAGAAAAATAACACACCTTACAATGTCTATATATTGTTGTAAATATATAGTATGTACAAACAAGGAGAAGCCCTTATTATTCATTACTTTGCCAGGTGTGGAAGATTTCACGATTAAAAGATTATATAGAAATAGTTTACACGTACATCTAACATGATCTATAAATACATCTTTAAAAACAAACGTAGTCCCAAAACTCCACGTTATAACTAATAAATAAGAAAAAAAGTTTTAATTTAATGCATTTTATTTTCTTGGCCGCCTATTACCATCTTGCGTTTATTCAGGCATTATTTTTCCTGCAGAGCGCAAGATAATCTCCCATGTGTATAATTTAAGACATAAATTAGGTTATTTATGTAAATATGAAATTAAATTAAACATCGTAAGAAGCAAACAGCAAAAGTAAAATGCAAAACCCTTTAAATCAAAACATCTTTGGCAACGTGAAGCAGTAAGAAAGACTGTCCTTTGATTGTTTCAGGAATAATGCATAAGTATCAAAGTACAACTGTAAATCAGATTTCTCTCCAGTCATGCAATGTTCCTTCAACTCCATCACTCTAACCATAAGTCTCATTTTAAAACTACTTTGCTTTTGTGGCTTCAGAGTTCTTTTCCTTCTGCTTTCGCGGATTACATTTCCCCAGTGGTCGGCCTCATTTTAGAGGCAGAAAATGTGTGCATGACTGTGTTTATTTGTATGTGTGTGTGCGTGTACATGCATTATATATTCTTGCACATTTGTACACATATATATATATATATCTGTGCTTTAGTATTTGCACATGTGCGTGTTGTATTTATTTTCATGTACACCACGGCTTGATTGTTCATATTTCCGTGTGTATGTGTGTCGTCGTGTGTACATTTGTGCATTGGTTCATGCTAGCTGGCGTGCTCATATTTGTGTATTTGGACCAGTTGAATTGAAGTGATCCAAGCTGCAACATGCTCACTCATCAAGTCATTTCAAACATGATTTCATCTCTTTTACATGTCTTGAAACCAAACCAAATCACTCCTTTTTTTTAATTGAAAAGGTGAATTCTTCCACCATCATGCCTCAAATGGTTCTAGATAGAAACCTCAATGAAGTCAGATCTCCAACAGTCCACTGCTGTTCTCCACTCCATTAGGCGTGCCAGTTTTATCATCTCCATTGGTGATTTGGTCAGCGACAGGATTGGTGCTCACAGCGTTGGCGTTCAGCTCTGTGGTCTCCTCGCTCCGCGGATCCGTCTCTCCCTCCACCGCTACAGCTTTGCCCTGCATCGCAGAATCCGCGTGGGTCTTCTGGTGCTTGGAGAGGTGGTCGCTGCGCGTGAAGCGCTTGTTGCACAGCAGGCAGGTGAACTTCTTCTCCCGCGTGTGGGTGCGCACGTGCCTCTCCAGTTCGTCTGAGCGGGTGAAGCGTTTCCCGCAGAACAGCCAGTTGCAGACAAAGGGTCGCTCGCCGGTGTGCCAGCGCAGGTGGGCTTTGAGGTGGGAGGCCTTGCCGTAGACTTTCCCACAGCCCGGGATGTGGCAGCTGTGGACCGGCTTCTTCCTTAGGGACGCGGCCGACGCCCCCAGCCTCTCCAGCTCCTGGCAGTTGGGGCAGTCACATGAGGACCTGGTGGGCGCGCCCCCTCCGCTGTAGCCCCCCGATCCCCGGGCAGGCTTCAAGCCCATGGGACTCTCAATCAGCCCTGCACTTGGCACAGGCTTTGGCTTGTACATGTCCTGGGGCAGCATGTGCTGGGAGGGCTGGAGGAGGTGTGAGGAGGAGCCCAGCCCCACAGACGGGTAAGGAGCCGGGTTGAGCTGTGTGAAGTCGGTGCCGTAGCTGGACAACTGCGGGCTGAGGGAGGCCTGTTGAGAGACGGGCTGCAGGGAGGCTTGGAGGCCTCCGTCCCCCTGGGGCTGGGAGGACGACAGCCAGTTGGAGTTGGGATGCACGTCCCACCAGGAGGACGTGGCATTAGCTGGAGCAGCTGTAATGCCGGGGTGGATGCCGGCTTTGTACCAGGAGCCATAGGGGTGTGTCATATCGAGCGAGGTGTAGACACTGGTGAGGCAGTCAGCTGTGGCGTGGGCCTGGACACTAAAAGAGATGGGTCCTGGGACATGGACGTTTGGAAGGAGTGGGAGAAAGGGTTATATTCTGTAGTGTAGCCTCCGGCTGAAGGAGGGGGGCTTCCAGTGGGGGTGAGCAGCCCGCCACCTCCACCACCACCTCCTCCTCCTCCTCCTCCAGCTGTGGTGAAGGAGCCTGTGTAGGAGTCTGCCAGGCCATTGCCGTCTGCGGTGCGTCCGTTCTTGGCTGTCTGAAGGTCAGAGGTCATGTTGTAGGGCTTCTTTACAGGAATAGCGCTGCCGATCTTACCGGGTGTAGCCGAATCTCTGTGGGGGCTCGTGCTGCCAAACTTGTTGCAGGTAGCAGTTAACATAGCCAGAGGACTGGAACCATAGCGTGCGTCTTCCTGGAGGAGACATGGGAGAGAATAAGACTGTCTGTCTGCAGGAAATGGCTGCTTGCTTCTGTCAGTGTCAACTCTAATAAAAAACGCATGTGAGACTGCCACCGCCGGGTTTTCCTGCTCGATCCGTTTTCAAGGTGGTCAGAGCAATTTCAAGCGGTGAATGTTTATGCTTTTGTAAGTTCTGCTCTGCTCAGCAAAGGAGGAATTCCCCAAATCTTTTGTTTCACCTAAAACCACAAGCTATTCTACATTTAGCTTTAATGTTTGCTTTATACGTTCACCACCTGTCCATCACACATAAACCTAGGTTAATAATGTCTAGCCACTGCACTATTAAGCGTGACTTATTTATCGCAGTGAGTTGCATTTTTTTTCTCCAGTAGTCAATCGTCTCGCTATCGTGCTGTTTGAATTTCTTACAGATCAAGTTGATTTCATTTAGGGTATTTATTTTTCTATTAATAAATCAAATAAGTCTCCACTTTTCACTACCAAAGGCAATTCCCTACAGATACTTTTTTTGTATCTCCCTTTTCCATGTGTCAGTTAACTAAACACCATGGCACAACATATCAGAGGTGGTGTGTCTGTACCACACGCTGTACACGTGGAAATAGCTTCATCGTTTTTCTATACAGACCTACTCTTGATGCAGAGGTTATTGATAGTACTCTTCCAAACAGCTGGAGTCAGCTCTCAGGTTAATCCTGTTTTATCACAGACTTTTAGGTATTTTATTTATATGTATTGTATTTATGTCGGCACTTTTCACGTGAGATAACTAATAGTAAATTCTCTATTATTTCTATTTGCTCATTGATATAGGAAGCTTATGCCAAGAGGAAATGTGAGTTGCGGCAGCAGCCCACCTTTAAATTGCTTTGAAATCACACATTAAGACCTACGGTCTTTCTTCATTAATGCACATTATACATTTCATTATCTTGAATTTCATCACATATTGATTCAAATCAAACCAGGCTTTAGGTTTCCTCAATTCAACTTACAACAGCGTCCCTTTAATATAAAGTCGAGTTGGAGTTTTAACATGGTAATAGTTAAGTTTGCATAAAAAAGGAGAGAAAAAGGAGGGAAAAGATTCTACTTACAATTGCATTCCCTACCTCCAGAATAGATGCAGCCATCCCTGAGAAACTAAATCCTAAGGAAGCTGAGGGGAGCAGGAGAAGCACAGCTCGGAGTCCCAGGACAGTTTGGAAGAAGTTGGGCACTCACGCGGGGAAGTGTTTTGAGGCCCGGGAAGCCCGCCCCCTAATTACAGGCTCTGGGCTCTTTGAAGACCGCTAAGAGGCAATGCAAACCCAGAGATAGAGGGGACTGGAAGGAGATTGGTGGATGGAAAGAGGACATCCCACCTCCCCAAACAGCGAGTATCGAATCATTTTTCAAGATAAATGCATGAATGGGTTACTCATCAATCACCGCGTGGACGTTATTTCAGTTTCACTGGCATTATTTTTTCCACCGGGATTATTCTAGTGGAGTCGGAAGGGAAAGTTTAACACCATCTCACAGAAAATGATCTTTCCAGATGACAGATTTAGTAAATTCTGTTCCTGCTGTTTGACACGTTGCTAAAGGAGCACTGTGAATACAAAATGAAAAAGGTCTCTATTGTTGTTCTCCTGAGAGAGAAAAAATAACAAAGTAACAAGTAGCCTCGGCCTCTGCCGCATAAATCTGAAAATGAAGCTAAACGAGTCTGTGGTTTCTATAAGAGATTTTATTATCCTGACTTCAAACCTCTCCCTGTTTCCAATATTCTTAAATACAGTTAACTGCCTTTATAGAGATTAACTGTAATGGTGAGAGACTGAACTACAAAGACAAGCAAAGCAGGAAAAGGATCAAGACATTAAATAAAATAAAGAAAAGATTATCACATGAAATGAAATGAATTCAAACAGCAGAACTATCAGGGGATAATCGTTTCCTCAAATAAAATGCTTGATGAAAAGATGGAGAACAGGGGAAGAATAGGTCTCGACAAAGACGGCTGCAAGAGGTACAGTTTTTTACTTGTCTAATTTATTTTATTCATTTTTGAGTTGTGTTTTGAAATCTTTCACAGGAAAACGTGTCTTTTTTGTTGACTTACCATTTATGTGTATTTCACATCCCCAAACTCCATGTAAGCTGATGGCAGTGCTCTCTGGCTGGGAAAGTAAACGCAAACCACTTTAAAGCTGCAATACGAATAATAACTCCATACTGACTCATTATGATAAGTTTATCAAATACTCAAGGGATTTATATACCTTCTTATTTATTTTAGATACAAACAAATGTACATATCTTAAACAGACATATGTATAATCAAGTCAATAGTTAATAAATTGATTCATTTTAGTGGAACATCTTTGTCAAAATGAGTAAACAAAAAAAAAAACATAATTACAGTTCCCAATTCCCAAGTATTATTTAAAAAATAACATAAATGTCAATAATATTGTCAACTGTGATCAACTCAAGATACAGCACATTTAAATAGATAGATAGATAGATATTTAGTTTTTAGAATTTCATTTGTTGGTTGAAAGAGTCAAAAAGTCAACTCTCAGTCTCGGGTGAGACGGATTCTTAGCGGCGTTTTGTGGGCGTCTCGTTTTCTGAAGGAGAGCACAGAAGATTAAAATTGTTGTCAAAAATAAACATATAATTTCTGTCCTTATTTTCTCCTCAATTACAGGGCATGGTCAGAGTTGGGCTTGTCGTTCTGGAGAGTCTGGCCCTCACATGAACAAAGCGGCTATATTTGGCAGTCTGCTCTCCAACTGACCTTCATCCCTTTATTTTCTTATTCCAGAAGTGGTGTTAGTAGAAGAACAAAGGCTGCTACATGCTCCTGAATACAATGTCACTCTTACCGGATTGTGTTTGCACTCATATGATTCTCTGAACTCACCCCAAACTCAAGACATGGTGTCAAAAAAGGTCAAATATTACAGCGTATATTTCATCTCCCTGTCTGTCCATCTGTCCTGTCTGTCGGTCTCCATCCAGATACATGTGCTGTACGTGGCAGCCTTTTCACACTTTTTTTGGGGCATTTCCCTGCCCTCTCATTTCACACATGGTGTGTTGCTGGTGTAAAGCTTTTAGTGAAGTGTTCCTTTTCTTCTTAGCGTTCATTAATGCTTAATGTTTTACACTTAAGTGAAATGAGAGGGGAGGAATAAAAGCTCCTATATTGCCACAAAAGTGGTCCGCGATGGACCACTTTTCCAGTTTTTATAAGACTTGTAGTAATCTAAAACTTTGGCGTGCTCCCATTTACTGTTCTCTTCAAAAGAGAGCAAGTTAGATCTATAATTAGAGAACGCGTTAAGCTCTTAACAGCCTCTTCAAAAAGCTTTCTCTGCTCTATTTACTATTTTCTGCTCTGTGTGGTTTAGATTCTTCGGGTATGTACACTGGGCGCTGCAGGCTTGATGAACCTCGGGGGCCTTGGGTGGGCACCATCATGTTCCCCGGGGCTGATTATACGTTTTGCATAGTCATTGTGCATATGACAGCCATCAGTTGTATTAGTAGCTCCAGGTTTTTGTAGTGTTGGTGCTAGCTCATTAGCCTGAACCGGTTGATTTAACAGAAATTGTCATTTTCAACATCTTGGTTCTTCTTCTTTGTGGTTTTCAAAGCGTTCCAGTTCATTCTTTTCGATTGAGGCAATTCATGGCCAACATATAAACCAAGTAAGCATGTTGTACCTTTTTCTTTCCATGTTGCCAGTTGTTCCCAGAGGATTGTGGGTAATGACCCAATTGTAAACGTCTTCGATCCCTGAATTGTGTGATGCACAAATACACCAGAACCTTGTTTTTTTTACATTTAATGAGTGGTCTTGATTGATAACATCAAACTTGTATTCACAACAATAAACCCTCCTTTACCAAAAGTTGTGTTCAAGGTTCAAGGTCCTTTTATGCCCGACTGTGGACATTTTTTGCAAGCATCAAGAAAAGATAAATTTGTCTAATTGCTGTATTTTATTGTTTTTGAAAATAAACCCTTGTCATATGTGTTTTGTGTATTCTGCAGTGAGACTGTCTCTCTCAACTTTTCCGTGCAAACCTTCTGGGTGAATTGTTTAACTCTGTTAAAGGCTCAGCTCTAAATAAAAAACAACTCAACAAGTTGCAATTTTAATCGAAGTGACGGCAGTAAGAGCACAGTTAGTTTTCCCATCGAGGTGATAGACTACTCCTCCTTTTGAGTGTGTGAATAAGACAACGGAGGCATTACACTGCTCTTGCTGGGGTCGGGTATCAAACCTCATTCATCTTTTGAGTTTGATTGAATGAGTCTGTAGAACCTGGTATTGATAACTGTGACACAAACCCAGGTGATGAATGTTTGTCCCGGTCAAGTTGCTCTTTGATCAGCCATTTCCTGATAAAAGGCTCATTCTGCTCATTTCAGACCGCCTCAAATCAAAGTATCATCATACAGCGGTTTGTATAATATGGCATATTTTTATTAATTTTTTCTTTCCAGCAACAACATTAATCAGTGTGCCTACGTGAATCTGCGACTTGCTTAGATTTAGGAGATTGTGGTTTGGGTTAGATGAGTGCAGAAAAGTGCAGAAAGTTACATAATGATCAATTCATCTTTGACTCAGGATTTAACTCGAGGCACAAAGTGCAGTCTTCTGGGGGAAGGTCCTGTGTTTCTTTGTTGCTGTGCTTCGTTACTTGTCCCGGCTCAGGGATCATCAGTATATGGCTCGTATGCGAGTGTGCATTACTCTTTGTAGAAACTAGCATAGAATAGAGCAGTGTGACTCCTTAGATGTTGGACCGCGTGTACATCGGCATCACATGCTTGGTTTTTAAAAGCATCTTTCTTCAGGGGGTTAACGTCCTTCTGTTTTCTGCATTTGTATTAAATTGGCCTCTTGGTATCATTAGGCTATTACAGCGACCAAGTAAGTGTTTATAATGGTGGATCAATGGAATATCTCGCCGTAATGCATTTCCCTTTTCATTCCCCTCTGGGCTGCAACCCTCAGAAAATTAACAATGTTAATAATACTGCGACGGAGGGGGAAAATTGAAATGATTAGATGTGTTTTACTTTGCTGCTGATGGAAATGTGGTGAAAGGGAATCAGGGTCAGGCATAGACTTGCCTTGCAGCATGACTCTGTGCTATTTTTCCAGGCTGTGTGGTCAAAGATTCAGAGAGCTTGACAACGGAAAAAAAGAGCGAGCGAGAGACGTGGGGGAGAGGAGAGAAAGAGGGAGACGTATAGACAGAAAGACTGGGAGAGATGGGGACAGCGGGGAACAGAGCGGTGGGTTACACAACACGCCAGTGAACGCCGTGTTCATTTGCACTAATGTTGATGCCGCTGATAAAAAGCGATAACATGTTTTAATAAAATGACCTGAGCGAATGGTCTCTACTTTGGGGGCATGATGATGGTTTTGAGTAATTCAACCACCGACCGGCTGCATTTCAACCATTGGACAGAGCATATCCAGTCCCCAGACATGGTGATAATCCCAGTCAGCAATGAGGAGGAGGTAGTCCTTTCTCTAAATAAATGCAAATATAAAAGAAGCTTATTCTGCAACTTTGCATATTGTTTTGAAGGAGCTACATCATTTCCATCCCTGGCGAAATGGATGCCTTTCTCACTGCGATGTCTCGCTGACCACACGTCATGAAGCGATCCCACATGGCACCGGAGAGACGTTCATTTTTTACTTTTCGTATACTTTTTCGCAGTATGACTTGAGTTACCGCCCCACTTCGGGATTACAAATGTTGCTGTGTAGAGTACGACACGCAAGTATCAGCTTTAGAAACACAGAAGTCCGTCGACTCCCAAACAAATCCAAGTCCACCGCCTTCTTGGTGTATACAAACCGACATCTGGCCTGTAATCTCCCCGTCTGTAGAGGAGACCTGTGGCCACCTAATGACCCCGACAGGCGTCATGCATGCAATTGCTCGGGATGGTGCAATGACAAGTCTCTTTCAATATTTCTTTATACATACTTTGTAAAATGAGAGGGGCTTTGAAGAGTACTACGCTTTTTACTGGACACTGCACGTTACATGCAGTTTGTGAGGTGGTTGGACTCTGATCCTTATCTTATATCCATACTGCATCTTAGAAAAAAGCCTTTTTTTATACTATCCACTCTCGGATTTCTGTTAGTAATTTATGGCGGTACTTGACAAATTACCCTTTGTTTAC